CATCTCATCGTGGCGAGCTTTTAACGCAACAATGGAAGGTGCGAATGCGACATAATTTGAAGCATATTGTAGCGATTGCTCAACGATGAATTTACTTCGGCCTGCGCGCTATCGGAAATGTGTTAATTTGGCCCGCAAGTACATAAAGTTCGCCGACCACTGGCATAAACAAATGAATCTAATGCACAGTAGCTAAGGTGAACTAAATATTTGACTTGAATATCATTAACGATAATTGCGGCTATCTGGCTAAGCGTCTGATTCAGGGTGGGCAACGGACAGCCCGCGGGTCACGTTCGGCCCGCCAATACATTTAGTGAGCCCTTGTGCACCCTCCACATTTTCCCATCAGTCATAAAATCCTTTACAGTTTATGTTTAACTTTTGTCAAAGCTAATGTTAAAAAACTATGAGAACTCGGAATTTCAAGTGCCCCACTAAAATGTTAGGGAAATAAGATTTTTTTGTGTGGGAATTTTTTAATGTTTATGGAAAAATAATATTTTTGTGTGGCCCAGCTTGATGTCTGAAGTTGGCTATATGACCCACCGACAAAAATGTCGCTTCTGATCTAATCAATATGACGCTGTCTATCAAAGTTGTGGAGGGTCGAGACATTGTCTCGACTCAAGTTGGACCCGATTCTCGAGTCAGCTAATAAAATAACCCAGCCTCGTCGTCATCGAAGGCCAGTGAGACATGGGGAGATTGACTAGAATTGAATGACTCATGAGTCGGAGTTTCTAATTTAGTTGATTAGTTCGAGCCATCGATTCCAGCTGAGTAATATTTATCAAAGACTCGAAGTGACGCAAGCTAATCGTAAGTCTCGGATTCGGTATCGCCAGTGAGACATAAGGAGATTTACTGGCATTTAAGGCAGGGTTGTCGGAACGCATGTGCCTCGCGTAAAGGAGTCTTGCGACGGAGTAGACCTATGAATCGTTCTGTTATTATGTTGTTTTTGCAATTTTTGATCCAATCGATATGAGAAAAATCGCTTTTTTCTGTAATTACTGGAACAATTGCCCTAAACTTTTCAGGGGTTAAAAGTTGTATTTTTGCTAGAAGGCTATTACTTTTATTTATTTTTAATATTTTTGTGACCTTTGTGTATGTTTTTTGTGTGCTATGACGTATTTGCGCACCTTGTTGCAGTTCCGTAAACGCATATCAGCGGATCTCGTGCTCAGCGAACGTCGGCGAATCTCGTTGATTGTAACTGCAAGAAAAATAGTTGTACCACTTTCCGGAACAATATCAAAGATTCTAGTCGATAATAAAAACCGAGGATATGACATTCATAAATAACTGGAAAAATAGATTTCTATGCTGTCTATATCTTACTACTGCTTGAATCACGCATTATTCTCCACATTCATCATATTTTCACCAAATCAAACTGTAATTTTTAAATGTGCGGCCGGCGACAAAACTGAAAAACAATTTGTGGCCCCGGATAGCATTTGGGTTAGTCATGGCTGATCTAGGAAGCCAATGACGTTGTGTATTCAGCCCAACTCAAATCTCTAGAGAAGGTGTGACCAACTATACAATACTCGGATGATTCGGCTGGATATGAAGATGACCGGTGACTCGTGACTCGGGGTCCTGAGGTTCGCAATGACTCGAATCAGCTAATGAAATATCACTAACCAACAGTGTAACTCGGAGATTGACTCGGTTCGAAACTCAGATCACCTGTAATTGATTTGAATCGTGAATCTGGGTTTAAGGTCCTAAGTTAACATGACGTGGGCCAATGGATCATTTTGTTATTATGTTGTTGTTGTTAAAATTCTTGGTCTCATGAAAAAATCGCTTTTCTCTTTACATCTTGAACGAATTGCTTCGAATTTTCTGTTGTTAAAGATTGGGTACTCCGTAGTATGTGTACCAGGTTAGGTCATAATTTTATTCCGATTTTCCTTATTTTAGTTCTTATACGAGTTCGAGGACTGTTTGTGTTAGCCAAGTGAATAGCGCCAACGATTGTATTTTTTGCCAGAAGGTTATTACTTTTACTTGTTTCAAAAATTTCTATGGGCTCTATGGAATTCATTTTTTGTGTGTGAAGACGTCATCGAAAACAAAATTCGAGCAGCTTGTGGCGTTTCTGCGTTCGCGATCTGGTGGTCGAAGTTGGCAAGACTACAGTGACGGTAGTCTACCATGAGCACTAATTGGTTTTAGCTTTCGTGCCCATATATTTGAGCATTGCTCTGTTGATTTATTAATTAATTCGAGTCATCGTTTCTATTCGAGTAACATTTTTCAAAGATGACCCGTGATCCGACTTGACTTGCGAGCGGCTGCAGATCTCTTATCGCATTAATGGTGATTTTCGAACCATTTTGAAATGGGAATTTATTGTTTTGCTTTGAGCTCGCTCGCATTCGAATTAGGGAACCAAATGTCTTACAGATATAACGGTGTTTTCACAAATATTCGTAATCCATAAGGTAATCGTGGTTAGCGTTAGGCCAATTTGCGTGTTTTGCATGGCTATATTGCGTGAGAAAGATACGTTCCCATGAATAAATTCAGCGCATTCGTGAATTTATTGAAACCATATTTGGCTAGTTATCGCATTTTGCAAATATTTTGTGTCAATTCACCTGTATTGAAAGACCATATTGGGTGAGAAAAAGTTCAATCGATGTATTTTGAAATTTTGCAGAAAATAATTTGAAAATTTTGATGCCAGTTATAGAAATATTGTAAGTTTTCGCTGGTCAAAGAATTGCAATTCGGAGTATGATTGTTTCCGTACACACGCGAAAAACAAAATCAACCTCCACCGTGCGTAAGCAAATTCTGTATCTAGCGATCGACTCCATTCTGTAGCCAAGTCTAGTCTTATTCAACAAAAGCAAATTCCTAGAACTAAAGTTCATTATAAAGTACCCAAGTTCGACTTGTATTTTCAACACAGCGTTAACTTTCAAGTCCCCTGTCGACGCTATATTGTGATATAATTTTTACCAAGATATAGACCAGGGCGGGCACGATTTTAAGACACTGGGCCACAAATTTTGCCATCTAGACTGGCGGGCCATGTGAGTGTGACGTAAAAAGTTTTATGAACGCTATTTACAGTGTTACAAAAAAAAGTGGAAAACAATAAGCATCGTGCCAAAAACTAAAGTTAATCGCGATTTCAACAAATTCCTTCAGCTATATTTCATCTAAATTCTGAAAGATCAAAATTTGGTTTTAGTTTGATTGTGGCAGCATCAGGCGGGCCAGATTGAAGTACTCAAAGGACCTGATTAGGCCCGCGGACCATAGTTTGCCCATGTCACATGACCATACTGATATAGATCTACAGAGTGACCTAAAATAGAACCCATTAATTTCCTGATTACTTCTACGAAAATTTATTTAACACTTGAATTTCTGTTTATGTATAATTGTACCAAAACGTTTCAAAAATTTAGGAACAAAGTGTTTTCTCTAAAATTTGTTCCAAATGATCTGGGTTATGCATAGCTCTCAGTAGGTTGTAGGTCTATGCCAAATTTTATATCAATACTACCTTTTATTTTCCTTTAGCAAAATTTGACCAATGTGATGTAAGATGCATCCTTATTCTGCTCAGAGAAAGTTACAAAATTTTTAGTGTTGAATTGGAATGAAGAGAAGACGAGAATGAGGATATTATGGATTATGATCGCAACATTGCTTTCACAGTTGACTATTGGCTTCGTCTGCTCAGCATTTGAGCTTGTTATCAGTCAATCATTATCTCACGTGTGGGTTCGAATATAACTGAATTTGTGTGAGAGGATTGTTGGTTGCTTCCTATGGCGACTGTCTATCAGTGTTGAGGAAGCACTGGTCATTGGCTACACTAGAGTTGGACTCAAATCACCATTTATCAAAGACTTACAATGTCTCGAATGGCAACTTTCACAATTAAAATCCTGTAGTCTGAATCGCTCAACTAAAAGTTTACTACAAGTCCTTTATGGTTGAGCATAAAAACGAGAGAAAAAAAAAATATAATTGAAATAAAATGAAGTTTCGTTCGAGAAAAAACATCGGACGTAAAAAAAAACATATTTGAGAGATCTTTGACGCTTCAAAAAAATAAGTCTCGTTGCGGGAGTCGATATTAAAAAAGAAAAAACATTTTTGTAAAAAAGTCTCAGAGATATTTTAGCAGTTTTGTTCAGTCGAGAATGTGTAATCAATGAACTGCGCGGTGTAATCGTTGGCCATCTGTGATATATTGTCGGTATCAAAAGACGAAGAATTTTTTTTTTCCAATTGGAAACGTCAAATACCCATGCGAGTCAAGACAATCGCATTTTACCGAAAATATTCCTTCAACAGCAGTCAAAAAATATTCAACCTCTCGCAGTCTATGATAGCAATACTAGAATATACGGCGCTTCAGAAGTATGTATGTACCAATATGTAAGTAACTAATTTTGTTTGTCTACTTTACATCTCAAGTTGTGTAAAAGGAATGAAACCTATAGGCAGGGGGTGTATTTACTTGGCTAACACAGACCGTCTCGAACTCGTAATGGAACTAGAATAAAGAAAATCGGAATAAAATTATGGCCTAACACTAACTTGGTACACATACTACAAGAATACCGAACTACTGTAATTAGGACGAAGTGCTATCGGTTTGAGATAGTATACCAAGATTATTCGATCTAGAGGAGTCAGTCAACATAGTATCCGTTGTATTTTTTGACTAGTTTAGACATTCGCTCGGAGCAAGGCTATACATAGGTCGCCTCTAAAGATAACATCTAGATGTCCCGTTCTCAACCAGAGGGCTATCGCCCCCTCTGGGCCACGCAAATGGACTAACAACCTATAAATTAGTTAAACTTTAATTGAAATGAATGTCGCTACTGCTTTTCGGCTTTGGGTGGTAATTCTCATTTCAATTATTAATGTGGAAGTTCCTATCTTTGCTAAAACAATTTTTTGTTTTTATTTTGTTTTTTCCCTTTCTTGAGAAAGTTATTGGGCCACAGAATTTTTTGTGCAACAAAAGTGGGCCACAAGAGAGGGAAGGTTGAAAACAACTGATCTAGATACTCTCTATCAGGTTAGAGTTGGGTGTACGGTTTGAACTGAATATCGTCACGCTAATAACCGAATTGCGTAAGTCATTTTTGGCGATTTTGATTTTTTATAAAATAGGTATTTAGGTAATGCTGCGCACCAGTCTGTTACTCAGATTTCATTTTAAGAATTTCGAACCCCATAAAAATAAAGATTTGTTATGACATGCACATTTGTGCAATTGTTTCGTCGTAATGAATTATCATTGTTACAGCAGGACTAGGATCTCGGATTCTAGCTTAGCGCGTATTAATTTGAATTTATACTACAGTATAGGCAGACGTACACTTGTGATATGCACTGTCCGAGTCCAATTCACCTTGGTTGGTTTTTATATTGGGTGCATTGCTGTTTTATTCTTTATATTTAGTCTTATTTCGGTGGGTGTGCAGAACGTGTTATATTGATGAAATATATATTTTTAAACATAAAAAATAATGTAATTGAAACTGATTAGCTATTTTGGGGATTAGACATTGTAGATACTAAGAATTACATTCGTTTTTGGAATGTTTAGTTTTCAGGACAAGTCATAGACACATTTCTGCCTAAGTCACAGTGCGCCATTATGATGTCACATAACTGCGTCATACAAATTAACTTTAATCCGGCTACGATCGAAAAATTGAACCATGGCAAATTATTGACTCTCAATGGCATAACAATATTATTAGGAAGTTTCTCTCAAAACTGCTAAAAATGACTTACGCAGTTCGGTTATTAGCGTGACGATATAATTATCCTTGGGTGCGTACATAGATCAGACATACACCTTAACGGTTCCAGGAAAATTCGTCGCATAGCTAAAATCGCCGCAAGATCATTTGTGATAAAAACAGTTTTTGAAATATCTTTTTATTTAAAAAAGATTCGTTATTTGAGGGCATATTCTATAAACCTTACTGTTTTTATCACAATTACTTATTTTAAAGCAAATTGCCCTTACGGCAATTTTTCATGCGTCGAATTTTCCTATGCAACGAAATTTCCTGCGGTGGATTTCCTGCTGCGAAATTTTCGGACACGCACGTTAACCACTGAGCTTCTAAGTCTTCTAAAATGTATTTTGCCGATGATCAAAATCAAAGTTAATTTTTTTTCTTTTGCATGTCTATAAGTTAGCATTGTAAGTTGGAAGATCTTGGGTTCGATTCGTATTCAGTCAGTCAATAGTGAAGTCCAGAGCATATGGGTTAAACAAAACCGGACCGGTCTAACGAGAATATCGGTATTTACAAATCCTTATTCGGATAAAAAAAAAGTTGGACATACCACATAGAGATGTGACATAACAGCATAAATGTGCTAGATTTATTTGTATTTTGCAGGGAATCTATTTAAACCATGGCGTTAAAAATAAGAGTATATTTCGTAGTTCTGGCCTGTGTGTTGCAATATATCGGTATTGAAGCTCAATCTTCAAAGTCGGTACCTCTTCCTACTGGTGGAGAATCGTGCAATGTTATCAACCTCCATTGTGGCGCCGGACATAATCAACCAAACGAAAGAGAATTAGAAAGAAACCCGGGATCTCCAGGGAAACGTGGACCGACTGGCCCGGCTGGATTGGCCGGAAGTAAAGGAGACCAGGTGCAGTCAATTTTTTTTATTTTTCCGAGGGTACTACAGAGGTTTATGTACCAATATAGAGGTATCTAATTTTGTTCGCCTAATTTACACAAGTTGTGTAAAGGGACTGAAACCTATAGGCAAAGAGTTTATTCACTTGACTATCACATACCGTCGCCGAACTCGTAATAGAACTAAAATATAGAATATCGGAATAAAATTATGGCATAACCATAACCTGGTACACACACTACGTAAGTTCCCACGCGAGTATAATTTCGATAAAATCAGAACCTGAATGTATCGACTCGGTAACACCAACTTCAAATGCGCCATGTTGACACTTGCAAATACTTTTGAACAAAATTAATAAATGGAAATTTTTTTTGTTCAGTAAAGTGCGTTTTACCAAGTTCATGATTATGTACGGGAAATTTAACGGAAATGATTACCCGTTTCTGAACATTAGAAACCTATTTCTGGGAATGTTAATACTAATACTAAAGTTTTCCAGGTTTTAGCTTACTACCACCTTATACATTGGTTCTCCAACTTTTTAGAACGCACCCCCTTTTAAGGATTTGTCAAGTCTCGCGCCCCACCTGTAAAATAACTTGCTAACGGTGAGCTACAGATAACAGATAGTAAGGAGAAAATATCTTTTATTCAAAATACACATTGAAAATACGTGGATGGAATCGCAATCTCCAAACAATAAAAAAATATCAAAATCCAAAATAAGGCGGGCAAGATTAAATCTGACAAATATTTTTATTCCTAATTAGCGCCACGTCCCCTTGATAAATTGTCTATGTCCCCCTTATGGGGCGCGACCCACCGTTTGAGGCGACTGACCTAATACATTGGTGTCAACAAGAGTTCCCCCAGTATAGTTCATGGGTTCCACAAGTTTACCTTTATATCTGAGAATCTATATTATTATATGTTTATTGCTTGAGTATAATTAAAGACAGCGGCATAGTACAATCGTATGCAAGCAGGAAGGAATTTCATTTTTATTCAGGGAAGGGAAGCCGATAAGACGGCTTGTCCTCATGGCGAACCACGGCCTCTCTCCATATTGATATATGTATATTGCTCAAGTTTATATCAAAAATCAAAATTATTCTTATGGCGAACCACGGCCTCTCTTCTAGGGACCAGTTAACAAGTTGTTTCAGACGCATGGACCTACCTCATTATTCCGGACTTACCAAAATTTTGACTCCTTCTCGCAGGGCCGGATATATCATTAGGCAAGGTAGGCAGAAGCCTGAGGGCCTCGATGTTCAATTTTGCTTTTAATGAGTCGCATTAATTTTTGTACTTCCGTAATATGTGTACCAGGTTAGGGTTAGGCCGTAATTTTATTCCGATTTTCCCTATTTTAGTTCTGTTACGAGTTCGGGGACTGTCTGTTTTAGCCAGGTGAGTATACCCCTCTGCCCATAGGTTTCAGTCCCTTTACACAACTTGATGTAAAGTAGGCGAACAAAATTAGTTACCTTCATATTGGTACACATACTTCTGGAACGCCCTAATTTTAAATTCGTTTCTAAATTGAGGAAGCTTGTTCCAGAATAAATCCGAGTTGAAATTTTATAGAACTGTTATTTGTTTAATTTTAATCAGATTAATAGTTAGTGTTCCAAATATATATTTACCAAAACTAAGATTTATTATATTTCATTCTACCGTATGTTACGAACTTTAAGGCGCATTGGGTTATAGGGCGCACGTTCAATAAATTGCTTAATTAGGGCCATGTCCATACATAAGACGCATTGGGCTGTGAGAAGCAAAAAATTTTAAAGCAATAGCGGTGCAGGTTTCGAGTGTAGACAATAAAGAATATCCCTTACATTTGACACATCAATTTATAAGGCGCGCGATTGAATTTTAAGAAAAAAATTGTGTCGTAGACTCGTTTATCTCAAAAAATGGAAGGATAATTTTATTTATCACGCCAGGCGGTAAACAATGTGCCCCGTACAGTATCGGAAATGTTGTATATTTGGCCCAGTAGTACATAAATGAACTCATGCAATTAAAATACAATTTGTTTATTACTCCATACCTCCAAAGTCCATATCGAGAACACAGATAAATAATTCTTTCAAGTAGTGGGCACTCGATTTTGATTACTTGAAATAACTTTCGATTTACAGCTAGGCTCATTTAAGTAAATAGCGGAATATTCAAAAACTGTGGGCTCTTAGCTGCCGCTTCCTTGTCACTCCCTCGTCCGTTTACGAACAGGATATTCCCGTCTGATTATGATCGGTGGTAAGCGCGGAGGTAGCGGCGTAAATATGCGTGTGATACCCGGAGTCGCCAACAATTTCCTCGGCCACCCGACCAAAATTTTATAATGATATGAAAGCCAGATTACTATGTTTATGAAAACGGTGGTCAATTTGATTATGTTTTTATGCCTATAGCGGGCTTTATCTAAGTAATAATTAACAATAGTGGTTAAAATTACATTTTTTTTTAATTTCAGTGATGTGGGTTCAGTCCTTTACTCTGTATAGATTTTCACCGAACTCTCCTGTACTAAACTATAAATTTCTTCACAATTTGTTTACATTATGAAGTCACGTGATATCCCACAAACTAAAAAATTTGGTTAAAATTGTTTTTAAACCAAGACTGTGAAGCTGGGAAGAATTACAGACTCCTAAAATCAAATTTTAAAAACAAAAATTTTACCACAGTGATTTTTGGTTCTCGGAAAATTCGCCGCAGAAAATTTCGCCCTAGGAAATCTCGCAGCATATAGGAAAAAGTTCTATTGAAAAACAGAAAAGTGTTTGAAGTTTGATGAATACGGCGCGTTTGAATTGTTGTTGTGTAGTGTTCTCTACGAAACAGGCTTTAGACCAGCATGAATTGTACTTATAACCTTATACAGTCTGGCTCTCAAAGCTTGTCTGAGCATATACATTGAGAATGCGTAATGATGGCTTGTTCTAATTTGAACAAGTTTTTCTGAAAAAGCTACTGTCTGATCCCGTACGGGTCAGCTGATTCAATGTTATACTAAATGATGTTTGAGTTTTACGAAGCATAATTACGTTCTTAGGTTCTATAGCAGCGTTTCCCAACCGGAGTCCGCGGTCTCAAATGAGTCCGCAGAGCGATTAAATGAGTCCGCAACGAGTCAGATTTTCACTGCGAGCCGCAAACGTTTTTGCGAAACTTAATTAACTATTAGCCAAGTTAGGATTTGCGTTAGAATTTACAAAAAAAAACCACAAAAAGTCAGTTTATTCACATGACATTAATCGCGTCAATAATTACTGGTCACTGAGTAGGTCTGGGCTTATATTCGAATATTCAACTATTAGAATAGAACATTTACTAATCGAAAATTTGGTAACACGTGACGCGACAGGTCACTTGCAAGTCGCTTAATCAAACGATTGGATTTCACAACTCACTTGTGGATTTCCAACGAAAACAAGAGTCTGTACACGCTTCGATAGATTCGTAATAGGTGTCTCTCGCGAGTTCGAACAACGAGGAATAAATTATTTTTCTGGTAGGTGTAAATGGTGGCAACCCAAATTTTCTAAATTGAAAAGCTGTCCGCGACCGATTAAAAACGCTTTTTTGGACATTGCAAATCGCAAAATTTCGGGTGCTACCGTACTATACGTACCAGATCATTTTTCTTTAGGATTATCTGCTTTACTGCCTGCCATTAGTCATGTCGCCCAGTAAGTACGCACAGTAGTAATGTCGAATTCACACAGATTTGTCGATTCACAAAAATACGAATCAAAACAAGATATATTCGAGCACTTTACCACGCATTTTTGCGTCCTCGGATTGTCATTATATTTTTTGAGTAGTATTGCTCTTATTTCGTCAACACAACCGCAGATTAAAGAATCACACATGTGGATAGATTGAATATTTTATGCAACAGAAAAAATCAATGAAAAGTCGGCTCTTTTAACGGGTGACGTATACGCGACGATTACTTCAGAAGTTGTTCGCAAGAATTTCAATGCGATGAATATGTATTTTCGATTTACTAATATATATACCTTATATATATTATTAATAAATACTAAATTAAGTTGTACATTCTGGAAATTTATAGCAGATAGTATGATTTTTTCTAACAGCGATAACAAATTCACAAGATCGCAAAAAATATGTTTCAAAGCTTAATATAATCAGGCAATATATTCTCTCATTATTATGTTCGCAGATAGCAGTGGAATTTTAAAAAAGTAATGCTTTCATCTTGTCGTAAGTCGACGCAACCGCGATGAACACAATTAAATTAAAATAGAAAGACATTTTAAATTCTCGTCGTTGTCATGGTTTGAATACTGTGCGACAGAATAGTCCATTATACACCAAAAAAGTCGTCTCTTTTAACGAACGCGTAATTGCGGCGAATTTCCGATTTTGAAATCCGTTAAATTTCTGTTGTCTTTGGTTTTATTGCTTCTTCACACAGAGTACGGTTGCAATAAACGCACCTTGAGTCCGCAAAGGTTTTCGTCGGTGAAAAAATAGTCCGCGACCAAAAAAGGTTGGGAAACGCTGTTCTATAGTAAACAAAAATAGCTATAAAGTCCCGTTATACTTTGAATTGAAAATCTATTTAAAAATAGAGGAGTGTTTGAAGTTTTAAAAATATTTTCGGTTTTCAGTTTTGTAGTTTCTCTGCAGAGAGTCCGGTTGGAAACCACTGTCACAACGTATCATAGTGAAAGCTCCACATAGAAACCTTGTCTCCCGTGGGCTTTCAACTTTGTCCCGAATTACAAGTAGGCACACACGGCCAAGATAAATCTAGATAGGAGCGCTGTGAGTATATAGCTCAGTTGTTGCTTATTCAGAGACTTATTCTGAACAATAGAGCCTAATTGCGCCTATTTTCGCAAAACAATTTCTATTGGTTAGCGGTTTTTCCGTAACAATTTCTATTGGTTAGCCTGTTTTCGTAACCATTTTCTATTGGTTAGCGGTTTTTCGTAACCATTTTCTATTGGTTAGCTTTTTTTGTATCTATTTGCTATTGGTTAGCGGTTTTTCGTAACAAATTCTATTGAGTATTGGTTTTTTCGTAACAATATCTATTGGTTATCATTTTTTTTGTAATCATTTTCTATTGGTTAGCGGTTTTTTCGTAACAATTTCTATTCGTTACCGATTTTGTCGTAACAATTTCTATTGGTTAGCGGTGTTTTTCGTAACAGTTTTCATCGGTTTTTCTTAAGGTTTACTTGGGAAATCTGAAGGCTCGTGTTTGAGTTCAGAGATTTTGTAATTGTACTGGGATTAAAAAATCGCTTTTGTTTTTCGCTCTGAACAAAGATCGCGTTGCCGGACTATTTTGTAGAAGCATCAAATTGTTGAAAACCTTGATCTAACCCAGTGGTGGTCAACCTTTCATCTTTCGTGGCCCAGTTTTGTTGCGCAAAAATTCAGTGACCCCTTAACTTTCTGATGCAAAGGAGAAACAAAAAATTATTTTTGCGTGAATAGACACCTCCGATTTTCGATTGAAATGAAAATTTACCCCTAGTTCATGAAACCAGCATCGTCGTTCATTTCTACTTCCATCAAAATTTAACTAATTTATTAAGAACTCAAGCAAATTTTAACAGGTTTGTGGCCTGTCTGAAAATGTTTCTGTGGCTCAGAAGTGGCTCATGGTCCACCGGTGGAAAGCCCTAAAATATCTTCGACTATAAAACAAACAAAGGAATTTTTTCATTTGTTGAAATTTTGTTAGCGTCCTCGATTATGAATATCAAAGCCGAGTGATGTTTTCCTAAGATATTTGATCAAATTATAAAAACAGAAATGCTTTCTTACCCGCCGTTGTTTGTACAAGAATTTAAAAAAATATTGTGGTGAATAGGGTACTCCCAAAGTATGCGCAACAAAATGGCGGACACCGGTACGTAGTATGTGTACCAGGTTAGGGTTAGGACATAATTTTATTTCAATTGTCCCTATTTTAGTTCTATTACGAGTTCCGTAGTATTTGTAGCTAAAATTATGGCCTCACCTTAACCTGGTACACATACTACGTTCAGGTGTCCGCCATATTGGTCCACATACTACGGGAGCACTAAACGAATCATAGAATATAGTAATTTCACTACCAGTGCAAAGCAGAATTCCTCCCCAAGAACGATAAAATTTCCTCCCAGATTGGGAAACGTTGGGATAGATCAAGGGGGGTAAAGTTTTTGGATCACGGGCCAAACATTTTGCCTATCTGGACTGGCGGGCCATGTTATTGTGACGTAAAAGGATACATTTTATGGACAATATTTACAGTATTACAAAAGTAGGCCTCGTGTCAAAACTAGATTTAATCACAATCTCAACAAATTCATTGAGCTATTTTTTAGATAAAACAACAAAATTTGGATTTAGTTTGGTTGTGGCAGCATCGGGCGAGCCAGATTAAATTACACAACGGGCCGGATTTGGCCCGCGGGCCGTAGTTTTCACATGCCAGAGATAAACCGTTGAAAGAGTCTTGATTTGTTTGAGGTATTTTGGTTTCTATTTTGTTTTCTATTATCACCATTAAAAGTATGAAATTGCAACTCAAGACTCTGGGGAATTCAAAACAATTCCCATTTACCACTTCAGTTAGTTTGGAAATACGACTCCGGCTTCGGTGAAAACATGTCCAAAGTCGACTCTCGACTGCACAGCTCTATTTTAAATCCCCACAGACACAAATTTTCGGTCTTGGACGAACCTTGGGGCAAGTGCCGGATTTACCATTAGGCAAGTCTATTACCATTAGACTCGACATTCGATCGAATCGACATTCAAATATTGTTTCTTTTTAAATTTCAGAGATCTGCCCCAAAATATAACGGGTTTCGAATTTTCAAAAATGGTAGGCCTACTTATTTAATTTTTCAACCAAGCTAACAATTTTTGTCTCAGTTATTTTACGTTTGAAAAGTTAAGTAATAAAAGACGGATAAATAAATGAATTTGTTTAAATTTGAAAAACTTGAGTTATTTTTAGGTTTATTACATATTCTACTATTTATTTCTAAAAAATGGAATGATAAATTTATTTATTCAATGTTTTATTTATCACTATTTGGTTCATGGACCCCCCCCCCCCCAATTGCTCCATCTTCTTTTTGTTTCTTTTATCAAATTAATATTATTGTTTCTTATTTTAAAGGGAATGAAAGGCGTCAAAGGGGAGACAGGCCCAGAAGTGAATGTTACAAAACTGCAAACAAAAATAATGAAAATGCTTGGTAGGTAAAAGTATGAAGTCTGGCGCTCCCGAAGTATGTGCACCAAGATGCTCACAAACTGAATCCTAACCTGGTACACATACTATGTTCAGGTTGTGCGCCATCTTGGTGCACATACTTCGGGAGCTCCGTATTGTATACGTTAGTACAATTTGTATTCTGAAGATATTCGGTTTCTAAATTTTGAATATTAACAATGCACCGCTGAAATATCGTGTTTCCCCAAAAATAAAACTGGGTCTTACTTCAATTTTTTTCTAAAAAATAATACTGGGGCTTATTTTAGGGGGATGGCTTATTTTTCATTAATCAAAAACGAAATTACAAAGTAGAGAATTACGAGATTTTACAAATATACAAAATATGGAAACCTATATCCATTTACTTATAAATTACACACTTTCATTCAAAATAACTGCAAAATATGAATTACCACTCATTTAAAACGTGTAAGAGAGATTTCTTGCTATCGACCGGATCAAAAAAAAATTTTCGTTATTGACTAGATCTTTTTTTAAGTGGAGGGCTTATATGAAAATTTTTTTTCAAAATTCAGGTTAGGTCTTATTTCCCGAGTAGGTCTTATTTTCGGGGAAACACGATAACACAGGGATTAGTGGTGCAACAATAAGTTTGTTCCAAACGCTTGAGATCTAATCAACAATGGTAGGCAAATGTGATAACGCCAATCAACTGGTAGAAATGGGAATTGGAAATAATTTTCATTATTACCCAGAGGAAAATAAAACTTTGTGTTCATTGTGACATCATAAGTTACATATAATCATTGTGACGTCATAATTTATGAAATAGTCGTTGTGACATCATAACAGAAATTGTCGTCCATTTGACAAATGTACTATGATGTCATAAATTTATTAAATTTGCGTAAAATACGAAATTTAGTTGTAGGCTATCTATATGGGGTTATGAGAATACATTATCGCTACAGATGAATAGAATTGAAGCACAAGTTTGACTAGGCGTCTGTCCATATCGTTTATGAGAATACTTCAAACTTTCCTACCTAATGGTACTCATCGGTGAAATATCAGACATATAAGAATAGCTTATTTCAGGCGCTCAGGAAGTATTCGTACCAATATGACGCACAACCTGAACGACCCTAACCCAGTACACATACTGTGTACAGGTTGCGCGCCATCTTGGTGCGAACACTTCGGGAGCACCTTATTTCAGCCCCATGATCAGTATTTTATACGATAAAATAATTAGTAGAAACAAATAAATAAAACTGATTACGAAATCGGGAGAAATAAAACCTCAAGTTAGGCTTAAAAGGTACACGTTGTGTCAAACGAAGTGCTTATTCTAACAACGTCTATACATTGATATCTAGGGGCAAAAAGTTGTAAAGAACTGAATGAAATACACGGAATGACGGAACCTGGTTACTATCTGATGCGGTCTGAAGGACGTAATCAGCCTAGTTATGTCTATTGTGATTTTCGCGTTTACGAAGGTAGGTGACACGTAGATAGAAACATAATTCTTGGGTGAAAAAAAGTAATTGAAAAAAAATCGAAGTTTCAATGAGATAGGCCTACTGATATATTTTAAGAAGGAAAGGTATTTTTACAATTTCTATTGAATCTTATGGAACCCGATATTTTATCCTGGCTTGGCTGGGCGCTGATTAAAGGGGGTGGGGGCATTTGGTCTAGCTTGTTGGCCCATATATTCATCAAACTAAACACTTGGGCCTTACTGTAGCCTATTAGTTCCCATGAACCACCTCCGTGACTCATATTTCAGCATTGCTCTCTTGTTCATCCGATTTTGGTCAAATCGCACAAAGGTAACTTGGACTCTATAACTTCAAACGTTCTAATAACTTGATTATAATATTAATTATTTTCCCTTAAACCATATTTCAGGTGTGACAAATTGTAATGGACTTCTGGAACGAGGTGTGCGATTTAAATCGGACGAAATTGCGAACTTTTTAACGAGAAGGAATCAAGCAGCTGCCATTGAAGAGATAAGTTGCAGTAAGATGATATTTTATGGTTTATAAAGTATACTGATATCACAGTTCTTCCTAGCGCCAAAATTACCTAAACAAACTGATCTTTGCAACGACCGATAAAAAAAATGCAATTTGACCAAAACTACTAACTTAAGTTGATTATAAAAGATTAAAGATTATTCTTTTACGCAGTCTTGATCATATCACACATATTATCTAATTTTCAGGCAATATATTCACAACCTGTCATGAACTAAGGCAGCGTAACACAACTATAACATCTGGATTTTACACATTACATTCGCCCACAAACCATCAGAATACATTTCGAGCTTATTGCGAATTTACAAGAGGAAAAGGTATGGTTAGTTCTAATGTATTATTGTTTGTTTGTTTGTTTTAACCCTTCCATAAACATAAAAAGAACGATAAATTGGGGAGAATGTTAGATTTGAACACAATGGTATGATTTTTTGCCGTGTGAAATGATTGGCTTTAGTCATCATAAATTTTTTAACGATTAATGGGTGATTAGATTCAATTTTCAAAAAATACTAACAAAAACAAATATTTCATCCAGCTTCCTTCGTCTTCAATTTGCTCGATTTCAAAAGTTGACCAAATAAAATATAAATAATTATTTTCCTGAAATCCCCACAAAGCCGTAATCACTTTCTAATCTAACTCACGAAGACGATTTGTGTTTCATACATAAAAACAATGAATAGTAAAAGTTTTCAGCACCCCTGTATTTTCTTGCCATGTAAAATCATCGACTTTTGTCATCATAAATTTTTTAAGTGATTTAAAGTGTGTGTGAGGACTATTTTCACATAATAAAAGTTCACTCTTGAAAACTCTTGCTTCAATTTAATAGATGCAGTAAATCCTTTAAAACGACTCTCTTTTCTAATTCGGCTCAACAATGCTTTTACACTGCTTTATGAGATGTTTATATTGATTTTTTGGACCTCCTGAAGTATGCGCACCAAGATGGCGCACAACCTGAACTCAGGAAGCGGAATCTGCTGTCAAAATTTTAGAACCATCATCAAACTGTTTTTGTTTGCCTCGGAAACAATATTTTTAAAATGGAAAATTTATATAACAATGCAAGAGTTTAAAAATACAAGTATATATATGATTTAGACTTTTGTCTGTCAGGCGTAAACGGTTTTAGCGATGTAGAATGGACGTCTCCAATCATTTTCTAATTACCGTAATGACCGTTGCATGGGTAATGGTTATCAAGATGAGTCAATCTGACTCAGGTAATTGTTCCAGATGCATCAGTTTGAATAAAGTATGAATAATCTGTGATCCGACGCAGGGTATCTTGTCGGGGATATTTATGTGCCAGATAATTGCTGGACTTCTCACTGCGTAGGGTGGTTCACATCTGAAATAAATACCTTTCTAAATCATCTCATACACGATATGGACTGGTAAACAGGCGAAAGCCGTCACACGTCATATAAATGAGGCCTATCGACTTTCCTCTCCTTGAAAAAAATATGAAACTCTTATCCTATATTTCAGCAATCACCGAAGTTCGACATGCTCGAATGGAAGAAATACAGTCAACTCAATCCTCTTGTAGCGGGCAAAAAGGTTGCTATTCCTGGATTCCGAGATACAACTTGAATCGAGAGCAAATTATCGGAATTATCAAACAATCAAGTGAATGCAGGCAATTCATGAAGGTAAGAGCCGCTTAATCTATTTCAATTTGATGATCTACTTTGGCATGACCGAATGTGAAATTTACACTATTTTGAAAAATGAAGTGAATGCAAAAAATTCAGCTTTGCGAGATTGAACTACGTTTGTACTACACCTGTCCGTTCTCATAAAATTACACAGGAGCAATAATATCAATGACTCTAAAACAGGGGTTCTCAAACTTTTGGTGTTGCGGAGCCCTTGAAAGGTTGAATATTATTCGCGGAGCCCCAAAATAAATTTTAAAATTGTAACTTTCAGATTATTATTCCCGAGCAAGTTAAAAGTACTTTATTTATTCTAAATGCTGAACCTTTTTTAATAGGGTTAACACAAGTCATAAATAAATCTAAATTTTATACTAAAGCTGTAAATTTGACACTTGACGAACATATTAATAAATTAGGGATCGAATCTTTTCTTTTTTGACATTTTTGGAAGACTCAATTAAAAGGCCGTTAGTAACGTGCGCTATTTCATTTTGTTACAATCGCCGATTTTTTCCGTCAGCATGGCGTGTTTTAAACATCTTTACGCCGCTGTTTATTCTCCCTAAATCAAAAATTTCCTTCGGCATATACATGTATTGTTACACAATGACGACGTTAATTGCTTTTTTGTTCTCGTGGGGAATTATGAGTTCAATGTGAAAAACATGTTACCATATTATAGTCATCGGCGACGAAATGCTAAAAATAATAATCAATAAAAAGGTAAATCTAGAACTCAAATTTCTTGATTGAAAAGCGGCATTCTAAAATATTTAAACTGAAACTTAAAATGGAAGATCACACTTTGGTTTCAGCAGACTCACCTCAGATTGAAAACGCTTCTATAGACATTGTAAATCACAAAGTTTGGTGTTATGTTAGGTTTTCATCGTAGTAGCTGCGAAATCGAAACACAGTCAATTGTGCGCGCGATTTACCTTTTTTTTCATTCTGAAACTACCGACGCAGCCGCACGCAATCAATGGTGCGCGCGATCCGCGATGTACCTTTTTTCATTCTGAAACTACCGACGGAGCTGAATGCAATAAAATAATTTTCAATTGTTCGTATTTTCCCCAGACATTGTGATTTTTTAAACAGCGATATCTTGCTTAAAAATAATCTCAAGTGCGAAAGAACAAATCAAGTTTGACAAATCCCAAGATCGCAAAAATACGACACCAATTTATTTATAGTTGGCAGTTTATCACATATTTTATGTTATTTTAGAATAGTATTCTTTCATTTTAGTAATCCTAATAGTAATCTCGAATCAAACGTGAGTAACGATGAGCACAACTACATTATACCGACGAGTACGAGACACGTCAAATGCTCCATCGGTCTTGGATTGAATATTTTACGCAACAGAAATCTCGTTATCCGTTTTTTTAATCGCGAAAAATGTTGCGCGGAAATTTCCGATTCCAATTTTGAACCACTTCCCTCTTAAGAATCCTGGCTGCGCTACTGCTCATAAATAATGTCATTTTTTAATTCCGGCCCTTTACCATATTTCGAGGCTATATTGTTGTCAGATGTTATCAAAGCTGTTATTGCCTCTTTGAACAGTTACAAAATTTTGAGTCAGTATTTTGAAGAGTAATCGAATAGCTCGCGGAGCCCCTGGGTTTCTCTCGCGGAGCCCTGGGGCTCCGTACGGAGCACTTTGAGAACCTATGCTCTAGAAGGTTATAATCCGAGTAAAGTGGTCACTCCCGTGAGGGGGACTGGGGGACTAACTATTTATCGACAATAATTCCAAACCCTCCAAAAATAAGCTACCAGGGCACCGACTTTGAAGTCTGAAATACAAATCTCATAGAATTTGAAAAATCTTTTTAAGAAAACTCTATCACGCGCAAAAATCACGTCATGCTGAAGCAAATTTGAGAATCGGTAATTTGAAGTTGATTATGATAGGATAGGCGGAACACGGCCTCTCGCCCGGTTACTTGTCCGTGATGAGTATGTGAATAGTTAACAAGTTATTAGTTTCAGATGAATGGACTTGATGGAACCAACCAGCGCTTACCTGAACCACCTCAAGACAACAAGGAGTTTAGCAATCCTCTCGCAGATGATTATCCCACAAGAAATTCGAACCTGCAAACTCACGCAGGGTAATCAGGACGCCACAAGTTTCGTGCCAGTATTCCTAAAACAGTCCTTCGACACCGAAATGACATTTTTTCATAAATTGGCTGCTTCATAGCTTTAATAATGACATAGAAATTAAGCACGAAATGGAATAATTGCCATCGGCTTCGGAATGCTTAGAAATATGACTGTAATTCACAAGATATAATAACATGAGCATACGCTTACCGCATCAATATTTCTTCAGGCAAGATGTGTTGAAACCTTTTTATTGCGTAGCGGCTATGCTTGGTGGGTTTCCAGAGATGGAGAAAGAATGAATTATTGGGGAGGAGCCACATCGAGGAGAGATGAATATTGTGCTTGTGGAGAGACTGGTTAGTTGAATCGATATAAATTAACTTATGATAATCTGTGTTGTTGTGTATTTGAATGAAGCGAACTGGCGAAACCCTGATTGGTTGAAAGCGTCTAAGACCGCGAGTGGCCCCAGGGTACGCCATTTGTGAGGCCTCTCTTTAACAATGACATCGTCATAACAGGCCTGCCACTTTTATGTAAACTGTATTATAATGTCATGAATTGATTTTTAATCGCGTGAAATTTGAAATCATAATACATGTACTCCAATCACCCAAGTAGATAGTGCATTTAAAACTCAGGGCTATAGTAACCCGTCAGGGGACTACAGTTCTGAAATTTTGACAAATTAATTTATACACAGTATTCAATATTTTAACCTTAAAAGAAAACTAGAATTATCAAATTGAACAAAATAAACAATTTTCAGTTTTATAAAATTCTAAACCGGTCATCAGACCAATTTTCTCATTCAGATTGTTGTCCGATAACTTATTAAAAAAGAATTTGGACTAATCTCTATAGACAATGTGAATTGCTTTGAATGGACACTATCATCACGAAGTAATTGAATTATTTTAGTGAATGAAATTTATAATGCTTTTTCAAAATTTAGATAAATTTTAACGAATTCAAACCACTTATTTTACTTACTATTAGGAATGAGGCTCAAATTACTTATCTATCGCTAAGACCTTATGAAGTTGGTCTGATAACACAATTTAATTATAATATTTACTGCGAAGCTAAAACCAGACTATGTGTTGTAATTCCAGGCACCTGCATTAACAACAGTTATAAATGTAATTGCGACACAAACAGTGCAACTCAGGGCACAGATGAAGGCTATCTCACTGATAAGACAAAATTACCTGTGAAAGAACTTAGATTTGGTGATTTGGATCACTCTATCGAATTTATATGGCACACGCTTGGCAAGCTCGAATGCTGGGGTGAAGGTAGGTTTCTCTAATTACACAAGCAGTTAGGACAATCTCAACATTTCGCTCAATCAACTAGTCTCCATAAACATACTTGCGTCGCAACACAGATTCCAGGACTGTGGAGTCCTAAAATGTCCCATGGACAAAATTCCTATTATGGCTGCGGTTTAGAATATTTTTACTCAAACTAGGATCTCATTTCAGAGATAATAAAAATTTAGTCAATGCAATTTATATTTGGTCTTTGGTGGATTTTTGGCTCAACTTAGGCTCAACTTTCGAACTCTTACTCCGCAGCCATCATTAATCTTTATACAAAACGCAGGTTAGAATCCAGTGAGTAGTTTTAATGTGCGAACCATGCTAGAATTGACGTTTGGGAATGATTAGCGTAAATTTATTCGTTTATTATAGTCCGTGAGTGGTTCTTTCTTATCGAGCATTTAACCGTGGTCAGTCTTATAGTTCAATTTAGACACACAAAACTCCAGAAACATATCAGCAGTTACTCATTTTTTAAGATTAGTTTCTGAATTTTGTTAGGAATCTGTTAATGGATAAGTAACGTCTAATAAATACATGAGCAAAGTACGGTCCGCGGGCCAAATCCGGTCCGTTGGGTGATTTAATCTGGCCCGCCTGATACTGACACAACCAAGCTGGAACCAAATTTTGAAGTTTCAGCTGAAAATAGCTCATGTTATTTGTTGAGATTGGAATTAAATTTAGTCTAAATTTAGGTCTATTGTTTCCCACGGTTGTTTTTGTAACACTGTAAATATTAAGTGATTCAAGAGTCTTGCTGCACACTAACACAAATATATTTCTGTAACGTTTCGTCTGACCAAGGTCAGACTTCTTCAGACATACATAGTTCAACTATAACACGAAAAGCAGTTACCTGCATATTTAAACAATCCGTTTAAAATTATGGGAGTCACGCATGTTAAATAATCAATAAAATCGGTGAATTTTTTGATTAAATAACAGCGGGTGGCCGAAATAAATGTCATTGATGAGATCTCTCTCTTTGTTTTATATTTAACAATTGAAGTCCAAATTAAACAATGGTGTTTTGTTTCTCCGTATTGTATAATGCAGACCAGTCTCGTAGAAACCAAATATTCACTGTAAATATTGTTTATAAAAAATATATAACTTTTTACATCACACTTACATGGCCCCCCAGTCTAGGTGGGCCCCCGGTCCAAAAACCTTGCTGACCCTTGGTCTAATACCTAGAGACCTACCAACCTTGTGGTTGAAACAGTGTACCCAGTGAAGTGGCAGCCCTTTGAAACAGACGACAATCCCCGTCTAAAACGTTTAATTCTAACTGGAAATGTGATCCTAGATTTCTCAAAATTCTTTCCGCGTTATTGGTTCACATTTTTGAGTGAGCCTTGCTGCAAACATCCCAAGTATGAATCCGCTGAGCTACTAAAAATAATTATGCAAAAGTTTTCTAATTTAACACAAGCATGTAACAATCAAAGCGGCTGATGTGCTTATGGTTTCGATATTGTACGGTCAATATACATCCCAGCTTTTCATTTTAGTAGAGGGGTTCCAAATTAGGTGGTTGTATTTATTTTGCTATTACTAATAAAACAATATTTAACCTCCAACCTGTTATGTATTTGACTGAAATCTACAATGGTACAACGCCACTTTCAAGATATCCAAATACAATTATATTCAATTCAGAAATTAAACTGCGGTATCACACTTCGAAATAGGGGGTGTTTGAAATTCAAAGATGGGAGGGGGTGTTTGAAATTTAAAAATTGGGGGGGGGGGAAGGGGGGTCCAAAATTCAAAGAACGGGGAGGGGGTGAAGTTATTGATTAACGTACTTGTATGAGGAGTTAGAGTCATAACCTTTCCGCTTCAAGTGCGTTTTCTTAAGTTAACACTGCATTACTTTTTGCAGCCTAAGTCGTTGAAGAATTGGATTCTCCATTTTGTACATATGCACATCAGCCACTTGACATCTTCAAAGAAACCAGAGCTGTGGATAAATTGCCTCAAGAGACATCTCTCAGCCAATCAAAGTCTAATATTGTTCAACAATAACTTCAAGTCCTGCCCAAAGACTGTAGACTAGGGCAACGTTCCCCAACCTTGTTGGGGAAAACCTTGAAGGAACTAATTTTATTTTCTTGTAAATTTTATTGTGTTTTTGTATTTGGTATTGAAATGCTGGTCAATGGTAATTGTATCTATGGGAAGTATCGCAGCTTAAAATCTTGGAAGCATTTATTTTGGTTAAGTGAAGCCACGCCACGATTTTAAAAACTCACTGCTGGCGAATAAGCGCAGCTTTCTCACTTTGAAGTAATGTCTGAGGAAATAAATGTCATGTATTCCGTTCGAAAAACAGTTTGAAAACCACTGAACTAGGGTACAGACTTTGAATTCTAGAATAAAACTCTCTGAATTTTTGAAAACATCACCCTGGGTAGTAGAAAATAACCAGGCTTGTCCATCGAATTGGAATCTCATGGGTTTGGACAGCTCACATTTGTATTTCCCACGGGACACGTGGGACACGAAATACTGTATGATTTGAAGTGAATTGATTGTAAAACATTTTCTTATGGACTTCGTGTCCATATATTTGAGCATAGCCCTCTTGTTAGTTATATTAACAATGTACTTTGTGAAGTGGCTGATGAACGCATGTATGATAGTTTTGAATTTAAAGTTGACGAAGTCACTAAATTTTGTTGTTTTGCATGTCTCTTGGTACATTTAGTCCTATCTAACAGACGCTAAACCTAAATTTAATAATTTTATTGAATTGTATTCCAATGGGAACCCCATGGGATTGGAAGGGCATAAATTGCTATCGGATGGGGCAGTTAAATATGTCCCATGGGCAAGCCTGTAAATATCACATTATGAATTTGTAGCATTGGAACAAACTTGAATTTAGTGGATTTTGAAACAAACTATGAACATTCTAAATGTGACTGTAACTCAAGTAATAAATTAGTCATATCATAGAATTTGCTTTATTTATTTATCTATGACGGAGAACAGAGATGAATATTACCTATGGTGTTACTCTGGGTGTCCGACTCAGGCCAAATTATAGCAGCCTCCTCTAGTATTAGAGAAAATAAACTCCTAGACCAGACCCATCTTGATAAAATTTGAAGCAATTTTATCTATGAACTAAATACCATAGGATTTAACATCCAATTGTAACGTAAAATTTGCTAATTGAATCCAGGGCTGTAAGATATGAGAAATTTTACATCACACAGCATACCGTGTTTCCCCAGAATATAAGGGTACTCCCGTAGTATGTGAACCAAGATGGCGGACACCGGATCGTAGTATGTGTACCAGGCTAGGCTATAACTTTGGTACTCCAGTAGTATGTGAACCAAGATGGCGGACACCGGAATATGTACCAGGTTAGGTTTAAGCCATAATTTCGGTTCCATTACATTTGAACCCATGACAATTTCACCTGTATGCTATTGCACCTATGAAATTTTTTTGTTTCACGGATAGTTAAACCCATACTAACCCTAACCCATGGGTTTTAGCACCCGCATATAGATTGAACCCGTGGCTATACGCATGGGTTCAAATGTACGGTCACCCATAATTTCACGTACAAATACAACGGGAGTCACTTGCCTAGTCCCCGAACTCGTAATGGAACTAGAATAAGGAAAATTGGAGTAAAATTATGGTCTAATCTTAACCTGGAACACATACTACGTTCCGATGTACGCCATCTTGGTTCACATACTACGAGAGTACCAAAATAAGACCTAGCCTGAATTTCAAAAATGATTAAAATATAAGTCCTTCCCTTAAAATAGGACCTAGTCAATACTGCCTGGTCATATGGCGTGCCACAACATAAGATAGGGTGTACCAATTTATCTCGGGAGAGAGGGAACCCGATAATACTTACTGCCTGGTCATATGGCGTGCCACGACATAGGGTGTACCATTTTATCACAGTACATGGGATAGGCTTCCCATGTTTATCCCGGGAAGAAAGCTATGAGATCTCGTCTGGCACCAGTCCAAGACAGGTATGGGATAAGTTGGGTACTGCCAAAGTGTGTAAACCACGATGGCGGACACCGAAACGCAGTATGTGCACCAGGCTAGGGTTAGGCCATAATTTCAGGTACAAATACTACGGAAGTCACTTGGCTAGTTCCTGAACTCGTAACAGAGCTAAAAAAAGCAAAATTGAATAAAATTATGGCCTAACCCTAACATTGTATACATACTACGTTCCGCTGTCCACCATCGTGGTTCACATACTTCGGGATTACCAAACTTATCCCCTACCTGTCGAGAGTACCAATGGTTGACTAGTTATTTTGTTTAAGATGCATGGACTTGGTGGAAGGGCTTCCTGGCAGCTTCATTTTACCCAACTGTCATAGTCATTTCACAATAAAATAATGTTCTGAATATTATATAACCACACATTTCGCATAATATAACACTATATTGCAATGTACATTAATAATGCAAGATACAGACATAATTATTGGCTTCTCAAAATCAAATTTTGTGCCTTGTTCCGAAGGAATACAGAATTAAACACCCCAAAAGTAAATAAGCAAAAATATAATGTCAGTATTTCCGCATAATATGTATATTATTTTATTACACATAATTATTAATAATACCGATGAGAGATTGGTTAGAATACTGTATTCTCATGCTATATATATTCAGTTTTTGTGGATAATTGACTTCTTGAAAAAACAGCTTTACACTAAGAAACCCAGGCTCATTGGAGCTATTTCTTATTACTTTATCATCTGGTTACCGAACCATGTCAAGTATTGGAATAGTTACCCAGTTGTCTGTTTGGGATGCATGGACCTGACAATGTTTTTTTTGGTTTGAGATGGGCTGTAAACTGTGGTCTTGGACATAAAATTTTTATTCAGGTATTATGTACTATCGATTGGGTTCCTACAAGACTAACTACTTGTCTGTCTTCTATGCGGTGAATCCGTTTGCATATAATGCGAGGATGCTGTAGCAAGAGTGTAGATAACTATCATAAGGGATTCAAGAGTCTTGTCGCACACTAACACAAATATATTTCTGTAACGTTTCGTCTGACCAAGGTCAGACATACATAGTTCAACTGATGTTGACAGAGACGTTACAGAAATATATCTGTGTTAGCGACAATGTTCCCTCTAATTTTTTATAGTATGTGTGCGCAGAAATTTTGGTGTGTGCGCACTTTTTTGGAAATGACTAATATTTGTGCAAAAACCAATGAAGAAATTTTGGCGTTCTAACCGGGTAATAAGTGGGCCAACAACAAACTTTCTCAACCTGCCAACCGAGCACATTGTTACATTACATCGAAATAGGTCTGTGCGCAGTAAATCTATGCGTGTGCGCAGCCTCTGAAGGCTGTGTGCGCGCGCACACGCGCACACCTTAGAGGGAACACTGGTTAGCGAGCAGCAAGACTCTTGAATTACTTTTTAGTTATTAGTTGGTTAGCAAATAAATGCACAGGTAGTGAAAAGTAAACAAAGCTCTTCCATGTGATGTTTCTGTTTTCAAATCACCGCTTTGAAGACTAATTACAATCAAATGGATATTTCCATTTTGCTAAATTCTTATACTTCCATCTATTTCCTTGATGGGTAGGCCTGTACCAGTGGTTCACTCTTCTTCGTGACCCACATGCTTAGGGAAAAAATTCTGGGTCCTATTAACTTTCACATGCAAGGGAAAAACTACAGGAAAAGCAAAAAAGAAAAATTACTGTAATACATATTAAGGCTAATACATTGTTGACTATTTAAACTAAACGAGTGTGCAGGTTGCACATTGTATTAAATATATATCTTCTTATACATTCTGTAAGAAGAATTAAAGAGTTTCGAAATAAGCAATGTAAGGAAATATAATGAAAAAGATTCGGGACCACTGGTATAGACATTTTGAATATTTGAAAATTGGGTACTCCTGTAGTGTGTGTACCAGGTTAGGCTTAGGCCATATTTTTATTCCGATTTTCATTATTTCAGTTCCATTGAGAGTTTGGAGACTTTCTGTGTTAGCCAAGTGAATATCCCCCTGCCCATAGGTTTCAGTCCTTTTACACAACTTGATGTAAAGTAGGCGAACAAAATTGTTACCTCCATATTGGTACACACGCTTCTGCTTCCGGAGTGCCGAAAATTGTTTCCTTTTTATCAGTTGTGAACCCTTGTTGGGCTGTGAATTATTGAAGATAGAAAGCTATCATTTTAAGTACTTGAGACGGTACTCCCATAGAATGTGAATTAAGATGGCAGACATCGGAACGTAGTATGTGTACCATGTTAGGGTTAGATCATAATTTCAGGTACAACTACTACGGGAGTCACATGACTAGTCCCCGAACTCGTAATAGAACTAAAATATGGAAAATTGGAATAAAATTATGGCCTAACCCTAACCTGGTACACATACTACGTTCAGGTATCCGCCATCTTGGTTCACAGACTACGGGAGCGCCTGTGAGACTAATATTTGTTACCAATTGGTCTGACTAATATTTGTGCCATTTTTGAGAACTAAGCAAGTCTATATATGTATTAAGAGTCTGAATTTAATGAAATAAAATGGATATTAGAATATGTATGTAGCAGTAGATAATAAACAGATTGTAGCATCTCCGTTATGTAGATATAATCTAGTTTTTCACAGGGGTGGGGGGTCTGTTGTTGGGTTGCTTTCGCTCTGGTGGGGTTGTGTAGTAACTGGGGTGATCTCAGTTGCTTCTTCTGCTGTTTCTGGACTTTTCTCAACTCCTGTTCCGGATACCTTGGCCTAAAAATTGTATTGTAAATTGCTTTTGTATTATAGTTTCGGACTATTTTTTTGTGGCATATGCATGAGTCTGTTTACATACCAACTTCGATGCTCCCGAAGTATTCGTACCAAGATGGCGCACAACCTGAACATAGTATGTGTACCAGGTTAGGGTTGTTCAGATTGTGCATCATCTTGGTATGAATGCTTCCGGAGCGCCCCAACTTCTTGGCATTGGTGGAAGTCTATCTGTCTGGCTTCTTTGGGACCAATAAACTCAGGTTCACTTCCCATGTTCAACCTCTTACATATTCTGGTTGAATTTCAAATCTTTTTTTGGAGTGGTAGAGGTAAGATCGGACCCAAAAATCCCAGCCTGGCTCGACCCAGGCCCGTGGGTATTAAACCCGACCTCGGCTAATTAACTGGATTTGCAGGCCCGAGCCCGAAGCAAACCCGAAATTTCTTATTTTATTCAGGACTTATTTTAATTGTCATTCCAAGAGTTTAATACAGTATGTGTCGTGTTGATAAGGCAATTTTTCTTTTGCAGACCACGGTCACTCGTGGCCAGAACACGACAGAAACGCCTCATTAAAAAAAAGTCAGCGATAGAGAAGCCCGACCCAGATTTTAAGATTTTGTGATCGAGCGTAAATTTTTCCAGACCCCACAACTCAACTTTAAACTAGTGGCCAAAAATCCTCGAACATACCATAATGGTGGAACCAACTCCTTCCACTTTTTCTTCAAATGACTTGAAAGCTTGTGAATTCCTGCAATGTAAAAAAATAAATAAATTGACCAAAGATGAGGTTTTATCACAAACAACGTCGTTGGGAAGTCTGGTACACAGATTTTTTATAGATCAGCAATGTGTGTGTCTTTGTATAAATCCAATGTTCACAAATGAAGCATAACACATTTACCCTAATGTGATTCAAACTGTTAGAAAAGGTCTTAATACAACCAAATACTCAGTTCAGTCAGGGATGTGCAAACTGTGGCCAGCCCCCACAAGGAAAAAATGTGCGGCCTGCGGGGAAGTGCAAATTTAGGACACCGTGCGTCCCAAATTTTTGATTTAGTTTGATCTGGTGTGTGTGATTCCAATCGGTTTGCGTTGCAGAGCCTATACCTAAATCAAATTCATTATATGCTTTTGACATTACAATGCCTTTACAGCTATCTTGTGCGAAGCAAACAACGCATAACATGAAATCAGAAGCAAAATATTTTGTGCCTGCAACTATTAGAAATTCTATCTTAAATAAAGGTGTGGCCCGTTTTTCTACTCAGTAATTTTATAGGACCCTTCTGCATTAATGGTTGCACATCCCCAGTTAAATAGAAAAGAACACAAAGCATGTCTGAGACAGGGTAGAAGAAATGGCATAAAAACAGGATGGGAGAAATGACTTAACCCAATAAACACCAGTGATGCACAAGATCATCAAGAAATATAGGAGGAACCTTATATGCTTCTTTCTCTTACTACTGGAAAATATTGAATACAATTAATTTGGAGCACCATTAATTTATATCGACTTGTTTTGGAATCCTTAAAAGTGGTCTTATTGTCGGAAAAGTATGTGGGGCGAAACTTTCGCTTAGCATTCTATTTGGGATATTGTTGTAGTTTTAATACTTACTTGTTACTTATGTCACAACTCTGACTTCTCCGCAATAAACCGAAACTATTCCATAAGTTAGCATGAGATAAATAAAATAAAATCATTTTCGCAGTAACTGTTAGAGCAACAACTTCTGATTTTTTTTTTCATTAAATTCCACCCTTCATCTATTTTGATGAATCTTATTTCTTACTCGCTATGTATACGACTACTTAATTTATTCAATCTCTAATAGATCCTTAGCTTGTGTTATACACAAGTTGTACTCACGCTTTTGTATATTTAATAAAGTAGTTTATAAGGTGCAAAAATAAGTATTATAATAATAATATGGAATAAAAATATTAGGAGTCTGTGGCCGTAGTCTAAATTTATGACGCATTGAAGTCAAATTATGTTATTTTATTCGGCTCAGAATGTTGAGGTCTAAATAATGTGTCAATTTTTTTTGATTCTGCTGTTTTTATTCCATAGACGTGCACTGAAACGTGTTGAGCTATCCCTATACTAAACCTGGACTGGTAGCTGGAAGAGAGGGCAAGGACTACTAGTGCTACCGTTTTTTATCTTTCCTCAATAAAATTATTCCACAACTTGATGGCAGAGTAGCTCTTATTTGGCTAAGAATTTAGAGTCTGAATTGAGTGTAATTTTCCCAGGCAAAACAGTTCTGGACCGTAGCTGAAATGTTAAACAAGTTAATTAGGCTATTCTTAGACTCTATCTGGACTGGTAGCATGATGAGAAGTAGCGATGCCATCTTTTTAATCTTCTCTTTTGTAATTAATACCACCACATCCAAAGTGTATAAATGAATGACCAATATAAACTTACTTCATTTCACTTAATTTTTGAGACATTGAACTTCCGAGACTCGAAATTGCTGAAGCGGTCGATTGTCCGGCTGATTTCAGAGTTTCCGAGGTTTTCTTGTAACTGAAAGTATCAAGAAGGGACTTTAATTTACATACGACACTCTAAAAAAGACCAAGCACAAACTAATATGATAACCTAGGTAGGTATATTTTTGTGTACTCAATATATTACACCCTGGGTGAGGTACTCCAGAAGTATGTGGGCCAAGATGGTGGACACCGAAATGTAGTAAGTGGATGAGGTGATAGAGATGAGATTTAAATCGAAGATCTGTATTCTGCCATGCTAATACCAGCTTAGGAAGGGCCGAGCAATTGACTCCACTCAAGTCAAGCTCAAAAAGACTCTAGGTATCTGAATGAAACTTAACTAATGACAAGTTAGACTCTGTGACGACTCAAACTCACGTTTTTGAAGGTTTTCGGCGTTTTTTCACTGTTTCTGCGAGTTTTTTTTTGTGTTTTTTTTCGTGATTTTTCGCTGTTTTTGCAAAAATGTTGATAGTTTTTCATTGTTTTTGCAAGATTTTTGGTGGGTTATCATTGTTTTTGCAAGGCTTCAGGTAGTTTTTCGACTCCTATCATGATTCGGGACTCTTCCACCCAATATAGCCAAGCCCAACCGCTCTAGCACTTATTCAAACTTCTACACCAGAGTAGGCTATCCAAATACATTTTTTTAGGTATTTCATATGCTTGCTCTGAACAAGGGGAACGAGCAGCTACAGGTGTGCATGCATTAAGGACCCAAATTTTACTGCTCACTGTCAGTATAGATTACTCAAATGTTAACTATAAACAACCAGATGAAGCTGTTTTTTTGGATTCTGAACACTGATTTTTTCATTCAAGAAACATGAAAAACTAGAGCATGCAGAATTCTGAACAGAAATTACAAAAACCAAGCAGCATGCAGTTCAATCATGCATTACAAACTAAACATAAAGAATAAATAATTATTGCAAAATTAAAAAATAACAAGGTGCAAAAATATCACAATACAAAAAACACGAAATGGATTTTTGAATAGGGAGAAATTAAAAAAAGTATTTTATTTCTCCAGTCTAAACAAGAAATTGTCACTGATACTTTTTGTGTGCCTGTGGTCAAAAGAAAAAAAAGATTCATTCACTCTGTAGTCTTTTGTGACCTAGCTTTGAAGAATGTTATGAAACCCTATTGGAGAACAAGAAGACAAATAGATAGGATAGGAAGTTCCCATTTATCCTTTAGGGAGAGGAAAACCAATAAGATGACTCAATTATATGGCGAACAATGACTCCATGTTGGTTTTTGAAATAGTTAGATGGTTATTTGTGCCATGCATAAATTTAAGCACAGCTTTAAACCAGGTTTGAACTAAAATAAAATTTGAAAAACAAAAAAAAATTTTATATTCCAACTTTAGTCCAATTTTAAACATAAACAAGATAAATCGTTGAGATAATACAACAGGCAAACTCAAATTAAGGTGCCTAATCATGCAAAAACATTCAAAATAATAAACTGGATACATAGATACATGAAGTAACCAGGGTTGGACAGAAAAGTCGGCTACCTTTTACCAGGAGAAAATATAAGACCCTATCTGTGCTAATATATGCTTTCATTAAGTATGCAGACTCGACAATCAAAGTTTATCATATATAAAGTGAACGTACATTCTTTCCTTTGTCTGGAAGTACAATTTTTTTGATTGGGAAAATTGCTCAATGCAAAGTCACAGTCACTCATAAGAAAAGGAGACCAATCTCCTTAATGACATAACATAGTGGAAGCCACAGCGAAAGCCTTCTATTTTAACTGAAACACTAAATGTATCACTGTAATTTATTTAGTGTCCACTAATGTAATGTTAATTTGATTTTTAGTATTAAATTGTTACCGTGGCACTTCTATTTACATATCGAGAAAAATATATTTTGGTAATTCTAGAGTGGAGGGAATGGATTTTAAGGTTGGGGGGGGGGGGGGGGGGGGGGGGCAAATGTGCAACATTTTGATTGATAAATATTGAACAAAGAAGAGTAAAATACATTATGTATGGTCACTTGTAGGAACAGTTGAGATAGTAGGGTCCCGACTCCCTGAAAACGGCGATTTTATAAGAAATCGCACATAAGCCGGTCCTACGAATCGTTACACGCCGGACGCCTCAAAAAAAACGTAGAAAGAGAACAAAATTAGTGTAACGCAAACATTTCTCACGTTTATCGTTTCTGCATGTTAGCGAAGGCCGTAGGTGGATTATTACCCGTAACTCTTACTTGTTAATTTATGTTAATGAAGTCTATATTGCTTTTCAATGCGTCGTGATTGTGTCGGGAGTTTATTAAAATAGAGTTCCTGAATCACCATAAAACAATTTCCTTTGATCGTCACAACGCTGTATTAACACATTCTTATGAATCGCTACGAATCTCAACATGCCAGACGCCTTAAGAAAGACGCAGAAAGAAAACAAAATTGCTGTAACACAAATATTTCTCACGTTTATCATTTCTGTTTGTTAGCGTCGGCCGTAGATTCTTACTCGTAACTCTTACTTGTAAATTCATGTTAATAAAGTCTATAATGCTTTTCATGCGCCGTGATTTGTATTAGTGGAAGGGATTGTTGTCGGGAGTTTAAGAGAGTCCCTGAGTCAGTCCAATTTCCTCTGATTGTCCACAAGGCAGTTAATTTCGAACAAAATTACTGTAACGCAAACATTTCTCACGTTTATCGTTTCTGCATGTTAGCGAAGGCCGTAGGTGGATTATTATCCGTAACTCTTACTTGTTAATTTATGTTAATGAAGTCTATATTGCTTTTCAATGCGTCGTGATTGTGTCGGGAGTTTAAAATAGAGTTCCTGAATCACCATAAAACAATTTCCTTTGATCGCCACAACGATGTATTAACACATTCTTATAAATCGCTACGAATCTCAACATGCCAGACGCCTTAAGAAAGACGCAGAAAGAAAACAAAATTGCTGTAACACAAATATTTCTCACGTTTATCATTTCTGTTTGTTAGCGTCGGCCGTAGATTCTTACTCGTATCGTAACTCTTACTTGTAAATTCATGTTAATAAAGTCTATAATGCTTTTCATGCGCCGTGATTTGTATTAATGGAAGGGATTGTTGTCGGAGTTTAAGAGAGTCCCTGAGTCAGTCCAATTTCCTCTGATCGTCCACAAGGCAGTTAATTTCGATAAGAGTCCTTATCACCGCCCCTTAACGGATAACATATCGTAAAGGTGATTAAAAGTCGCGCGCCGTTAATTGCCTCTACGGCAATAGCGCACCAAATAATAGCATTTTCACCACGAAACAACTGGCCGTAAATCGACACTGTGGCTGTTGTGTAAAAGAAACACAAGCGAGAACAAACCAATCAGACTGTACAAGCGTCACGTGTTAAACAACCAATCACAGACTGTACAAGCCATCAGCTTTATGATAAGACAATACACCTTCACAAGCGATTGTGTGTGTGCGTGCACGCTTTTTATCGTGAGAACTTGGTATGGTTTGAAGCTTTTGGAATTACCGGCAAGTCAGCATAATATCATCTCGTTGCGTGATCAAATTCTGATGCGCGAATGAGCCGATTTTTTGATGCAATCTGAGTTATGCGCGAATAAGACGGTCCCTTAGTTTGGCAACTTTTTTTTTGAGTTTTAAACTCGGCCTATTCGCGAGCACATACGGTATATTTTAGTAAATATGAAACGACGTTGACTTGAAGCACTTTCTGTCAATACAACCAGGAAAACAGGTATCAGGTAATGAATTCCACATAAGTTAAGCTTTTGGGAAAAAAATTTTTTGTTGGTAGGTGCACTCAAAGTAAAAAAAGTTATAAAATATTACTTATTAATAAACTTAAACGTGAAAGTGCGAAATGAAGGATATTAGTAGTATGTTATCACTTACTAGTCAGAGTGAACTATTTTTTCATTCAATTCTGTAACTTTTTGGCTTGTGGATTGGTACCTGAGGAAAAATGGGGTTTCATAAATATGAGGGAAAAATAATTGATGACACAAAGTCATCGCATAATGGTAAAATATATCATAGACAAGCTCGCAAACATTAATGTTGGAGATGGGATGCATACACAAGACGAACGAACTTGTATGAACAGTTGAGACAATAGGAGAAAATGATGGCCAGATGATGGGTGTGGCTTGTGAAGGGAATAATATAAGGGAGAAATAATAAATGCTGAAAATATAATATTCTACAATCCGAAATGAATGTCTCGTATTTTTAACACGAAATACCAAGTCGCGATTAAAATAAAGTTACAAAATGAAAAAGGCTGACGTATGAATGATATCAATTATAACAGTTGAATTTATTGATTTACGCATACGCTTGAGCGCCCGCATACGTCAAGCACCGAGAAAATGTCAAATAAATTCAGTGTGAACGGAACTTATAAAACTATTTTTCTTCCAGTTAAAGTTCGTCATTTTTGTATTGAAAGACAGATTAGCATAGTCTTTCACTCCAAAAAAAGCTGTAAAGCTGTAAATAATTCAATTGATCATCTTCATAACTTTTACGGCAAAAAATGACCTCTCTCATAAAAGATTTTAGTTGGTCCAATGGAAATCCAACTGCTAAAATCAAGTTTTATATATCTGAAGGTCGCTTCAGAAGTGTGTACACCAATATGGAATTAACCAATTTTGTTCGCCTATTTTACATCAAGTTGTGTAAAGGGACGGAAACCTATGGGCAGGGTGTATATTCACTTGGCTAACACAGACAGTCCCGAACTTGTAATAGAACTAAAAACGCTAATCTAGCACATACACTACGGGAGTACCTTCTGAAGTGTTTCTTGAGCAAGGTTCCAGTCAAGGATCAAATAATATAGGAAGCTCAATAGCTCTGTTAAATTTTGCTCTGGCAGTCGAATAATTATCGTACATCATGGGTGGTATTAGTGGGGATTTGAACGATATCCAAAATGAGATGCTAACTTTAAATTGACATATTAGCAACTAGGCCAGGCCTATTCATCTTTTTTCAATATTTAAAACGCTCATTTTTGCAAACATGCAGAAATATGCAACTTGCAAATATGCAAATATGCAAAACAAAAATAAAAGGTGATAAATAGAACGATGATTTAACACGATGACACAGAGATGATTCACAATAGAATGAATAAAATACAAGAATTGCTACAAATCAGGTTGATAAAACCGGAAAAGCTGTGAACAATTCAACTATATTTGAATAAGGTTTCTGAATAATCTACAATTAGCTGTATAATCATTATTCAAAGATAAAAGCAGTTTGCAATTGATATTTTTTGCAACCAAATTTATTTGACAAGTTCACACATTTATCGAAAGAGAATATTTTCCGATCCACCTCAAGAAATACAATATGGCAGCTCAATCATGACAAACCACAACCTCTCGTCCAATTACCCGTCTATTTCGGGTATGAAATTAGTTAACCAGTTATTTGTGCTCGGAAGCTCGGACTAAGGTTCCCCTTTGTAATGGAATGTTATCTGGATTTCAATCCCAACAAAAAGGTTGAAATGTACTGCGTTAGGCTACCACAACGATTGAGATAATAGTTATCCGCATCCGAAATATTTTTTTTCATAGTTTTCATTTCAGTTCGCCAGAATTACCAAACAAACACCAAGCATGAGCCACAACACCAACTTCAACCAGTATGACAGGCAAGAGAGTAATCCTATTATACGTTTTGATTCAACGTTTTTCATTTTTATCAATACTTATCAAAAACGGCACATCTGTATTTAAGGACGGCATGTTCTCGTGAGTCGTGCATACATCCAGTCTTCAATATTGATAATTATCAACTCTTTTATATTGCTTTTACGAGACGAATAAACATACATGCATACAACTCACACAAATGCAAGCCGTATCCCTCTCATACATCTCAAACACTGAGAGAATCCAATGTTATTTTTATAACATTATGATTATGGTAGGAGTCATAGTATATTCAAAGTTTCAAGCAGGTGGAGGGCATGGGATTTTAACCCAAGATGTGCAATCTTCGACGCTAGCACAGTAAAGTCTGACACCTTGATCGCAAGGCATTTGCACCGAAAATTTCAAATGTATCGATTAATAATGAACCAAGTATTTTGTTATGAGCACACTACTGGGTACTCCCGAAGTATGTGAACCAAGATGGCGAACACCGGAACGTAGTATGTGTACCAGGTTAGGATTAGGCCATAATTTTATTCCAATTTTCCTTATTCTAGTTATATTACGAGTTCGGGACCTAGCCAAGTGACTCCCGTAGTATTTGTACCTAAAATATGGCCTAACACTAATCTAGTACACATACTACATACCGATGTTCACCATCTCCAATCACATACTTCGGGAGTACAAACTACTGCATACCAGTCCCTACAATATTTTTCATTGTACAATGGTAATTTATTTTAGTAGCACTATTAAACGCAACACAAACGCTTCAAATAATGTACTAAGTAAATATTTCATTGCTGATTTATTTGTTTATTGCTCATTTTTTCCAAATTACTTCAAATCGAGGATAATAAAGTCGATATTAGATTGATATATTAGGACTAAGCCATTAAAATTTGAGTGTTTCAAACAGGTAGTAGAGCATGTTGATTTTCGTAAACATTTGAGTCGGATTTTCAAACCCCCCAAGTCGAGGTGAATTCTATGAACTAGGGAGTCATAATTTCAGACTTCTAATGTTGATAATCGAAGTCCAAATTTGTGACATCAACACAAAAAATGTTGCATTGGCTGAGCTTTCAAAACAGACAGTTACAGAATGCTTTCATATGCCATAGTTTCAGTCATCAAAATTCTTTTTCTCAAAGCTTGAGGCTGTATTCGGATTTACTTTAATTAAATTTTCTTCAACTGAACAGAACTGATACTAATTTGACAAATTATGCAATAAAATTAGAATATTTGCTAAATTTATTCTATGAAACTAGACATTTCACTACAAACTTTGTGGAAATAGCAATTAATTCGATTATTTGAATTACTCCTTTAAAAGCACTAATTCTGAATTTTGTTTAAGTGAAATATTATCAAACTACAGTAGATGAAACTAGATCAAACTAGTTTATTCCTTGATACGAGAAATAAATAATCGATACTTACGCGTTCGAACTTTGGACTTTGTTTAATTCTGCTTTGAAAGATTGTGAAAGTTGATTGAGTGGAGTGAGACCAAGTTTCTTTCGTAAATCTGCAGCGTAAACTTCCTTCGCTTGTAATACTTGCCGCAATGTGTTGATTTCCTCCTCAGTCTGATAAAAAAATTAAATTGAGTAGAACCCAAACGAATACTGCTAAAAAACTATGATACACCCAACATACATAAGCAGAGTTTAAAACTCAAAAAAGTTAGCAATTAAAGGGCTTATATGCGCATAACTCTGATCGCACTCAAACGAAATGACATTTATCTGACCTAATTCTTTGAAAGAAGGGGCGCAGGTCATAAAGTATGAGAACAACCAATTACAAGCTAGCTGTTGGGGCATTGTAATGTCATAGATAACAAATTGGACTCAGCCTCAGGTATAGGCTTTGTAACGCAAAGTGATTGAAATTATTATCACATACCAGATTTAACATAAAATGAAAAATCGTTTCGCGAGCCGCACACCATTCAAAATTTGCATTTCTCTGCTGACCGCACATTTTTTTCTTGAGGGCCGCATCCTGATTTGAGACACTAGCGAAGTAAGAATGGTACTTAAATGATATGACTAGCGGCGTAGCGGGGTAATACCAGGTTGCACACCCCTGATTTAATCGACTCTTGATTACTCTAACCTTAATCAATTCTTGTCTCAATTCATCCGAAGGGTCTGGCTTTGGCGGCTCGGTAGTTTCATTTTCATCAGTAGGAAGTGAGGCTGCTTCTCCCTCGGGGGATAAGTCTGGGTAAAGAGTTTGCCCTTCATTTGTTGAAGCTGAAAATAAAGAAGTCGAAAGTTTTACATCATAACTGAAAAAACTCGCACTTTGTGAAGAACGATGGTCTAACAGTTAAAAAGTAACAGACAGTTACAATGACCTCTACTGTATATTACCATAAATAGTATTATGTTGTCAGTATCGAGAAGGCTGTCTTGTCTTCAGTATGTAAAATCAATATAATCAAATTTAAAAATCTAAATTCCCACAATGAAATTCCATTTCCCAAAGTCTCGCCCATAAGTGATGAAGAATTGAAAATATAAAGATTTGGGAGGTAAATTAAAATTTTGAAAAAGCGTGAACGAGAAGATAAAGAAATGAATAGAGGCCAAGAATTCTCACATTACATGTCATAAATTAGTTTAAATGTGACTTTCTGTATATCCTCGCATTTAAGTTGCCAAACTAAGAGGTCAGCTTATACGTGCATAACTCTGATCGCACTAAAGGGTCGGCAGCGCTTGGTACGCCTTTGACAGCAATAACAGTCTGTAATTGGTTGTCATACACGTGATAACTTGCGTGTTTAGGTGCGTACCGCGTGTTCGATTTGTAGGGTCGGCTTATGTGCAAATTTTTGTAAATTCACAGTTTTAGGGTCGTTTTTAGGGGACTGGCTTTTTGCGAGGATATACGGTAACTACATTGAGAAAGGAATATAGGCAAAACGATCATCCCATAGTATGTGAACCTAGATGGTGGACACCGGAACGTAGTACGAGTACCAAGTTAGGGTTAGGCCATAATTTTATTCCAATTTTCGTTATTTTAGTTCTATTACGAGTTCGAGGACTAGCCAAGTGACTCCCATAGTATCTGTACCTGAAATTATGGCCTAACCCTAACCTGGTACACATACTACTTTCCAGTGTCAGCCATCTTGGTTCATATACTACGGAAGTACCAGAAAAACAAAGTAGGGAAATAGGAAACTTGTCATTATATGACTCATAGGCATCCTATCGGATAAATTAAAGTTCCATGAGTATAAAGTTAAGCAAATAATTTCTTGGTTTGAAAAATCATGGCGGCTTGTAAATTGTGACCGACTTACAGAAAAGAATTTAACAAATATTTTGTGGGGCCCGAATACAATTTAAAATAAAATATAGAAAAATATTTCAATTTCTGAAGACTGTGACATACAGAAAATCAATGAAATCGGTGCTAATCACTATTAGTCAATCTCGACCTTCTTGACTTCAAAATTCGAACTAAACGTACAATTGATTTTTATGTGTTTCTTGTTGTCATTTTTACTAAATTCAATACCCAATATTCAAAAATATTATTTTAAAATGAATTCGTAATAAGTAACTCTTCAGTATTGGCCATCCTTCCTGTCATCTTTTCTGTTAAGAATGCTTACTCAACTGCTTTTTAATTTACAGTCACGAAATTCAACGTTATTTATTTGAAATAAACTGAATAACCTACTCAGAGGATACGACTACAGCTATTATAATATCAATGAAAGCATGCTAAATTACTACAACTGCTGGTGACAACAACGGAATATTTCAAATCTTTTGCAAAACATTTTTGGTGATCAAATACCTGAAATGGATTTGCAAGTAAATGTGTTCTGGTGACATTTTCACAGAAATTCAAAAAGAAAAGTCACAATAATCAATCAGAAATAAAGAAAATATATCTCTGAGTAAAGTTTCGGATGGGCACTATAGTGCCAAGAACTATGGAAAGAGCCTATAAAGCATAGGATTGCAATTTAGTAAAGTTTAGTGAGTTTTTGGAAATAAGAATTCAGACATCAAATTTTCATTTGTCTGGTAGGTACATGGGTGAGAGCACACAGCCAATCAAATTTGACAGCTGCAAACTTTTGACTACAGGATAGAATAGCTATAAAGTAGGTTATATATGTTTTTTACTTCAATTTTTGATCGCCGATAACAAAATTGTTAGGCTTACACAAAATTGTGACTTGTGAGATTAAATGTGTTCTTTTTCCATTACATCGTTTTAATGCCTTCAACTTCAAACTTGGCTCTGATTAGGCAGGCCATAATTGAGATAACTCTAAACAATTGAAGCAAATTGAAGCAAAAGAAAGCATGTGAATTGAGGAACCCATGAACTAAATGATGGTTTAACAGAATTGTTATCTTGCTAAGGAAGCTACCAGGTCTACAGACTACAAATCTGTATCTACGTTCGCACCAGGATTATAATTTGGATTTTCAACAACTCTTTGAGTAAAACTGAACATATCTGTATCATCAGGTACGCCACGGATTTTCGACGACTCACCAGTGATGCTTGTATCGTTTTCTAAAGGAAGCAAGTTTAAATATTGCTTGTAATTATCAGCTTTCTTTGCAAATTCAAGTTTTTGCTCTAGAGTCGTGTTGTTTTCTTTGTTATTTTTATCATTCATTATTTTATGTTAATTACATTAAAACTCAAGAAACAGAAAGTATTGGACATACTTCTAAAATATTGTCTAGACAAGGAAAAATAAATTATTTATTGTGCTACATTCTATGTATATTTTTTAATCAGGAATGAAATTTGAAAAAGGTCGCACAATTCAGAGATGAATACCGAATATGAATAACATTATTTGTTTCCACAAAATAGCAAGTATATTTTTGTATCCAATTAGTCCTATACTAACACAAATGTATTTCTGTAATGTTTCGTTCGACCAAAGTGAGGCTGTTTCAGACAAGCAGTTAACAACAATGGCAAGAAATGAAATACTTTTGTAGCAAGTATATTTTTGAGCTTGCATTAGATCATATTGTAACTCCTTCAGCAGTACAACTTGTTACGTCTGAAAAAGATCGGACTATGATTTAACGAATGTTTAAAGATATATATTGTGAAAAGAGATTATGTCGTTCTTATTTGTATTATCCATGCAATTCAAAACCTATTAATCTAAATTAAATCTTTAACTGTTAAATTTTTGAAATATTCGATTTCGGCTATCCCTGCTCCACATTCCCAAATCATTCCAAATACAATTTTGGCTCAGGCCTCGATACCATCGAAAAAACAGTGAATTGTTTTTAGTCGCTCAATTCCAAATTGTCAGGTCAGAATGACATGAGACCATGATCAGGTGACATTGATCAAGTCAAGACTTCATTATACAGAGTGACAATGATAAACAAAACTCATAAAGTACTTGTAGGAAAATGAAAAAGAAATTTTCAACACTTGAACTTCTGTTTGTGTATGATTGTACCCCAAAGTTTCAGTAATCTAGGCTTTGCACAAAAGTTGCATTCGTTTTTAGAATATGTTTCAAATGAGCTGTGTTCTATTTTTCAGTCACCCTGTACTTCGAACAGCTTTTCATAAACATTATTTCCATTCTCAGTTACTTTTGAAATCTTTCTTCATATTTCACCAATACTATTTTCAATCAGTCTTAACAGCTTTCCACTCCCCCAGGATAAACATAAAAACATCCTAACCAAAGATCTCAACACAAAACTTATAAATTTTAACTCATTTGAGCATTATTCAGAGTGTCTAAACAATTTCGCCCGATTTTGTAGTTGTAATAATTACAAATTTCTTTGTCTCTGTTTATAAATACTTCTTATTGTCCTTGTAGTTCTCATTTATCATAAAATGAAATTTATTTAAACTTGCAAGTGTTATTACTTTATAATCGAGCCCAATTTTAAGTTGTTATTGCTGTGGGGAGGAGCAAAATTTTTTGGACACCCTGTAGCTATTAAATTTGTCCTCCCATTTCTACTTAAACAACTCTAAAAATAAATCATTTATAACATTAGCAAAGTATATACAGGCAGTTCTACCAAACCTCATAGCTATATATTGATCTTCTATCGAACACTTTCAAGAGGGCAATTGAATATAGACTACAGTACTTGAAATATGACGATTCTCAAAGTTAGAAACAGTACTAACAGTTATTGAAGTGTAGACCTAGACTGTGTTGGAATCACAAACTACACATATTGGTTTCAAATCCCATGCCCCCCCACCTCACTCAGGATATAATAAATTTGGTGAGCAATGCCGAATCAGGAAGATTCCAGTCCTTTCGAATGATGATAGCTTCAAACATATAGTTAGATATCAGTGGCTGCATAGGATCTTGTTCAGAATGAACGAATAAACGTGGAATGAAAATTTTTTTAATCAAGCTCTATTTATTTTAGAATTCACCCCCCTAGTTTGGTGGATATCACAGCTCCTGAATTCAGGGATGTTTAATTAGAATATATTCGATATCACGACTTTATTTCAATGTCTTTTGTATTTATAGCTACTTCACAATGATAACATTATTAAGATCAATTCCTATGTCTCTTTTAGAAAAGTGAATAAAATCTAAGTGGGGGATTTGAGAATGTATTCGAAATTCAGATTCAAAAATAATTTTTTGGAATGTATTCGAAACAGTCAAGTATTTGGTTATGACCATCTATACCTAGATTTTACAGTCTTATAAAAAAAATTAATTTTGCTCTAAACATGGCACTGAGCAAGAGGTTACTAATACAAGGGGTAGCAAAGTGTATTTGCTATTTGGTATGTATTACTTATAGGTAACAAATTAAATGTAAAAACAATGTTTGAATACATACCAACAGGATCAATGACTACAATTAGAATTAGTCATTCAAAAATTTAAATCAAGATTGCAAATATCAATCACATTGTTACGAGTAAGGCCGAGAAGTGAGCACTGACTTTTTGCGAAAGATGTGACACTGGTCTGACACACAGCTAGAGACCTTCAGACCTGGAATGTCAATCAATGACCCACAAATTTTTCACACTGAATGACATCAAGTATTGCACAATACTTAACATATTACATAGGCATGAAAGAAAATGTATAAATTCCCTGTTCAATAATGCTTACCAGTTGATCTATATATAAATATATATATGACAATGTCATCTTTAAATTAGCAAGGCCAATTGACAAAAAAAATCCAAAACAATGCAGCTAGTATGGCAGTTTTAATAATCTTTTACCAAATACTTTTCTAGATAATAGGGTGCTCCCGTAGTGTGTGAACCAGGTTAGGGTTAGGTCATAATTTTATTCTGATTTTCCCTATTTTAGCTCTACTACAAGTTCGGGGACAGTCTGTGTTAGCCAAGTCAATATACCCCCTGCCCATAGGTTACCGTCTCTTCGCACAACATTATGTAAAATAGGCGAACAAAATTAGTCACCTCCATATGGGTACACACACTCCTGGAGCGTCGGTTATTGAATTGCTAATTGAAAAAAACATAGCATGTTAGTAGTGCTTGTAACTTCTCTATCAATACTCTTCTCACCTCAAGTTGAGAAATCGGAAATTGTTGATTATAAATAAATCTCTTAAAATTCCTCTACCCATTCCTTGTTATCTCATTAACTCACACACACTTGCACTACTGTTAATAAAAGCAAGTATCTTGCAAAATGCAGGTCATAAAGTATCTGAAATTACCCGTGATTGAATTAAGTTAATGATTCAGCTTATTATCTTAGTTTGTTTACCTATTATATTTGTGCATTGATGTTAGAACAAATAAAAACTTTCTCATCACAATTTTCAGGGTTTTAAATTTATATTATTTTTTACAGACATTATTTTTGAACATGGTGGTGAATACAGACAGGATTTCATAATTTAAAGTTTTTTTTGACAATTTTCAGTTATGCCTCCAAACAGTAGGTAGGCATTAATCAGTCATTTTTATTCAGAAAGTTTTTGTATTGTTTTAGTATTGAATTCAGCATTCGTTATTGAAAAACAGCCCAGAATAAGCTTAAATAGACTCAACAAAAATCAGATATAATAGCATCCCCTTGAATATTATGAAACAAAATGATGTTTTCGAAAATGTAATAATTTGTAAAAAATACCCAACAAAAATGTTGCATGTTATAAGTATGGAAGATATATTTTGAGGTAAAAAATCGGAGAATTTCCATTAATTGGTAACTAGTGCCACATGCAACAGACGAATGGTCGTGGTTTGGCATAGGATTGCGCCATCCTGTTAGCGTGTGGGGATACAGAAAAGTAGTCACTTTTGAGAAAAAGAGGTATTTTGCCACAATACTGAAATATGTATGATAAACCCAAAGATACCTAATTTTAAAGTCTAATTTGGCAAAGCTTGATACAAATATCAGAATATTGTACTAAATTCAGGTGTCTTACAGTCTTAGGCAATAGACATATCAGCATATAAAATTACTGATATAGTCTAAATATCAAACATGAAACAAAGTTGCCTTACCCATATTTTCTGCTTTCAAGATCACTTTTATGGAATCTTCTTTTATCTTTTCCAAATATGCTTCTGGAGTTTATAATAATTCAGAAAAAAATCTTCGATTATCGCAATTTACAGACTTATATTTTTGTAATTCAGCTGAATGTGCCTATGCGACGGTGCGAATTCTGAAATGCGAGCAAAATATCGTCAAAAAACAAATTTATTACTGTTGCCAGAATGATTCATTCGTTCTCATGATTACAAACTTGAGCATTAGTAAAATAATTAATCATTATCTGTTTATTTTACATTAGATATGATTATAGACGTAAAAAACAGTTATACACTGTCATAATTTTAAATATTTGCAAGACGATTCCAAAAATAACATCATATCAAAATTAAAAATTATCAAAAACTGGCATCTATTTTGCAAATTCAACACGTGAGTACGATCGTGTTCCAGTCAAGTGTGTACATCACCAGTCGTTCTTGCATGGCCAAACATCTTTCGAAGCTAACTTGTCGATATACCACTTCATTTTTGCAAGCGAATAATCACTTTTTATTATTTCAATTACTTGAGCTTGAGCTAGAAATTTCATTAGTTTGGTAACCATTTTGCTATCAGTTTTGGAACTTGTTGTGGATATTCAGGAAATTCCCAGTAATTTACTAATTCAGTAATTAGTGTTTCTGCATAGCCACTTCCCTTTCGTAGCTTTGTAGATCAGTAGTTGCAGCCAGTTTCATGGAATAGCCAACGCTGATAAAAATCCACGGCAGAATATTGCATTGAATACCTTCGCTAAAGAAGCTTTAGGTCAGTTAGCTATTGCACTTACAGACTTATGGCTGTATGATCTAATTTGGTACCGGTACTAGTTCAGTAGTTAACACACCCTTTATGAATTTGTCTTTTTTTGCCAGTCTGAGTACCGGTACCGTACAAGAGTAGCCTAGTGTAGAAAGATTTCACTATCTACGCTACCTACAGTTATAGCTGTACGGGGTGAAAAGAGTATGGAATACTGGAATAATATACGGTAACCCAGTAACCTGATGAATATCACTGCGGCGGTATGGCTCATCGTGCTAAGCGTTAGGAATAGGCTCGCCACCGCATTTCTGATTACATTGCGTGGGTTCGCAGGTTCAAATCTCATGCGGGGTACCGGTACGGTAGTTATGTGCGAGAAGATTGCTGGACTCCTCGTCGTCGTATGGTGGTTCACGTAACCGCTGGTCGGTTACGGCTTCCTCCACCATCAAGTCCATGCTTCCGAATACAAATAACTAAAACTAATCCCATACCCGACATGGACTGGTAACCGGACGAGAGACTGTGGTTCGCCATATGATGTGGCAGTCGCATCTCTTTCCTCTCCCCCGGGATAAATATGTAAATCCTATCCTACCTTGGTTCTTTTCACCCATGATTCTTATATTGATTTTTATTAATTGTCATTAAATGTTTACAACAATTTTAATTTTGCATGTTTCAGGCTTTATGACTTTAAAGCATTTACCAAGTACTCAGTTTGGTAATAGTTGAATAGAAAATCATGTCTTCAGATGCATCTGTAGTATTCAATCGAATCCGACCATATTGTGTGGAATTCGTACAAACAAAAAACTTGCAATCACTGCGGAAATTTTATAAAAAATTAAACGAAATAAATCAAGAATCTTTGGATGAAATCGCACTTTATATTTTATTTCCATTACGAGTTGCTTTGAAAAATAAGGAAATATTAAAAAATGAAGATTTTGTCTGCTGCGTTTTGGAATGTCTTACTAATATTTTTACTCACGCTATTGTGAATGATTGGAATGTAATTAACGAGATTTTAACCCAACTTTGTGGAATAATTTCCAATCCTAAAGAAAAGGACATGAATGCTCGAGGCTCAGAAGAAGTAAAAGGGGGAGTAGCAAGTACAATATATCACTTATTCGATCATGCATCTTTGCCAATTTGGAGGAATATGTATGATTATTCAACTATACCGCTCCTTGGTCATGTTGTGACATTATTGCTGTCAATTGCAAAGGAAAATATTGAAAGAAAGGCTCGGATTTCTGCTTTAACAGCTCTCAAGTCAATATGTAAACCATCTTACTTCTCTTTACTTGAAGAGAGTGAGCAAAACGCAGCTGAAATTGTGATTGGCGATTGCATAGCATGTTTTCTGCCTGGAGTCTCCATTTCTCTGTCCAAAATTATTGCCAGTGATCTGAGCGCAGGGCACAAAATCAAATCTTTTTGTTTAGAAGTGCTTGGAGTGTACCTCACTGCAACTTTGTCAGATAAAAGCACAGAAATATCAGCCGTATCGAAAAAATCGGTCAGTGACATTAACCCTCGTCTGAAGTCATTAATCGTTACTAGAAATGATAAATGGGTTTCTATGGTTACCAAAAATCTGGAACCAATCATCAACAACGCATGCTCAGCTTCGAACTCTGAGGAATGGTCATTGCGATTGAATTGTGTGAAATTTTGCAAAAGCATTTTACTACATTGCTCAGTAAATCTGAAAAATCACGCCAGCACTTTATTAAAAGTTCCTGTGAAACTTTTAAATGATGATTACGTTCAAATTAAACAAATTTGTTCTCAAATTTTGGAAGATTATTCCCTCAATCTTCAGAAAACAGAATCTAAATCCCAAATTTTAGTAGAGATATTGGAAGAAAATTTATTTGCATTATGCACAAGTTTTCCTCGATATATGAGGACAATGCAAGATTCTGAAAAACTGTCAACGTTAAAAATTCTTCTCGGATATTTAACGTTATTAAAAGACAAAATCAACAATCTTCTTTATTCGCAACCACATTTGAAGAAGTTGAGTTCAGCCTTGTTGCATAGTTTTGAACTTGATACTTCAAGTATACAACTTATGGACATTGTGATGTCATCAGAAAATGGTGACAATGGTTTCCATAGCGATAACAACTCTCCAATTACATCATGTTTTCGAAAAGAATTTAGTCATTTTCGTAACCAGGATATCTTCACCACACTAAAACGTATTTGTAATATATTGGGACAACATGGCGACTGTGATGTTCTGTTGGATCATTTTTTAGAAATCTACAACACATCAGAGTCTTTTTGCAAGCAAGCTGTGCTTATTCTTAGTGAAATTTTAATCGGTGTTGAAAAAGGTACCAGAGACACAAATTTTAAAATTGTGCAATCAAGTGTTAAAACTTTATTAGAAGAGTACCTCTTGCCTGAAAACTGGTTTTTAGTTACACGCTTCGATTCTGAGTATTTAAAGACGCATCACCAAACTCGAATACAGAAAATTTCTCCTGGTACAGAAATGACAGTTATGCCGATGTTACACTTGAAGGGTCAAAAAAAATTACCACTAAAACAGATGAAAAGTAATGTTATACTGTGCTGTCTACATCTTGAGGCGATTCTAACATTTTCGAGAGTATTGGGTAACGATTTCAGAGCATTTCTCATGTATGCTTTGTATCCGTTACTTGAAAAAACTACGGAACAAGACGGTACAATTTCGTCTTGTGCTATTCGTGCATTGCGAGGCGTTGCTTCATATTGTGGATATTCTTCTTCATCAATGATGATTGCTGAAAATGCAGATTATCTTATAAGTGATATTTCAATCCAGATTCATAGAATTGAAGTATTTCCAAGGTAACGGCCGAATTGATATTTTTTTCTAAAACTAAAAAATTGTATAATTTTGGGAACTAAATGTTTGCTGTATTATACTGTAAGTGTCGCTTACTGAATGACTCACCGAGCATTCCCAATCCCTCATCAATTGCTAGATTCAATGTTTTCCTTTTTTTGTCATTTTCGCATGTGTTTATTGTTTTAAATTGATTCTTGCACGATGAAAATGGATATCTGAACTAAGTCCACCACACTTGCCAGGATAGTAGTCATTTTAACATCTGTGCAGGGTCATCCCAAAAACAAAATCTATTCAAAAACTTCTACAAAAATGAAGAAAATTTATTTTACACTTGAAATTCTGTTTGTGTATGATTATACTCCAAAAATCGGAGTGAAAAATTTTTTCAACCAAAAATTTTCATTTTGAACATGGCTCTAACTCTAAGGCAAGGTGCAAACGGCTACTGATATGTTAGAACAGGCCTGGGTAAGTTGCGGCCTGCGGGCCACATCCGGCCCGTGGCAACGTTTCATCCGGCCCGCGAACAGATTTTTTGATTTAGACAATTTTTTTTTTTACTTTAACGGTAAACAAAAGAAAGAATAATGAAAAAGTCGGTAATACCGTTCGACTAAATTTTGTTAAAATTACCGATGGTTTTCGTCAGCGTGAGGAGTTCTTTGGGTCGAAAACACCTTTACGTCGGTGTTTATTTTCCTCAAACTACAAATTTCTTTCAACATATATATGTCTTGTAGCATCACGGTGAACAATTGAGAAAAAAACGAGTTATTATATACTTATTGGCGACGAGATGCTAAAGGTTTCATCACAGACGTAAGGATTTTTCTAGCTGTAAAACAGAGCGAAGTCGGTTTTGTAAGAACGCATCAGATTTGGCGAATTCTCGAAATCGCAATACACGAATAAAAATGATCTGTCACATCTTTATGTCCGCGGATTGCGGTGGTATTTCAGAGCAATAATGCTTATATTTTATCAAAGCAGCCGCGGGTTAAGTTGAAAACAATAGAGCAAGACATCTTAAATTAGCCGTATAGCAAAAAATAGCATCAAAATCAAGTATATTCCGGTAATTCATCTCACATTTTTATAGCCGCAGTACAATAGATATAGTACTTTGTTTTATTTACATGTGTAATAAAATAGGACAAAAACGCGCAGTGTATGTTGACTTTTAGTCTGGCCCGCCACTGCATTTTGAATATTCAATGTGGCCCGATAGCAAAAATAAATGTCCAGCCCTGTGTTAGAAGATGTTGGAATCTCATTCAGCATTGCCAGCCTTATTTATTGCATCCTTAGTACCATGTAAGATATGGGATTTGAACCCGAGATTTTTAAATTGCGATACCAATGTTATAGATCAGACATGGGCAAACTACGACTATCAGGCCGAATCTCCCCCCCCCCCATCGTTAGATAATTCGATCTGGCCTGTCTAATACTGCCACAACCAAACTAAAACCCAATTTTGATGTTTTAGCTAAAAAATAGCTCAAGGAATTTGTTGAGATTGCAATTAAATTTAGTTTTTGGATGAGGCTCATTGTTTTCCACTACTGCTTTAGTAGCACTGCAAATAAAATTCTATTTATTGGATGTAACTTTTTACGTTTAGCTTACATGGCCGCCAGTCGAGGTGGACGACATTTTTGGCCCCTGGTCCCAAAATCTTGCCCCCCTCCCCCCATGCTATAGCTACTCATGCTCACAGAATATATGTATTTACAGATGTCCTGCAGTACTTCAAGCCATGCTGGACAACAGCAATTCTGACATACTTGCTCTGGTCAGCGATACAATCGATGAGATTCTCTTGTCGTTGGATTTACATCATCTGAACCTTGCTCGACTTTTAGTATTCTTGCCAGTTTTACTTTCTGTGGTAAAGGCAGTGAATAGATGGACTCGGAAACCAGATGCAAAACTTTTTTCCGAAAAAGATGATTTTTGTTCTATCACAAATTCAGAATCAAAGGAGTCCAAAATTAATGAAACAGTAGATACAAATGAAAATTCTGAGACTGTGACTCATAATGAGTCAGAATTTAATCCTGCAGATACCTGTTCGAGCGTGAATTCTACCAAAAATTATGAGACTGTGGAGGTGAAGACAGAAATTAATTCTGGAGATACCTTTTCACACATGAATTCTGCCAAAATTTATTCTCGTAAATTATTTGTTAAAAACCTCAAAAAAGAACTTTTAGAATTACACAAAAACAAGAAAATTGCAAATTTGGAAACCGATGCTGAAGTAGACCCCAATTGGAAACCAGAGCAAGAATATGATGCGCAACATCAGCATGAAAATGAAAATGATGAAAAACCAAAAATTCCAATGGAAATAACTGTCGTAACGAAAGTTTTGAGTCGTTGTATCCATTTGATGGCGCACTCAAACCCGAAAGTACGAATGAAAGTCATGGAGATAGTAGAATGTGGCATGTCCATACTAAGCACACACGAAAATGAGTTGCTCCCTATGACACATAAACTATGGAATCCTCTGGTTGTCAGATTTGGAGATGGTGAATTACAGGTATAATATATGATTTTAATGAGTCTTTCATATCTAACTTTGGACAAGTGTCTAGGCGGGCTCTAGAACAGCCAAAGAATTAACCAAATCCCAATAAATTTATATTAATAAAAAAGTAATGTCGTTTTTGCGCACAGCGCCTTGTGAAGATTTTTTGGTACTCCTGTAGTATGTGTACCAGGTTAGGGCATACTTTTATTCCGATTTTTCTTATTTTAGTTCTGTCACGAGTTCGGAACTGTCTGTGTTAAGCCAAGTGAATATATCCCCTGCCCATAGGTTCCAGTCCCTTTACACAACTTGATGTAAATTAGGCAAACAAAATTAGATACCTCCATTCTCCATACACATACCTCTGGGGCGTCTATATTTCTTATTGCCCCCTGAAAATTGGACTGGGGGCTTAGTTTGAGAAACCTAATCTGCGCCAATTTTCAGTGTAACTAATTTTTTATTTAGATTCATACATAACTTTAATTTTTCTTTTTCAAAGGTTGTGATGAAAGCTTTCGACACATTGTGTGTCATTGCTTCTTATTCAAAAGACTTTCTTCGAAAACGATTTTGCAAAGAAATTTTGCCAAAATTACTCTCTGTTCTTGAAATTCAAGCTAAAAAGAGCGTTGGACTATCAAAAAGACCAATATCGGGGGGTGTCACTTCCATTACAATTCCGTGGCATCTTACAATGACACCATCACAAGACACAGTGGCATATATGCATTCTGTGGCTTTTAAATTGCAACAAAAGGCTCTGAAAGGACTGGGACCTCTTCTAAGGAATATTGAAATTGATAGAACTGATCTTATCAAAGTGTGTCAGACATGCTTGCCCTATTTAAGCTCAAAGCAGCCTCATCAATTGCAGATCGACGCTATATCTCTATTTCAAACTTTATTTACAATAGATAGAGATGTAACTTGGCTTCAACTCGTCGGCTTGTGGTGCACGGAGTCAACTTTAAAGCCTCCTGAATATCTCAGTGCCCACCCTATGGGCCGTAACTTGCAAACAATTTATTTAGGTGGTACTACGGATCAGAAAAGCGAATTTGCGGTTAATGTCAAAAAGTTACTTCAATTATCCTGATTGGAGGGATATAATTTTTATCTAACAAAAAATGTTTCTGCGAATTGAAAGAAAAAATTTAAGGTGAAATATCAAACTGTGACAAAATTGAAAACAACAGAAAATCCAGTGACTTTTCCCGTCTTTGGGTACAGAATATTGGAAACCCGTTAGTTCTGCATAAGAGTGATTTTTCCCAACAACTGATCGTTCTGCAAGCGAGCTGTGCTTATTCTTATCAAATTTAGTCTGGTAAAAATAGTACAAGAGACACAAATTTCAAAATTGTGCGGTCAAGCGTAAAAACTTTATTTGAGAAGTACCTTTTGCCTGAAAATAATGGTAAACTGATTTATGTATGTATGGACTTCATATCTTGCCCGAAAAAAAGTTCCTTTCTTGTTCCCTTATTTAAATTGGATGATAAAACAGTTCAATAATAATGTTGGAATCACTGCCCTCTGCCAGATTCAACCCCATGCTTGCTAGAATAAGCGACAAGTTTTAGCAACCTAACTGCCTGCTAATGTGGGCTACTTACTTAATTTCAGCTGCTACCTTCTGATAATGAAGCCATGAGATTGTAATAGACTGTGTGATTTAAGGTTGTGAGTTATTAGGATTCATTAAAAATGTGAGAATTACTTTTTACCTGACCATTTTGTGTTCCCCCGTCCTAATCCAATAATTCTCTGAAATGTAATCAAATATGTAATCCCTTCCTTATGCGAGGTACCTATCTATTTTTTGTTTTTTTTAACAGTGTACCTGATAAACATTGTAGATAAATATACATTGTTATCACTGCATACTGGAGAATTATTGATAAAGTGTTTGTTATCTAAGCTAATGATTTCACACAATCAATTTTATCCATTTGCTATCATGCGTCATGAAATCACCTTCTGGCAATTGACAAAAATATACAGCAGAATATATATGAGAGATGGAAAATATCTCATGGGAAATGAACACATTGACCAGTGTCTTGGCACGCCACATGTTTTGTATTTCTGATTCATTCAGAAAATTTTCCTATGGCGATAAGATAACTATACTCATGATTTGGTTTCTGTGAGACTGACTACTCATCTTTGTTCTATGCTTTTGTGTCAGTGGATTCGTATGCATATAATGCAAGGATGGCTGTAGCAAGAGTAAAGATAACACAAATATATTTCTATAATGTAACTATGTATGTCTGAAGAAGTCTGACCTTGGTCAGACGAAATGTTACAGAAATATATTTGTGTTAGTGTGCAGCAAGACTCTTGAATCACTGGTGATAACTATAGTTGCACTTGATAAGGTTAGGAACCTGAACCTTCTCAATTTTGCAGTCAATTGTGCAGATGAAGGGCATGGTCAGAAATGATTTTTTAGCAGAAAAGTTTCAGAAAATATTCTTGTAGAAAAATCATGTTGCGAACAATAATATTGTGTAATTTATTGAGCTATTCACATCTGTTGTTTTGCATATTTTTCTTCTTCTGTCAATCGTATTTACTTTTCTAAATTTTGTTTTATTTAATTTGTTACTCAATTTTTTCAGTTTTTTTACTAGTTTTAGTATTAATCATGAATTCACGAAGCATTTTGTCTCGTCGTCTTTTTTCATTTTGTAGAAGATTTTCTAATCAGGTAATAAATATTAAGGCTTTGTAAAGAAGATAAAATAGTTTCATAATATTATATGAACATGTTTCGGAAAGTTTTATTGATAATCCGGAACATTTCTTGTACTGTACTGTAAGGACAAGTTTTAAATATTGTTATAATGTTACAAAACAAAATCATCTCTCCCTGCTTTTTGAGTTTAATTAGCAATGACGCCAATTAAAACAATAAGTGATAGGTTTTCTACGTACCGTAATTTTTTAATTTTTCAGGTCACAGCCTCGCAATCAGCGATTTTTAAAATATGTCCGAGAAAAGCTGCCATATTGTCAATATTTTCTGGAAGTGGTATTCTATTATGGACAAAAAGAATGAGGAATTTGAAAGCAAAAGAAGTTGATGGTAATCAAGTTACTTTTAATGGGGTGTTTGGTTTAAAAGTGGATGGATTGTGACAAATGTTAGGACCATGATTGTGACTTTGCGTAAAAAAATTATGGCTCTGACCATAGCTCCTAATGCCAGAGGAAAAAATTCCATTTGAATAATGGCTCTGATGATAGCTCTTAATGTCAGAGAAAAAAAACGCCATTTGAATAATAGGAACCAAGAAGAAACGCTCAGTTACCAATGTCTGAAATTCAGACTCTGGAGAATTCAATTTTCCTTCATTGAACTCATTGTATGTACACAGATTTCTATGTGTTCTTTGTTGAACATGATCTATATTTGAATATATTCGATACTTCACATTCTGAAATATATTTGGAATAGATATCCACTTTCATTCATTCCTGCTTGAGACTCCATTTTGTTTCTTTTCAGATAAATCCATCATAGTAGAAGCTGATAACTTGTATTCAACCGGGGACGAACCAAGACATTTGTATAATTATTTAATAAAGTAAGTTGAAATCAAATAGCTTGTGATGGCTTTTACTTGCGGTTCAACTTCGATGATTGAAAATTTTGACTTGACCAGTGCCAAAATGCAAGAAAAAATTATGATTTGCCAAAAGAACTCGCCATTTTGACTATGACTGCAGGGATTTTTAAATGACAACTCTTTAGAAATGATATTAACAGAAACATGCCAAACTTCATTTCTAGGACCCAAATCGCAGCCCTGGTTTCCATGCACTGAACTTTTTATGTGCTGAATCAATGCTATTTTAACCTTTTTATCGTCATGGGACCTCCAATATACTCGTGGCTTTACCATGGTACAACAATTATTAACAAAAATTCCAAAACAGATAAAATAGATAAGTGTATGAAAGTCAAATTTTTTTTGTTTTCGAATCTTAAAAATAAGATACTTTTACGTAACCCCAAAAACTCGTAGGCCCCCAACAACAAAACTGTGCTAGATATACAAAGTGTTCATAAAGTCCTGTTACTATTTCAGTTTTGTTCTAAAATCGGTTATAGCTAAGTTTTTTCATTTTAATCGGAGAAGTTTTTTTATTTCATTCAATACACCTGTATTTCCACACTATCAATTGCATAAAGCACATCCTGGTTCTTTTACCTGATTTAATACAAAAAGTTATAGACATCATGCATATCAAATTAGGACGAATCACAAAAGCAGACAATTTATTTATCATAGATACAAGGACTCAACAAATGCTGAAATATTATGGAGAGTATCACGTGCATCGAGAGATCTTGCGTTAAATGGAAGCGATGTTTCAAAAGAAGACAAAAAAGCTTTAGTATATGATGCATTCGAGACTGCTAAACGAGCATTAGAAATTGACGAAACAAATTGGGGATCGCATAAATGGTTCGCTATCACTTTAGGAGATGTTGGTGATTATGAAGGAACGAAAATTAAGATTTCAAATGCTTATGTTATTAAAGACCATTTGGAGGTAGGTTTTTCGGATAGGGCGTTAACACCACTTAAAGTTATGATAGTGAACTAAGGCATCTCGTTCAGTTACCTGTCGCGTAACAATATAGTTAACTAATTTATTTGTCTCCGATGCATAGACTTGGTGGTGGAGGAAACCATAACCAACCATCGGTTATGCAAACCACCCTACAAGGGTGAGAAGTCCAGTATTTGTTACTTATCGATTTTAATCGGTAAGTATGTTGATAGGTATTTTTCCGTCTGTCTGTGTGTATGTCTGTTAGATGCACGCGATATCTCACGAAAGCGAGATTGAATCAGCTCCAGATTTTGCATGTGCGTTCATCATATCTCTGACCAGAAGCCTATTGATTTTGGGCAAATTATGTCGTATAATTAGCGAGTTATTAATTAATTAGTGATGAGACACAAGGTGTCACTATGGAGTGAGAGCGCTGTTTTAAATGATCCCCTAACTTTCGATCGATAAGTCTTCGGTCTCTGACGAATATTCTCGTTTAATCTTTAATGGATTCTTAGCTAGTGTTATGCATAAATCGCACTCTCGCTTTTGTAGTTAGTTCAAGTAGTCGATGCATAAATAAGTATTACAGTAATACTAAAGAACAAAAGAATATTACTAATACTACTCCAAATATTGAGCAAAATTCCTCCATGCTTGGGAATCATGGCATTATGCCATCACACCCCAAAAATTGAAAATAGTTATCACAATCAGAACACTTTTATCTTAAGAGAGCACTTCAATTGAATCCTAAGGATGCCACAACAGCTCATTGCATTGGTCTTTGGTGCCTTGCATTTGCAGAATTGCCATGGTACCAACAGAAGATAGCATCGGTGTTATTCGGCACACCTCCTACTTCTACGTTTGAAGAAGCAATAAAAATGTTTGAACTAGCTGAAAAAAGTAAGTTATTTGTAATATTTTAAATTTTAGAATCAAATTACTCCTTGTAGTCTCTCTCTATGGAGTGGTCCTTTAGTAAGGACATTTGGAATCAAAAAATTGAATCATAATTTCAGTGGGTTGAAACTTTACTCATTTACTTGCTGCGAAGTCCAATTGCCTGTTTTAAAGTAAGAAAGATTGGTACTCTCGTAGTATGTGTACCAGGTTAGGGTTTGGCCGTACTTTTATTCTGATTTTCCATATTTTAGTTCTTTTACAATTTCAGGACTGTGTGTGTTAGCCAAATGAGTATACCTCCTGCCCATAGGTTTCAGTCCCTTTTCACAACTTGATGTAAAGTAAACGATTATAATTAGTTACCTCCATATTGGTACACACACTTCTGGAGCGCCGTGATTACATGGAATAATATCTTTTAAATTACAGCTGAACCAAACTTCTACAGTGTGAATTTAGTGGAATTAGGAAGGTGTTACATGATGATAGGAGACAATAGGCATGCATTGTTATATCTCGATAAAGCTTCGAAATATCCTGCGACTAATGACGAAGACAGACAGGTTGGTTTTATAATGCTGTGGCAGTGGTTTTTAACTGGGGTCATGCAGCGGTACTCCTGAAGTATGCGTACCAAGATGGCGGACACCGGAACGTAGTACATGTACCAGGTTAGGGACCATAATTTTATTCCAATTATTCTTCTTTTTGTTCTATTACGAGTTCAGGGACTAGCCAAGTGACTCCCGTAATATTTGTACCTAAAATTACGGTCTAACTCTAACCTGGTACAAATACTACGTTCCAGTGTCCACCATCTTAGTACGCATACTTCAGGAGTACCCCCACAGCACTCTGGGGTTCTGCTAATACAGTCCAGGGGTTCTGCAAGTTGCCTTTAAATCCAGGATTCTATTTTAAATAGAAATTGTCTAAATATCAATTCTATCACCATCCACTCAGCCAGGATATAATAAACTTAGTAGGAAATGACAAACCGAACAGATTCATCCTTCAAACATGGATTGTATGTTCAGGTCTAAAATAGCATCTGTATTATCCAGTAGTGAGATTTAAAATTTTGAGAACGGATTCTTTTTGGTATTGAAAACTGTAATAACAGGTTCCCTCATTATTCCAGAAACTAAAAACAAAAAACTAGAAATGGTTCCCTGATTGTCACTGTATCCCAAGACTAAAATACCACAACTCCGGTCGTTTTTTTGTCTTATTCAGTGAAGTGGAAACCGACCCAGCAGCCCAGGGTCATACTTCTGTCCTTAAGCCGGCAGCGCTCAGTCTCCAGTGATCTGATCTGCTCTGAGTTCGACTGGGGTGGTACATCTGTCAAAGAGTAACGCAGGTATCTTAAGGTTAGCTCGGGGAAGACGGAAACCTTGCGTAGAGCAAAAGGGGGAAAAAAAGCTCACTCGATTTTGATTTTCAGTATGAATAAAGACCGCGAAAGCATGGCCTATCTTTCCTTTTGAGTTTGCGAGTTTCAAGCACGGGGTGTCAGAGAAGTTACCACAGGGATGGCTTGTGGCAGCCCCATAAATCTCACCACTGATACTGATGCATTAAGGACATGTTTCTGAAAACTTTTCACATATTCACTCTCTGTATACTTTTCAGGCCGTCGAGAGAGCAAAGAAATTACTGGAAGAATTAATTGCAAAGAATAAGAAATAATTCAAGGGGTCGATATCGAGATATTTTTTATGCAATTTTCTATCTTATCATGATCATATAAATTGTGCTAACAAACGGTGTCATATTATTTCAACTTGTACTTGAAACTTTTCATTCCACATTGTGTAGGTGGATATACGAGTTAGTTTTTTCTATCCATTAAAAGACAGCATGCAAAATTGAATACAAGATTTACCGGAGAAGCGGGGGCCAAATCTGGTCAATTACCAGCGACTAGGGTTTTGTTTTTTATCAATTCTAAAAAAAACATCGTGTTTTAAAACAAGAACTTGTTTTAAATCAATTTTTTTATTGAAATACCCCTTGCATCGCCGCGAAACTACGCCAAAACGTTGCATTCTGGCAGCTGCACACGCAGCCGGAATTAAAATTTCAAAAATGTAAGTAAATTTTTTTATTTCGACTTTTACCACTATTGCGTACATTTATCGCCACTCTATATCTCCACCAAAGTCATAAGATTTTACCCGAAATGTTTAGCCGAGATATCAGAGAGACGTTTTGAGTAAGAAAAATCATGAAAATTAGCTCACGAGCATACTACAAAAGCGGTTGATCAAGTGAGGCCCTTCGGCAAAACGAGTGGGTTGCGATAATGAAAATATGCTTATATCGGCGGTAATCTACGGATATGAACGATGAGACACTAGTCCGGCAGATAATGGGACCTTTTTGGCCCAGGTTTGATTTCAGAAATAAAGTTTTTTTTATTTGTAATTATTCATCTTGGGGTCATTGCCCATCATTTCTGCATGGGTGTGGAAGTTTGCAGCCTTGAGCAATTTTTTTTTACGGCGCGGTATTTGTATTAGTGTTTTTTTCGTCAAACCTGTGCATCATAATGACGCACAACCTGAACCATAACCTGTTACAATACTATGTTCAGGTTGTGCGCAATCTTGGTGCACCAAATTTACTAGGAAATAAAATCAATAACTTTTAGGTATTTATTGAGATATTTGTATTAGTGTTTTAACCTGTGCATCATAATGACGCACAACCTGAATTATGACCTGTTACAATACTTTGTTTGGGATGTGCGCAATCTTGGTGCACCAAATTTACTAGGAAATAAAATCAATAACTTTTAGGTATTTATTGAGATATTTGTATTAGTGTTTTAACCTGTGCATCACAATGACGCACAACCTGAACCATGACCTGTTACAATAATATGTTCAGCTCGTGCGCAATCTTGGTGCACAAACTACGCAAGCACCAAATTTACTAGGAAATAAAATCAATAACTTTTAGGTATTTATTGAGATATTTGTATTAGTGTTTTAACCTGTGCATCACAATGACGCACAACCTGAACCATGACCTGTTACAATAATATGTTCAGCTCGTGCGCAATCTTGGTGCACAAACTACGCAAGCACCAAATTTACTAGGAAATAAAATCAATAACTTTTAGGTATTTATTGAGATATTTGTATTAGTGTTTTAACCTGTGCATCATAATGACGCACAACCTGAACCATAACCTGTTACAATACTATGTTCAGGTTGTGCGCCAAACTACGCAAGCACCAAATTTACTAGGAAATAAAATCAATAACTTTTAGGTATTTATTGAGATATTTGTATTAGTGTTTTAACCTGTGCATCATAATGACGCACAACCTGAATCATAACCTGTTACAATACTATGTTCAGGTTGTGCGCCAAACTACGCAAGCACCAAATTTACTAGGAAATAAAATCAATAACTTCTAGGTATTTGTTGAGCGCAGCTTTGGGTCGCGACCCATATACAGTATATGGAAATACTGTCGAAACATATGCGTAAAATAAAGAGTACTATTTCAAAATACCCGTTTTTGTTGCAATTAACAATACAAGACTGCTAATGCAGTCGCCAGTGGTTCAAGTGGATATACACCCGGTGGAGAACAATCAATTATTTGTTAGCGAGAATTGTTATGCAGCGGGATGATCACGACGACGCAGTGAAAGATAATGATATCGCGAGAACAAGAATGAGAAAATTGCTACATTTTGTAGTATATCTCTGGGAAAGAATGTAGTTCATTCTTATGTTCCATGCCAATGCTTTTCAAACTACTAAAGACTCTCAACACTTTTGCTTCTCCTCTTCTATAAAAATACATTGTTATTATATATTCGCATTTCCATCTGTTTGTTCGTGCTCCCAGATAACCGTTCAGCGCCTCCAAAGATGACGGGGTCCCCTTTTAAGAAACCCTGTCATAAACTAAAAGAGGCGACCGTGCTTCTGTTGTCACGCTGTCCCTGGAATTTAGCTACAACAAAAATTTCACGAAAACGGATTTTTAAATTTTATTAATTATAAGTTTAATAACAGAATTAATTCTGGTTGTTGGGGATGCTTTAAAAAAAGGTTGCACGGAAAAAAGTTTTCGCAAAATGTCAAGGTTTGATAGTAGTAGAGAAGTAGAAAAAATACTCCCATGTTTTTTTTTTCATTTGAACAAATCCCTATCAGCGACACCTAAGGTGCTAATGGTCAATTATCAGCGACACTTAAGCTAACTTAAATTTGTACCGTAGAAAGTATTAATTGTCGGATCATGCTAAGCGTTTGGATATTTTCAGTGAATTTTACTTTTTATTCAAAATCGGAAAAGGAAATTCCGATTGAAACAGTCGTCACGATTACGTCATTTGTTAAAATTGCCGCCTTTTTCAGTCATGTTATTTTTTCTGTTGCGCAAAATATTCAATCCATGGCTCATACGAGTATTGAAAATGTTTTGCCATATTAATTTAATTATTTCAAAGACGTGTTTCGTCGACTTTCGTAAATAAAAATACGTACTGTAGGGCCTACAGCAGTGGCAATATTTAAGGGATAATTGTGACATTTAATGCCTTGGTGATTTCTTTTGTTATTTCTTTACCATCTTTAAGTTGGACTACAAGGTCGATAGTATTACTGATAAAAATCAATTTTTGACTTCATGACTATAATTCTATTGTGCCATCATGGCGATTCGAGTCACGAGAGCGACTTTGCAAAGATAAATATAGTAGGTCGGGGTAGTTCGGACACCCGGGGTATGATGGTCACTCAAAATAAAATCCTCCTACTAGCGACACCTCGCGATTTTTCGTCGCTCAAAACGCATCGCGTGAAAGAGCGACATCATGCGAACAACGACAGAACAAAGATTTTACATTGCAGGCTCGACAACTTACAAGGCGGTGCTTTTTGAGGAAAGGGTGTTTCTGTTGGGACAGAAAAACGTCAAATTATAGAGTCCCATGGTGGCGAAAAATAATTTTAGCCGGAAAAGTCTGCGAACTCGGTTCTATTTTGTTTATTTGTTGAAAGTAGTTGCATTAGATCGAATAAATTCCTTAGCAGACTGCCAGTACTCATTTTTGGGTTGGCAGGGTCACTTAAGAGGTAGGGTGGTTTTTGAGTGGTGGAGGGGGGAGGATTTTTTTCAATATAGTCTGTTGGGAATGTCAATGGGCCGTTGTCATCGAAACTTATAAATAATTATTTTTTGGTACCAAGTACCCTTTTACAACAAAGATCAAAAGCACACTCATTGCCATATTTATATTGGGTCTCTTAGAAGTTAAGCCCGGCGTAAAATTTCATCTTACCCCGTCCAATTTTTTTTTTCATATGCGTATAAAATACGCCGAAGGTTATGCCAAGAAATTACAAAATAAATACTTCTAGATATGATCCGTGTAAAGAAGATATAAAAATTGCAGTTGAAAAAGCGCAAACTAAATTTTAAATTTCTAGTTTCCCTAGAACTGTTCAAACTCTTTTGAAAATTGCCCTGTTATGTTCTTTATGGGGGAAAGACGGACATACTTTTTAATATGCAAGAAAAGTGATCTGTTTAAAAAAAATTCAAGAGACATAATCCTGGGCCATCTAGGCGTTGACCGAAGTCTTATGACCGAAATATTAGACACCATCAAGTTAATTTTAGTCTGTGTCCGTCTTTCCCACAAAGTGTCTAACTTACCCCGATATTTTTTTAGCTGAAAATCAGGGGTAAATTCCGATTCGTTGCTATGGCAACAATGTGCAAATGTGGCAAGATAGCTGGAGGGTGGGTGCATGAATCAATCGTAGAACGAATGCAGCTGCGACATTATTTGAAGAGTTTTTCAAAATAACTTATTAGTGGGTCCGACTTCCCCCGACCTACTATATTGGAATATATATATTTGGGTTGGTTTCAATGTTCATTGGGACAAATAGCTTAATCTCAGTTTAAGGGGTAACCAAGCTTTCGGGAATTCGATTTTGGGGATAACGATGGCGATCACTTTGGAAACCACTAGTCTACAGTGTAGGCTACTGCCCGATTATAATTAGAATTAATTCGAATTTTCGCGATCTTGGTAATTTGTTAAATTTGAGACGCTCGCGATTATTCTTAAATATGAGCAAATCGTTAGCAAAGTCCAAAGGTCTGCGTACAATTTTATTACGATTAAGTAAAAGCATAACTACTCTGAAATACCCGTCGACCCGTGTATATAAAATACATGAAAATCTACCCGATTAGATTTTTTTTTTGCGGTCTTGGGAATTTGACAAATTTGGGCTTTTCTTCAACATTTAAGATTATTCGAAAGATGTCGCCGTTAAGAAAATCCCAAGATCGGCGATAAAATTTCAAAGAGTACAACTTATTTGGAATAATAAAAAAAATTATTGAACATATTTTATGTTGATAAGTTATATATTATCAACACAATCATAGAATGGATCAACTTCAGTGACTATGATATAATTACCAACAGAAAATCCCGAATTTTTTTGCGATTTCCCACGTCCAAAGTAGAGGAATGGTATGCATTTAATTGGGCCAGGTGCATGACCTCCGAACGTTTACTGAAACCGTAACCGACCAGTGAGCAGCAAGTAATCATGAAAAAAGGACTGGCAGTGATCAGGGCGTACATTTAGCTCGCCAGGTGTCAACTTTTCTGGCAATGTCTAATTACCGACGCCGTATGAAGCAATTATCTCGAAATAACCTTATTCATGTAACGCATCTCTATTTTGGAATCTATATCAGTGGTTCCCAACCGCCGGCATCGGTCTGCGAAGCTTTTTTGCCGGTCCGCAAGAAATTTTGTTGTTGTGCTATTTCTATGCCGTCTCAATCGCTTTACCGAAGACGAGGTTGCGTTGGTTTACTACGCAATTTAACTTCCACCGTCATATTGCGACATCTTGACGACGTCTTTCGCGTCATCTTGGCGCCGAGTAATCACACTTTTGCTTTTTCGGCTCCGATTTAACGCGAATGCGCTTCATCAAATCTCGCAAAGTTCAAAAATCTAAAAATTGACACGCGTGTTTTTTTTTTCTATTTTGCATGCTTTTCCTGATTAATATGACCTTATTACTTATGCATTATGCAAAAAAATATTTTCATCACTAGCTTAAATTAAAACGAAGCAAGGGAATTGACTGCACGCCGATGCAGAAGAAACTTATTTAATGCCTCGTTTGCAATCCTATATTGGAAACGAAACAGCAGCAAAATTCTCACCAGAGTTAATTGTACATGCAATTTGTACATGATTTGGCATGTACATGTTTTTATGTGAGATATTTAATGTTGTTAGTTTCACACGCATAATGGGTGTCCAGCACTGAATTTTATTACGCAAATATATGGTATTAATTTAGGTTTCACCCATTTTACTTTTTGGCCTGCACATTATTTGATAATTTTTCTCTGTGTCAAATGTTTTTAAGGGTGCTTTTTTTTGTCTAGAAACATATCGAGTGCCCGATATTGCATTATATTAGGCAAATATATGTTATTCTTTTCTGTTCTGGTCATTTCAATTTTTTGGCGGTCCGCGAGTACATTTAATTTAATTTTACCGGTCCAACAAGGAAGAAAGGTTGGAAACCACTGATCTATATGACTCGGCAGTGCGGCGCATCGTTCTAATTGTCAGAAATACGCTTGCCACCTCTGATTACCCTGCGTGGTTCGAAGGTCCGGATCCCATGGAGGAGAATTTTGTGCGAAAGGATTGTTGGACTCTTCGCCGCCGTAGGGTGGTCCATGTAACTGCTGGTTGGTTATGGCTTCCGCCATCAAGTCCATGCATCTAAACTAACTAACTCCACACCCGATATAGACTGGTAATCGGACGAGACTCGAGAGGCCATGGTTCGCCATATAATCAATTCGGCTTTCCTCTCCCACTGCACAAATATGTAAATCTTATCCAATGAAAGTCCAGGACAAGATATAGTTCCCATTCTTTTTCGTTAGGCTATATTCCGTCATTTGCCTATTTTAAATCTCGTTATCCCTCCCTCACTGCGCATAAAAGTATTCCGAGGATCATTCACTAGCTAGTCTTACTCTCTGGCTTTCGCATAGTTAATAGTGTGTCCATAAATACAAACTACTATAATAGCAAAAACCATAAGTGAAGCCATGAAGTACACGAAGTGATATTGCTGTATTCCCCCACCAAAAAATTAATTCCTGGTTAGGAAACGTAAGCATTAAGTATCAACAGCTCTCAGATTTATTAACAAATTTGTACCGCGCCGTTACTGATCTAAATAAACCTAACAAATATTACGTTAATAATTATTTTGCCAATTTTAGCCTGGTTTTTGCCCAATGGCTATTCGATGGCGAAAGCAAAATTGACAGCTCTTGAAAGTTCATAGGACGATTGTCGTAGTCCTCAAGACAAATTTATTCCCGAAACACATGACTGTAATAACCTTCAAACAATAAAAACTGGGAATATGTTTTTCCTCCACCCTTTATATAATTATCATTAGATCCTTCGTACAAAGACACCGCAACCCCCCCCCCCCCCCCCCCAACAACGCTCAAATTAAAAAGAAAAAAAAACTTATCATCCAGTTAGGGTGAGGGCTAAGAATGCAGTTTGCGCTGGAACTTTGTAAAGGATCCTTATCTTTTATACAGCATACACGCACGAATTAGGAGACCCGTATACTGTCTCGAGCGGGAAACAATGATCAGTCTATTGAAATTAATCATTTTCGCTTTTTAACTTGCAAGTCATTAGCCTTGACCTTGTTTGTGATGATTAAATCCCCCGTGAATATGTGTAAATCTCATTTCAGCGGGCGACGAAGTCGGACCAGCAATTCAACGGTGAGCTCGGGCATAATAAAGTAGACTAGGAGCCATTTAATCAAGATTTAGATTATAGTATAACAAGCCCTTGGATAATTTGGCGTTCTTCCTTCTATATTATTGCCCACACCTGGCAAACGCAGAAAACTAAAAGCAACCTCAATTTAATATCAGAAAATAAAGTCTGCTCAGCGGCTTAGTGAGTCCACAATAACTTCTAAATTATTCATATACTGGGGACGAACGTGATTCGAATTTCAGAGAATCCCCAACGGGAGCATCAACGCACAATTTCGTTCGTGTCGCGAATTATCAATCCATTTCTAACAAATTATTTTCCATCAGTCCCAATTACTACCGGTCATAAAACAAACAAGGAATCTATTTTACCGTCGAAAACTCAAAATTTGACCTCTTGGTCCAACCAAAATCTAGCGCTTTTCCTACTGCATTATTACCCACACCTGGCAAACGCAGAGAAAAGCAATATTATGAGGTCTTCCCAGCAGCACGAAAAGTTTATAACAACTGTTAAACTATCCAATGCCGAACACGAACTAGGCGATATCCCACATCCAGTCGTGCTATGATTAGGGCTGGGCATTTTCGAATACCTAACGATTTCAGAATCGAATATTTGTTTCAAATCGATTACTTGGGAGATATGTAATTGTTTGCGAATTTTTATTGTAATTGGTCCCGTTACCAAATGAATTACTGAAATCATAGAATACATAAATAAGACAGATTGCGGAGCCTTTACACACAATGTAGAACACTTATTTCGCAATAACCCTCTTATTCATGTCATTCATTCATGAATTGAAAAAATATGGCTCATTGAGTGTAGGGCTGGGCATTTCGAATCGAATAGTAAATTATTCGAATCGGTTCACAGCGAAATTTCGAATCGCCGCCATATTGTTTTTTTCCTTTTCGCCAATTGTCGAGGTAACGTTCTCAATTTTTTTCATTGAAGCCATTTTTTCAATGCAATTCGGACATATGACTCTTTTCTGTAATGAGTTATTGATGAAAACTGTTTTTTTTTTTTTATTGTGTGTGAACGCTCAGCAATCTGTTTGAGTGATTTATTTTATGTTTTTAGTAATTTATGTGTCTGGAGGACCAAAAACAAGAAGAAAGTTACATACGATTATATATCTCTCAAGTATTCGATTCGAAAAAAATATTAGATTCTGAAATCACCAGGTATTCGAAAATATTCAGCCCTAAGTAAATGCGCATTGTAGATTATAAGCGACTTAGTACTTATGATGAGGCTCTACAAGAAGCCTATAACGTGTTGGGCGGTGACACTTCGCGCTAGTAACTTCCTTTTATGTATAACCTGCCAGGTTTCTCGATGTTAACAACTCCACAACTTGAATATGATTGAAATCTATTAGTCACGTGAAATACAAAATTGTGTGGTGATAAAACACAAAATGATTCCAGTATTGTAGAAACACAAATGATCACAGTATTGTAGAATGTAGAGGTCCAAATGATCATTGCTGAGACGCAACGATCAACTGTTGAGGTCGAAATGATCATTGTAGAATACGAATGATCAACTGTTGAGGGTTGCTAAAGTTTACGACCAACCCAACAGGCAGGTTAACTACATACTTAATTCTAGAATATGCAAACAATAGCAACATTAAATTATGCAAAACGAATCAAACCCTATCACGTAAAGACAAGAAAACAACCCACTTCAACGTGACAAATAAAAATTAACACTACTATAACGGCAAACTCCTAACACGAAGTAAATTGTAAACAGCCGACTGGCAATGATCCGAAATAATAAACGAAGAAAGCGAAAAGGCCGATAACACACTTTGTTTACGCCTACATGCTCATTCCTGCCCACGAACAGATGGTGAAATCGCCTTGAAGGGAGTAATTTCCTGAACGGTCATTCGACAAAGTGCAATGACCGATATATCTCGAGATAACCCCAGGTCAAATATATATAAAATAAAACAAAGAAACTTTGTCTGTAACACGCATATACCACAAAAGTTTGCATGGTTTAAAGTTGAGCCATTTTTCAATGGATTGCGATTAGTATTTCACAATGTAAACGCGTCGAAAGCTCTCGAAAAAATTCGAGACACATGCGTAACGAGACTTGGTAAATTCTGTCAAACTCAACTTAAAATGATACAAGTGATGAGTGAGAAACTGAGACGACACATTTCATTTATTCAACATGTATCAAAAACACAAATAGCAGCAAAAGAAACAAGCCAGGCGGTAAACAACAGCTATATTGGACATCAATACCCTAGCCTCCTGTGCATGGTCATGCCTGCTCAATACTTCAGAATTGAAATTTCAATCAACAAAACAGAGTAGAATTCTTGGCCTCGTTAGTATACTATTTAGCAGCCCATCTAGCTACCCAAATCAGCACATAGTTTTTGGTAAAAGTCACTTGTGTTGGCACACTAGTCTAAATATTGAATACGGTAGTTACATTTATTCCATATATCACAGCACAAAGAACTTTTTTATCTTCAACTTAAAAAGTTCAAAACTTCTCAATTGTAACCAATTTTTATGCACTACTTTTGTACGCACTCAACCCCCGCTTGTGTGGCTACATTTTTTAATATGAAGATATTGAACACACTACAAGGAGTAAAATTGCACATCACCATATTTCAGAAGAAAACATTTTTTGAAAGAGTGTAAACATGAACAATCCCAACTCTATTAGCAAATAGACGAGACCTATCTTTTACCCCTTCTATTTGACACAGATTGTTTGCTGAAAACGCAAGTTGAGAATGAAATAAGTACCTCAGACAAAATATGTTTAAAATTGCCGATTCCTTTCTGATGTAGAGAGTAAATATGAACTATTATTTTATGAGCAATTACACAAGACACATGTAAGTTTTGTTATCCAGTCTGGTCAAGGCAATGTTCCTGCTCGATAATATGACTGAAATGTACAAATTAACCTCAAAATCGGGAAATTCCGATACATTTCTGATGTACACTTCCTTTCTCTACTTTTCAAGCTGACGAAGTATATTTTAATCACTGTGGTGCAGGACCGGCTTGCTGGTTTGGGGCTGGAGCGGGCTGTGGAGTTGCCGGTTGTGGTTGGGGCTGCATTTCCCCTACAGGAGGCTGGGGTTGGTAGTGCTGTGGTGGGGGCATACTCTGCGCTGAACCAGGGGGGTATTGTGGTGGTACTTCCCCACTTTGAGGGGGAAAAGACTGGGGGAAACCTGGCTGAGACTGGTATTGCTGTGAGGGAGGAGGCGCTGGGTAACTTCCTGGGGGCCCTTGTTGGGGTTGGTGCATGGGTGGTGGAACAGTCCCTGGTTGTTGAATGCTCGTTGGAGGTCCTGGAAATAGATTTTAATGAAAATTATGCTTTTTGGTGAAAGTATGACAATTATCGGCATTTTTTTATATGAAATATTTATGCACTTTTTCAATATGAACACGCTCGCAGTCATTGGTGGGTAAGATGCTGGTATAGTTATGAAATTGTTTGCAAATGCTAAAACTCAAAACTGTACAAAAGCTTTCAAATGACACTAGTTTTTATGCATAGTAAGGGCGGAAGAAAGAGTACAGAATTAAGAGGGGAATTTACCAAGAAAGGTTATTACACCCGTACACGCTTAATCATAAGTTACCATAAGTATGAAAAGTTAATTATTTATCATTGGATAAATGCAAGGTCACCAGGAGTGCATAAAGGCAAGAGCAGCCACCGATATGCAGAAATCGGCATTGGCTAGTTCCTGTGTTGAAATTAAACGAATCAATAAAAATATTTCTAATTTGGGGTAGGTCGACCTTGTTGACCTTGTCTTGCTTGTCCCCCTTCGATAATATTTGTTTGTTTATTCTTACTGCAATATGTACTTCTATGTGATGAGATATTTGGAAATAAATCCTTAACTATCTATCTAATTTACTAAAACTAACAAACTATACCAGGCGGTGGAGCATATCCTCCCTGGGGTGGTGGCATACCAGGGTGACCTGGGGCTGGCGCAGGCGGCCTCTGCTGCTGGTACTGCTGTGGGTAATGTGGATGCTGGAAAACAAAAGATTATAGTGATTAATAGCTCCGAACAAGACTGAGTATAAGCAGCCACTGCTTATGCTAAGAGCCACTGAGTTACTAATTTTGGAAAGCCGACATCTTGTCGATTCGGCATCGCCTACCATACTTATCGTACCCTGCATAGGTTGGTGGCACGGGCCGAGGGGCTGATATTTTTATCCTGAAGTATAGTTGAAAAACAGCGAATAACTGGTATGTAAATAAATATCGGTACCCTTTAAACAAGGCCGAGGCAAGTTTCCTGGAGGGAGTTGGTCTTGGAGGTTGTGTCCAAGACTACTATCATCACAGATGGGCCCATGCAATCAATATATTAAAATGATCGAAGTCATAACAAAACTATGACTACCTGCTGTGGTGGGTGACCCATCATGGACGGCGGAGGTGGGACCCCAAGTTGTGCTGCAGGTGGTCCCATAGGGGGCTGTCCTGGAATTGGTTGACCAGGTGGTGGTGCCATGCCTTGTGGGTGAGGAGGGGCTGTGTGCTGGCTTGTAGGGGGGTGCTGAAAAATTGAGAACATAAAATGAATGTGAGAATATAGAGTAAATTCGTGATTTCAAATTATATACTCAAGTTGGATAAAATTTGCCGTTTGCAAACAGATGTATGCAAATCAAGAGTCCTGCTGCACACTAACACAAATATATTTCTGTAACGTTTCGTCTGATCAAAATCAGACTTCCTCAGACAAGCAGTTTACAACAATAACAAGAAAAGCGCATAGAGAAAGGATTGGGAGTTAGTCTCGCGCAACCCACACTGATCATTATGTGAACAGATGTTTGTGCAATGATCGTGCGATACAAATAAGCTCCGATTACTCTGCGCGGGTTAGAATCATATGGAGATAAATATGTGTGAAAGGATTGCTGGACTCTTAGTAAGCGCAGCGTGGTCAATCGTTGGACAGTCACAGGGTCCTTCACTATTAAGTTCATGAATCTGAGCCAAATACCTGGCCAACTAATACCATACCCAACATGAACTGGTAAGCGGATGAAAGGCTGCGTTACTCCATATGACTATGCCCTATTATCCACTTTCTCTGTATTCCCCAAGTATGTGAACCAAGATGGGGGACACCGGAACGTAGTATGTGTACCAGGTTAGGGTTGGCCATAATTTTATTCAATTTTCCTTATTTTAGTTCTATTACGAGTTCGGGGACTAGTCAAGTGACTCCCGTAGTATTTGTACCTTAAATTATGGCCTAACCCTAACCTGGTACACATACTACGTTCCGGTGTCCGCCATCTTTGTTCATATAATTCGAGAGGACCCTTTTCTCTGTCTCAAGATGAAAATGCTGTTCCTATTTTTTTACAACTTACCCCTGGCAAAGGTGGAGTTGAAGTGGTTGATGTATGAGATAAAGCTGGACTTGGCGTTTGCCTTGGCCCTGCTACCTGCTGTACAGGCCTGCTCATTGGAGGATTTCCTGCCACTGAAGGCGGGGCTTGTTGAGGCTGACTTGCCATTGGTTGAGGAACTCCTGGAGCTGGTTGCTGATTGGGCATCATTTGAGGGGCAATTTGCTGGTTGGGTTGTGGCTGTGTTGGGAATGGTTGATTGGGTGGGAGCTGCTGTGGGTATTGTTGAGGAGGCGGGGCTTGTTGCTGATTGGGTGGCATTTGAGTTGGGAAGGGTTGGTTGGGAGGAGCTTGTGGTGGTGGTTGTTGATTGGTCACCATTTGAGGCGGAACTTGTTGCTGATTGGTTGAAACAGTAGGTGGCAGCTGGGTTTGCGGAGGGCCAGTCATCATTGGCTGCGGGGGTTGCGAAGAAGGAATTTGAGGTGGGGCACCAGGGTGACCCCCTTGGGGTTGTTGCCCTGTGAAGCCAGATTGGGGTGGTGGAATCTGTCCAGGTTGTGTGGGAGGAACCCCAGAGTGGGGTGGTGCCCCTGGGTGAAGAGACCCAGTTTGTTGTTGTTGTTGCTGCATTAGATGCATGTGCTTCACCTAAAAAAATTGAAAACACAATATTCTTAATGTTTAGTATGAAAGTTGGTGGCAGAAAAAGTTATGCAACAAAATAATTGAATAAAGGGTTACAAACGCTTGTCACTGCTCCTCTGAATACCATGCAGGGGTTCGCAAGTTTGAATCCAGTGGGAAATAATTATGTGCAGAAGGATTGACGCTGCAGGGTGGGTCACGCTACCACTGGTCGCTACAGCTTTCTCCACCATCAAATCAACTAGAAAAATGTTACAAACATTTTTCACCTGTTGCTGTCTAGCTCTTGCTTCTGCGTATCTCATTTGTTCAAGTAGAAACGCTTGTCGTTCTTGCATCAGTTGTTGTCGCTGATATTCTAGTTGTTGGCGCTCACGCTCCATAATTGTTTCCAACTCTTCAAAATGTCTGTCGAACAGGAGTAAAATTTAGAGTTATGAAGATGGTTTCCTGATCCCTGTCCGGCGGAACATTTTGAGGAAGATTGCGGAACACAGTTTGAAAAACGCTGCACTAGACCAACTGTCCGTCTTAGCAGGGAAATTTCACTTTGAATTGCTTCGTATTAGTAATATTTCTTAGTTATTAAATAATATTCAAACTATACAAAAGTCAAGAGTGCAATATGTGCCAAACTATAACAGCTTTATACATACCTACTGAAAGGACATTAAGGTTTTCAAACATCACATCTTTAAAGTTTCACAATTTTTATCTGTACAAAGTTCGGGCAATGGAACTCATCCAATTCCATGAGATGAATTCAGCAGATAACTTAGTATTATTACTTTTGCACAAATGGTTTTTATCCCCCACATTATAGCACTGGACAAGCTAAATGTGGTCTGCTAATGTGCAATGTATATTCTAGTAGTTTTTTGAGCACGATGACCTAGTGCAGCGGTCCCCAAACTTATTGTCAGTGCGGCCGTGAAAAATAAACTAAGGGCATTATTAAGAGTTTTAAAATAGGTGGTAAAGAAAGGAATGCAATTTAAAAAAGGTTCAAAACTACTATTCGGTCAGAGCAGTGATCGACAAAGTTATTTAATTGAGGTTCAAATAGTAAAATGTAATAGTAAAAAAATGTAATATCAAATTTTTAAAACTTTTTCAAATAGTAAAATGTAATAGTAAAAAAATGTAATATCAAATTTTTAAAACTTTTTGTGTATCACTACTAACCATGATTGAAATTTATTGGTGACCCACTTAAAATCCTCTGCAGCCTACAACCCACAGTTTGCTGAGAGCTCGAGGGAGTATTCGTACCAAGATGACGAACAACCTGAACCCTAACCTGGTACACATACTATGTTCAGGTTGTGCGCCATCTTGGTTCGAATACATCAGGAGCACCGGTTGCTGACCACTAGGTTAAAATGTTGTAATTTGATTTTGTTGGTATCGCAGATTCAAACCCTATGATAACTACTTCACCCAGTGTGTACTAAATTGAATAGGCAATGCAGAACAAGAAAGATTTTGGTCCTTCAAAACAATAGTATAATATCATTGGATGATAGTACAAACCTTCGCTCTAAGTAGCATTCTGAGTTCCATAAACATAGAATATTAAGATAACTAGATTTTGACTGATAACTTTGGATTTTACAAAATCTTGGGTTAAAACTTTGACAACAAGAGTTCACATTCAACTTTCACAAGACTGAATACTTAGTGCTTCCAATACCTAATGATAACTAAATTTAACTAAAAAAAATGCTAAATTGACGAAAAAGACCTTACGGCTGTGGAAATAATTCTAAAAATCGCAAAAATACTCCCTTTTGAATAAAACTGAGAATAGTCTTTCTATTTGTTACAACATCACTATTTCTTAACGAAAAGTCACACGTTACAAAATATTTTTTTTCTATTTTCCACTTTTTCCCAAAATATACCTAATAAATACGAACTTTGACTCGAAACTCGATAAAAGCCCTGTAATGTTTCAACAACACTTTTTCATACCTTTTGCTCAGAACATACCTTGTACAAAAATCCACTGATATCTAACTATAAAGTCAAAAATAGCTAAAACTTCTAAATTAAAAACTCTTTCCATTTAACAAGAATCGTAAAATTTGAAAAAATAAATCCCTTTTCTGACTTATTCCTTACAAAACAACAACTTTACTTTGCTGTGTTCATTATAAAAGTCTGCCTTTCCTTCAGTAATTGTTGAGATTCCAATCTAGTCCTTGCCAGCTCACAATCTTGAATAATACCAATGTCTTCTACGTGCCTGGAAGTAAAATAGGTCTCGTAGAATATTTTATTCTTCAAGAATATTCGCTAAAGGCGAGTTTACAACATCTCACTTAGAAGTTAAAGTGAATGATCCCTGAGAGAAGGGTGACCATTAAAATGCGTATAAGGCAGTGGTTCCCAAACTGGGGGTAATTACCCCCGAGGGGGCAAGGAGAGAATCCAGACATTCACTGTTCCAAAGATTTCTTTTGTAATTCTCGTATATGTAAATGGTCCCCGGAGAAGCAGGATATGCAATGCTCGCATCGAGTCAATGAGCCTAGTCATCTAGTCAAATGGGACATAATACTTTGTCGTGCAGATCGTAAGCTAAAATGCCGAGCTACCATCAGAAAAACAATAGTGGAACCCACATAACTAAGTTCTTGGAAATGTCTGTCTATCTGGTGGCCAAAGTCATTCCATTTAAATTTACCAATTTTCCTTAATATCTATACTAGAGTGATGGAGAACCCCACTGATTAGACTCTTTCAAGCAATGCCTATAACGGTTTGAAATATCGGTCAGAGACCGAAGACTTATCAATCGAAAGTTAGGGGATCTCCAAAAAAGCGCTCTTACTCCATAATGACACCTTGTGTCCCATCACTAATTAATTAATAACTCGCTAATTATACGACATAATTCACCCAAAATCAATAGGCTTCTGGTCCGAGATACGATGAATGCACATGCAAAATCTGGAGCAGATTCGATCTCGCTTTCGTGAGATATCGTGTGCATCTAACAGACAAACAGACATACAAATACCTATCAACATACTTACCATTTAAAATCGATAAGTAATAAAATGTAAAAAAAATTTAGCCTATGCCTGACAAAGGGTTGTGGTTTCCTGTGTGCTTGTAGCCTAATATTCTGAATCCCTTTACCATTTATCTGTCTCATTATGTACATAAATTCAGGCTTTTTATCAGCTACATTTTCCAAGATAACAGTTTTATAGTGAAAATAAATTTGAGCGAGTGATCAAGTAACTGAATAACAAGCTGTGTTCTTTCGATCAGCTTTCTTCTCCAAGATATGAAGCAAATTATGAAAGAAATATTTCCTTCCAAACTCTTATCATGATTCGGCTTTTCATATTTGGCCCCAGAAATAAGTCTTATAATAATTTAAACAAACTAAACTTTTACCTCAACTTGATTTCCAATTTTTTCATTTGTGTTTCCACCAGCAAAGCAACAAGACTTTTGATTTTTCTTTCTTCAACCTTGATAGAATATAGAAAGAGAGTTCTTGAGTTTTTCAGAGAAAAATTTTATACGTTCGAATAGGAGCTTTCAAGAGTAAAACAGAAGGTCCTGCTGAAGCTGAATTCATCAAACTAGGCACTTCGGATCAGATCTCTGGGCCAGTAGTCGTCAAATTTTTTGAGACGTGATCCCATTAAAAAAATTATGACGAATGATAAGCTCGTGACCCCAAGGTATGATGAAAAAAATATTTCAAACCACTAAAACACAGTAAAATCTCGGTCCCAAAAATTTTATCATACGCTCTAGATTTCATGTTACAATTTAATTATTGCCGTCACACAATAGTCTTATTATAAAATATAACATTGTAATTCAGAATACCCAAACTTGTAATGTAGTGCTAGTCAGCTCAGTGTAGAATGCACGCAATAGAATAATGAAAAATAAAACAAGAATACAACGCCGGACACTCGGCGACCCCCGAAATATTCAAGGCAACCCAACTTGGGGTCGCGACCCACACTTTGGTGATCACTGCTCTGGGCCATCGGATCAGTTTGAATTTTCTGCTACTCTATTTTAAAATATTTGACTCGACTTCCATCGAGTGAGTTCAATAACTTATTCTCTACTCTTCAAATTATGTAAAGTGACTTAACGCACTGCGCACTCAGGCTAAAGACAGTGTGTTGGCACGTACCTGAGCTAAATATTTTGCTTTTACAGCGGCAGCCGCAAGGGCAGAGGCAGCAGCACTTGCCAGATTTCCTTCTGGTATATTCTTATTCAGGAATTCTTTTACTTTCTCTGCCTGTGAGAGATAAGGGTGAATTAAGATAAAGGAAAGATCCAGGGGTATCATGGCAGAAAAATTCATAATAGGTTGCTCGTTCAGACTTCCGGCTCATAGTTGAGGAAAATTTTGGCTAGACTGCAGCAAAGTAAAATTGATGCTTTCTGGACATTTAACTTATCTTATCACGACTTAAGTCCGCTATTTCGATGATTTTGAAAATACGATCATAGCTATGAATTTTGAGAAAATCTAATATTAATATCGAAAAGCCTTCTTCGATAAACATTGAGAAATGCATAAATTGATGTTTTGAGTTTAGTCTCGACTTAACGATTTTAATCGGTAAGTATGTTGTCTGTTTGTCTGTCTGTCTGTTAGATCCAGATTTTGCATGTGCATTCATCATATGTCAGATCAGAAGCCTATCGATTTCGGATGAATTATGTCAACTAATTAGCGAGTTATTAATTAATTAGTGATGGGACACAAGGTGTCACTATGGAGTAAGAGCGCTGTTTTGGGGATCCCCTAACTTTCGACGATAAGTCTTCGGTCTCTGACCGATATTCTTGTTTCATCAGCATTGAAAATGTAAAACTGAAATTTTGATTTCCGGATGTTTGACAATATGGTCATCATAAATTCTTGATTCCATGAATAACTTAAAATTATTTTATCTGAAAGTTTGGGCATTTACACCTGGTTTCAGTTTCTGACAATGTAAAAAATAACATTTTGCCTGACGAAAATTTTCCAATATTTCATTCCACCCTAAGTGATTTAAGAGTCTTGCTGCACACTGACACGAATACAATTTGTAAGATTCTTGAATCACTTAGGATAGTTATCTTTACTCTTGCTACAGCATTCTTTCCTCACCTGTATACGGATTCACCGAAAAAAGAATAGAAGAGGATAAGTAGTTAGTCACGCAGAAACCAAATCATTAGTGCAAGATTTCACTCTACCTTTGCTTTTTCTTCTTCTGCAGTCGCTTTTCCATCCTTCTTATCTTGAGAGGTTTCTGCACTCGCTAAAATAAATAAAATCAGAATTTAATTACAGTGCTGGCGTGTATGGATACAAACAGACTACATCCCTGAATAAGGCTTAGCATTTATTGGATAGAATAGTGAATTATTTGAATCGGTTAAGATGAAACTTCGAATCGTTCGCTAAAGGTCAATGTTAATCCCTTAATTTTTTGTGTTGAGGTCATATTTCTAAACTGCAATTCTGACATATTTCTTCCTGGTGAGTTATTGATTGCAGGCCGTACACAATTCAAAAATGGCACTTCGCCATGGGCCGCACAATTGTTTTATTGAGGGCTGCATTTGGCCCACGAGACGCAGGTTGCAAAATCCCTGTCTTCAACAAAGCAATAAAAACTTTTTATCTGTACAAAGTTCGGGCAATGGAAGCCATCCAAATGTACGGGATGAATTCAGCAGATAACTTAGTATTATTACTTTTGCACAAACGGTTTTTTTCCCCCACATTATAGCACTGGACGAGCTAGATGTGGTCTGCTAATGTGCAGAACTAAATACAACAGTAATACCCTCAGTCAGATAAAACATTACGGAAATACATTTGCGTTAGCGTGCAGTTGAGACTCTTATTAAAATACATAGGATACCGTAGTCCTATTTACTCTTGCTTCAGTATCATTGCATTATAGGCATAAGAATTCACCACCAAACTTTCATGATCAGCGACCCTTTCAAGAACTGCCAATACTTGTAGGCACTTGCTCTTATATAAAAATACTTAGTTTTTATACCTCACATTTATCATAAAAAAGGCAACAAAAGATAGCAGAAAAATAAATACCAAAAAAAACATCAATGTACTTGAAATTAATGCACCCATCGTGAATGGTAGCTAGTAAAGTAATGGTCATGCCCCTCCCCCCACCAAAAAAGCACTCTATGGCCCTCTAGAGGACAGATGGTCCAGTATCCGGAGTATAAATTATAGAATTAGAACTAAAGATAATCACAGATAATGTACTTATACTTAATCCAGTCATCTTGAATGATTCTTAGTAAGGTATTGTTCAAGGTGGGACTAAGGGCACAGTTTAATAAATCCTGATTATAAACAATTCGAATCTTACCTTCCTCTGTTCCGGCTTTTTCTTCTTTTTTCTCAGGAGAATCAGTTTCCATGGCTTCATCCTTTTTTTCTGTTTTTCCATCGGATTCTTTCGATTCTGCTAAAATTGAAAACTCGTCATGGCGAAGATGTTTTGGTGATAATCCACATGAAATGTTTTTATACAAACACTCGCAAAGAAATTTTTTAGGGCACCATTAAATGCCAAAAAATACTCCAACACTAAAAAACCAGATAGTAAATAAAGTGTCAGAATTTATAATTGATTTAACCCTAATTAATGTTACACCACTTTGATAATATCACACAATTTTTATCTGTACAAAGTTCGGGCAATGGAACCCATCCAAACATACGGGATGAATTCAGCAGATAACTTAGTATTATTACTTTTGCACAAATGGTTTTTATCCCCCACATTATAGCACTGGACAGCTAGATGTGGTCTGCTAATGTGCAATGTATAAGAAAAGTATGCTAACGCTAAGCAACATAATTTATTCACAAAAATATTTGTCCAATTTCACTCTAGGACCAGGACAAAAAATAATTTTTCAGATTTATACAGAGCCAAATCAATTTATTAAATTTTATTTCAAACAAGACACTGGACAAAAACAGTTTTCACATAGCCTATCAAATTTACGGGGCTCCCGAAGTATGCGAACCAAGATGGCGGATATCGGAATGTAATATGTGTACTAGGTTAGGGTTAGGCCATAATTTCAGGTATAAATACTACGGGAGGCTCTTGGCTAGTCTTCGAACTGATAATAGGACTAAAAAAAGGAAAATTGGAAAAAAATTATCGCCTAACCCTAACCTGTTACCCATGTTACGTTCCGATGTCCGCCATCTTGGTTCGCATGCTTCGGGAGCACCAAATTTACTATATCCTTGGTGAGATGGTTAGTACGGAGCCCAAACCCAAGATTGATAAATTAGAAAACCAGAAATAATTAGGCTTGAATGAAGTCTACTTCATGCCTAACCAACAGATCCCATTTGTCCCAAGTGTTTTACATTTTTCAATGTGCCCTATTTGCCCCCCTTATACCCAGTCCCACTTGTATCATGTGTCTTACTTGGAATACTTGTCCCGTGCTTGATTAATTAACCCTTTCCGTGCAGTGGGCACGCATACGTACCAACAAAAGTCGCTAGATTGCGGCGGGTACGTTGATGTACTCCACTGTTTTATTTAGCAATCGGTCGCAAACTGTTGGTCTAGTTTTTCCGGGTTTTAGTTTATTGATAAGAAGCCTTCTTCGAGATTAACATAAGCAACGGTAAATCTCGCTTTCGTTTACGACGGGAATTTTATTTGCGGCGGAACGAGGGAGTGTTTTTGAAATTTATGCAAATTTAGGTGTGTTTTGGGGGTTAATAGAAGACATATTATCCCTTCCATCTACCAGAGTATTTTGAGTTAGATCACGAAATTGCTACAGCAATATTATGCTATTGTTTGCCAACCACGAAGCGGTAACAGTGAAGGATTTAGCGAATATTTCTATTTTTTACCACGGTTTGAAGTTTCAACTCCCAAGAAAAAAAATGCCTTTTTTTCTATCCGGTTTGTGACTCAGACCACCACTTTTAAAAAAACTTTTTTTTTAATCGCCAATTGCAAGCTCTTTAAAAAAGCTTTCCAACGAGTCGTCAGTGGGCAGCAGAGGATCATTAGTTTTTCGTTAGTCGATCGATTAGTTGTGGGGGTACAAATGCATAAAATCGGCGTAGCAAATACGATTATTTAATAAAAAATAAAAATCGCATGGAAAGGGTTAAATATTCATTTATGCTACATTTTTCTCAAAACATATATTTACTACATTGAATATCACACATTCCAGTACATTCCAATATTCCAGTAATTTTTTTGGCAGTGATGGTGAAGTGGTTAAACCGTTAGAGATGTACTATGTTGGCATTGTTGTTCAAAACATCTCTGGTTGAAATCCTAAGCCCGCCAATTTGCTGTGCAATAAATTGGGCGTTCAATGCCGAATGAAAGATTCCAACCCTCCCAAATAAGATGGCAAGTACCATCTTACAAAACGTGAGAATATCAGTGGAAGTTAAATACCTAACATATAAAAAGCGACGCTAGAAGTGTGTGTACCAATATGGAGGTAAATAATTTTGTTCGCCTATTTTACATCAAGGTGTACAAAGGGACTGAAACCTATGGGCAGAGGTATATTCACTTGGCTTAACACAGACAGTCCCGAAATCGTGATGGAACTAAAATGAGAAAAATCGGAATAAAATTATGCCCTAACCTGGTACACATACTACAGGAGTGCCTAAAAAGCTTTGTGCATCCCTATTTCCTCACCAGTTTTTTCATCCTTCTTTTCATCAGTTTTCTTTTCTTCCACTTTTTCAGCTTTTTCTGGTTCAGTTCCTGCAATTCCACTTTTATTCAATCCATGAGCTGGATCTACAATCCCTTCCTTAGCAGCCGCTTCAACCTGAAACAAAATTATAAGAATTATTTGGCGCTCCAGAAGTATGTGCCCCAGATGACGCACAACCTGATAATCCTAACATGGTACACATACTATGTTCAGGTGAAGCGCCATCTTGGTGCACATACTTCGGGAGCACCAATTATTTTGGGTAAGTAGTTTTCCCGAGAGTTTCAATAGTCACTGACATTAGAGTAGATGATGCAGCTTCGTGTAGGTTACGGTAAGTTTGACCAAAAGGAGGCCAAATGGCTCTGCAATGCTAAAGGTGCAATAGATGAACAAAAACAAATAACAAATCAACATTTCTGTGCCCTGAAAATGAGAACAACCCCATAAACTTTTCCAGGAACATATTATGAACAAAAGCTTGGCAAAACGATTTAACTTTATCCATAACCCACCTCTCTAACATGAGCATCAATCAATCGCTTGGGAACCTCATCCTTCATTTTTGTGAATTCTTCGATTGCAGCTTTAGCTGCTGCAGCAGCAACACGAGGACTGACCTAATAGAGAAGAAAAATGATTTAACTCTTTTGTTCCGTATAACATATATATTCGTACTACCATCCTTGGTCATAATAGTTATTTTCGGACTATTTTACGTTTATGTTCATGTTTTGTGAAGTATTCCGCACTAACTAAATCATTTTGAGCATCCAACTATGATCCGTGCTTGATCTGTCAACATTTTGTTTTTTTGTAAATTTTTTATTTTACTACTAAGTGAATTTTATTTGTGTAGGTATTTCAAAGCTTAGAGATACACGAAAGTATTTGTCATTACTTCAAAAATAAGTCATTTGAACGAGCGGGAAACAATTTCGCGCACATAATAAACAAACAAAGATTCCAGACAACTATCGTGGACATGCTCTCACATATCTTTGATTATTTCGCGTTTCGCTTCGCTTGCGAAGCTGAGTCTGGTTTTTCTTCAAAGGTGACGTAACTCTCTTTCAGAAGAGCGCTTGGAATTTCGTTTCTTTGTAACACGTGTTCATCGAAGCGATAAGAGTGTGAAACGTTCTCTCAAAAATTTTTGAAATTTCTCTCTTCTTACACGCGTAGGGTCGAACGGTTTCGCCTACGTCACTTGGGCGCGTTTTAGTAGGAAGACGCGAAAATAAGCTTTTTAAAGAGATATTGGGGGTGTTCCTTGTACGTTTGGTTAACTGGTCATTACATATTATAAAATGGTACATTAAGTCGATTGTATACAGCGGAAAAAAGGGTAATGAAATCTCAGACCACGGTGTATGATAAATTTAGTAATTTAAGAAGGCACAACCGCCAGACCTCCAGAAGTATGTGCACCAAAATGTCGCACAACCTGAACATAGTATGTGTGTGTACCGGTTAGGATTCAGGTTGTGCGACATCTTGGTGCTTCTGGAGCACCCAACTGCCTAGCGAAGAGATGTGCAACACAGGGCTCTTGGGATACAGTAAAGGTTTGTGAAACCTATCCATGTTAAATGAAGGCTTTTGCTTATGGCCCCCATAGAAACGGCTCATGCCCCCATACCTAATATTTTGTGTCTCATTTCCTTTGTGTATTGATATAACTTTGTAGGTAACATGTCCAAATTGTGACCAAAATAAACTCAATTGTAAAATCGACATAAAATGGCTACCATTAGTACGGTAATAAGACTTTACTGAAATGTTTGAAGTCATTTTAATTTTTGACCCAATTCAGAACCTAAGTTATATTTTTTTGCATTTTCTTAAACATCTAATAAAGTAGAAGAAATCTTCATTAGAAATTAAATTAACTATAAGTACATGCAATGCGGACTGTTCTATTCAGAAGAGTGTAGCATTTCTGAAATGTACTAAGTTCGGGCATTGGAACCCATCCAATTCCATGGGATGAATTCAGCAGATAACTTAGTATTATTACTTTTGCACAAACGGTTTTTATCCCCCACATTATAGCACTGGACAAGCTAAATGTGGTCTGCTAATGTGCGTGCAATGTATGTCAGGAATTGAACAAAGTATAATTTATGGAAGATTTTTCTACATGAACTTGCTCTGTCTGGACAAGCAATCATGGATGTGTTCAAAGCTGTGTTTCTTGGAATCATGTTTACAGTATCTTTATAGTATTTCTAGCAACTAGCATTTTCCCAGATGGCTCAGCATGACCTGTGATGTCATCAGTCACAGATGACTGATCATGACCAACCAGCTGGGAAGGGGAAGTAGCCACGTGCTCTCAGTACTCCGGGCTCATTCCTGTTGGTGTGTCTTTGTGGAGTTACTTTGGTTATGTTTATGGGCATTTATTAATTATGGGTTTATAATGAGTTAACAAATCACATAGTTCATAGAAGGGCAATTTATATGGAAGATCTCCACCTTCAACTTTGAACCTAAAACCCATAATATCTTTCACTATTACTTGATCACACCCACAAAATTGGAAAAATATATTTATATTAATGATCAAAAACTCACCACAGACGCTAGAAAAGCGACAGTACTCATAACTGGGTTGCCAGCTTTTGAGAAAGGTACGGGTTGATTTTTTATGATGTCTTTGAAGTCAACTGAATTACTCTCCCCTTCTGCTGCGGAGGCAGCTATGGTTCCTGTAAAAAATATTTTTGTTACTAAATTTACAAGTGGCACAGACTAGATCAGTGATTACCAAAGCTGATTGACAAGGGACCCAAAATTATAAGCTGAAGAATATTCGTGGGCTGGCTACAGTAAATATTGAATCGTTACATGTGCTTAAACTGTGCTAATGGCTTAACAATAAGCAGTATCTAGAGCGCAAAATATTAAAACACGAGGTGTTGAAGGTGTTCGCAAAATATTAAAACACGAGGTGTTCGGCGGGCCATATCAAATCATTACGTTGTAATTGGCCCATGGGCCACTGTTAAGAACCAATGGACAAGATCCATGGGGCCATGGATCAGTTCTCTGGGCAAAAAGCAAAATCCTTCACTGGTTATCACTTGCGATGGCACTTGAACTTAAAGTGAAGTGATTTATTATTGTTTAAATTTTTTTAACTCTGATGCTTATTTTTTTCTTACCTTCGGATTATTTGTTATTAAAAGTGTCATGTGACATGACCAAAGGAAGCATGCTGACAGCAAAACTAGGTACAACCGTACTGGACCATGGTGGGCAAGGCGTTTGAACCTGGGGCGAATAATTTTGCTCATCTAGACTAGTGGCCATGAAAGTGTGACGTGAAAAGTTACATTTTAAGAGCAAAATTTAGTGTTTTTTAGCTTAAATGTCAAAATTTGGTTTCAGTTTAGTTGTGGCAGCATCAGGCGGGCCAGATTAAATTACCTGTAGTCGTATTTGGCCCGTGGGGCCATAGTTTGCTTGTGTCAGTACTGGACTATAGACACAATGTATACAATTTATAGTTTACAATCGTTGAGCAGAAACAAACCCTGTGAATTTCTCAAAGGTTCTGAAAAAAACTTATTTGTTGTAGTAATAAAGTGTTCACCTTCTAAATAAGGATCTTCAATTGGCAATCTTAGAAACTGCAGGATACACTCATCTTGTGTGCGACTGGAAACATGTTCTGAGACTTTATTCCAGTCGTCCTAAAAGAGAACATAATATTGATAAATTTGAATTAAGAGTCATATTGTCGTATCGCACAAAGCTAACAGTCACGTCGAGATTTTACTCTACCGAGTCTGATTTGGAGAAGTTACTTCTTCTAAGTCATGAATAGGAGCCAGAGGGTACAGGGGGGGCAGGGCTTGAGGGTCGGAGCAACCGCCCTCTTTTGAAATGTAAAAAAAGCATTTTTCAGTTTCAAGAATAGCAATCTTTCACGGATTGAAACGCTTTTTAGACCCTTAATAAGACTCTTGAAAACCTACATTTCTCGGGTCACTGGCTGTTATTTTCTAACTTGGCAATTAGAAATTTAGAAAAAAAGCTCTTGGACAGGAATACAGGATGAAATTCTTGACTGCACACATGAGCCCAGTCTGATTCACAGTAAAAACAATCTTCATTATATGTTTTTCATGTTTTCGACTCCGAAAAAGCTCTGAACAATGAAAACCACTTTGATACAATCTGAAAAATGGCACAATCACAAAGAGAAAGTCACTCTTCCTCTACCCAACAAACCTATTTACAAATGAACAACGCACAATTTAGTCCAGGGGTGGGCAAATTACAGCCCGCGGGCCGGATCCAGCCCATCGAAGTGTTTTAATCGGCTATTTGCGTCTGCTGAAATTAAGACTTTTTTATAAAAATAAAATTTCACTTGATGAAAATAACGACATAATGATTGTTACATTGTGCTTATTATTATATAAACGTTAGCCTAGCTGTATTAAATAAACTCTCTTTATTGATAGCCTTTTATATCGAGTATTGTGACTCTGGCCCAGTGACCGAGTTTATTATCTGTAACTGGCCCTCTCAGAAAAGTATGGACAATACCTCACAAGGCATATTGAAAAAAAAGAAGAAAATTTTTTTTGCTAAGAACAAAACTTTTAATTTTAGACTTCCCAGGTGTTAGAAAAAATCCATATTTTGTTGCTGTTATCATATTTTACCTTATACATTTCAAGACCTTCCAGAAGAAGTAAAATTTCTTGATCAGTCCAAGGTTTGGCTACGGCCGCTGCTGCAACTGTTTTCGGTTTTGCCATCTTCTGATGTGGAGCGTACAAGTCTGTTTTGAGGCCGAGGTTCGTTCCCAACTCTTCTACAGTCGTTGATTTTTCATCTTTAGTTGTTTCCTGATAAATAGTGAATTTGGATAAGTTATTTAAAACTAAACTTTGTTCTTGGGTTCAAGGATAATTGGATTGCTCATACACCTTCGATTTTAATTTGATTTGAGAGCTTTTTGCGTAAACATTAATTATCATTACACGATTGAATGTTCAATTGAGCTAGGTCTTCTCTATTAATACTAATTTTACCAGATTAGATCATTTTAGGTAAAGTATATCGAGGAGAACCATACTAGGTAAAATGCAATCAAATTCAAGTCACAAAATTTAAATAAAACAGATCAAATTTGGCCCAATCCTGAAACCTAGTCTTTTTTTTAAATTTTCATCATTTTTCAGTCTTAACAAGTTGAGAGAAAGAAACACATTATAAAAAATAAATTTCTTAACCAGACAGTATAACATTGTACAAAGTTTGGGAATTGGAAATCATCCAAATGTACGGGATGAATTCAGCAGATAACTTAGTATTAATACTTTTGCACAAATGGTTTTTATCCCCCACATTATAGCACTGGACAAGCTAAATGTGGTCTGCTAATGTGCAATGTATAAAATAACATGTTTTGCACACAAACCCAAAAGTCTGGGACGTTTAGCACCAAAGTTACATTCTCTCTAGAATATATATTTCAAATGGCCAGATCATTTTTATCATCTGCGTCTTTCGTCAAACATTCAAAAGAATGTGTATTTCGTGGTGTACTCTATGTCAGGGATATGCAACTATTATTACAGGAGTGCCAAATACAAAAAAATGAGCAAAACTGCAGGCCGCACCTCCATTCAACATAGGCTACTTAGTAGTTGCAGGCACAAAAATTTTTGTTATTGATCTCATGACACGCGTTGTTCAAAATTGGCACTTTTCCATGTGCCGGTGCCGCACGATTTTTCCTTGTGGGTCACAGGTTGCAAACACCTGCTCTATATTATCGAAGCTAATAGAGTATAATTAGTAAATGCCTATAATGAACGTTATTGCAGTAATCAACCCACAGAACTGAGCACTCAACTCGAGATGGCACATGGTCACTTCACCTTTATAGCTATTGGACTAATGACATCACTTAATCATGCTCAGCCATCTGGGAAAATACTACTTGCCAGAAATATAATTAAAATTAATACACAGTTTGATTTATATAGTTCAGAGGTTTGCAAACTGCGGCCCAAAAGGAAAAATTGTGCATCCCGCGGATAAGAGCCAATTTTGAATGCCCCTAACCATGCCATAAGACCAATCACTGTGCCTAACTAATAGAAAGGCTTAAATAAAGGTGCGGCCTGCAGCTTCACTCATTTACTTGTATCTGTCCTCCTGTAATAAATGTTGCACAAAATGCACAACCCCTGATATAGACGATTAAACTCAATTGAACCCAACTAACCCAGCTATTTTAAATAAAGGTTTGGCACGCGGCTTAACCCAGCCCCCCTTTATTATGGGTTGCACACCCCTGATATAGTTTATTAAACTCAGTTAGAACCAACGAACCTTCGAATCAAACTTAGACACTTGTTGTGCATTGGTGAGAGAAATCTTAGCAGGAGCCATTGGTTGCATTCCTGATGGTGTGTCGGCTATCACATGGAAATGAGATGTGGGTGGAGGACCCATCAACGAAGGTTTTGAATCTGTATCAACTTGATAATTGACGAGACCCCACATTTCCATAAAAGCATGAACTCTGAAAAGAAATATTACAATCAGGCACTGCTACTAAGTTCAACTTTTCAGGCAACATTAGAAAAAAATTTTTCCAAATATGAATATGAAACATATTCTAAATGAAAGAAGTTAATCCTGACATGTTCAAACTACGACCCACGGGGTCAAATCCTGCCAGTGCAGATGGGCAAAATTTTTGGCCCCTGATTCAAAATTCTTGCCCACCCCTGAGTTAACACAAACCCGGATCTATTAATAGATATGACACAAAAAAGATTGAAATCACAAATCAATTTGGCCTAGTGGGTAGTATGTGAAGATTCAACTGTATTGGCATTTCTTTGTTTGGAGAGGAGGTCGAATACCTTGACCCCTCCTCATCCAGGATGTAATAAACTGGGTAGGCAACTGACCTGCAGTGAGGGTCAACTCTGGACTCAATTTTTAGCATTTTTCTAGAATAGGAATTCCATATTCTGGTGACAAAAATTCCCTAGTTCGCCACACAAATAATTTGTCGAGGCAAATATTAAAAAATAAAGAGACTCTAACATCTAACTTTACAAAAACTTTTCATGGATCGGAGTTTAAAGACTTGCAACCCACTTTAGGCGCTCCAGAAGTATGTGTGCGAATATGTAGGTAACTAATTTTGTAGGCCTACTTCACATCAAGTTGTGTAAAGGGACTGAAACCTATGAACAGGGGGTATATTCACTTGGCTGAGAAAGACAGTCCTTGAACTCGTAATAGAACTAAAATCATGGCCTAGTTCTAACCTGGTACATTACAGGAGTACCCTATTTAGTACATACCTTATAATTGCACAAACATCCCCAGCTAGGTTTCTTCTGCATGCCGTGGCACTGAGATATTCCATGGGATTTAGTCTATACGTATCCAACATGAAGTTGCGATACGCTAAGTATATTTCAGGCGTCTTCGATTTGTTTTTACCATTGAAGAACTCTGGTAATGCTCTGATGAAAGAAATAAAGGATTGTTAAAAAGGAAATACGACTAAGGAGATCGATTTTTTGCTGGGAGTTTCTTTTCGACTACTGGGCAAATCTCCTTTAAATTCACTGCACCTGTGCCTCCCAGGCAGCTTATATTTTTACTTTTTTTTTCTATTTTACTCAGCAAAATATCTGTTGATTTACTCCATATATTGACTAGACTTCAATAATCAAAACCAATAAAATAAACAAATTTTCCAGTATTACCTTTTCTCAATCGCATGTATAGAATTGTAGTCGAACCATGCAGAATAACTCGGCACTATGATATGATGGGTTTGTTCTGTCACTGTTTCATCTGTTGGGTCACGATCGCTCTTTATGGTTGCCAGTTCTTAAATGAATAATATTGTTTTTTAGTACAGTGGTCAGCGACCTTTTTCAACTGACAGACTGGTTACCTTATTTACTCGAAATTACGCCTATATCGCGAATAGGCAGACTCCCTAAAAACGGATCGTGACACGCAGGACGCCTCAAGAAAAACGTAGAAAGAGAACAAAATTAGTGTAACGCAAACATTTCTCATGTTTATCGTTTCTGCATGTTAGCGAGGGCCGTAGGTGGATTATTACCCGTAACTCTTGCTTGTTAATTTATGTTAAAGTCTATATTGCTTTTCAATGTGTCGTGATTGTGTCGGGAGATTAAAATAGAGTTCCTGAATCAATATAAAACAATTTCCTTTGATCGATACAACGACGATTAATTTCGTTCCTTGTCCGTTTCAAGGAAAGAAATAACGCTGTATTAACACATTCTTATAAATCGCTACGAATCTTAACACGCCAGACACCTTAAGAAAGGCACAGAAAGAAAACAAAATTGCTGTAACACAAATATTTCTAACGTTTATCATTTCTGTTTGTTAGCGACGGACGTAGATTCTTACTCGTAACTCATATTTGTAAATTCATATTAATAAAGTCTATATTGCTTTTCATGCGTCGCGATTTGTATTAATGGAAGGGATTGTTGTCGGGAGTTTAAGAGAGTCCCTGAGTCAGCATAAAACAATTTCCTTTGATCGTCCACAACGCGGTTAATACGGCGATAGTGCACCAAATAATAAAGTTTTCACCACGAAACAACTAGCCATAAATTGACACTGTTGCTGGTATGTAAAAGAAACACAAGCAAAAACAAACAATCACAGCCTGTACAAGCGTCACGTGTTAAACAACCAATCATAGACTGTACAAGCCATTAGCTGTATGATAAGACAATCCACTTTCACAAGCGAGTGGATGTGTGTGTGCACGCTTTTTATCGTGAGAACTTGGTATGGTTTGAAGCTATTGGAATTACCGGCAAGTCAGCATAATATCATCTCGTTGCGTGATCAAATTCTGATGCGCGAATGAGCCGATTTTTTGGTGCAATCTGAGTTATGCGCGAATAAGACGATCCCTTAGTTTGGCAACTTTTTTTTGAGTTTTAAACTCTGTCTATTCGCGAGCATATACGGTAATTCTGACCCAATTTTGGTGGACATTAATAAATTGAAACCATTAGAAGTTTACATTGGATATATATTCAAAAACAAAGGTTATGCTATTTGATGCAAGATTTGCATTTGTTACTTATCTATCTTAAGATTTACAAGACGCGCTGAAAGTGTGTGTGCGTGTGCGATGTGCATGTTTTCACGCTAGACAAAACATGAATATAATATATCATGAATATATATATATATATATATATATCAAACAGTGGTATTAAAAATATTCGAAGTATAATCTTTTAAAAACAGTTACGGTATCAAGAGTATCTGACAATTTTAACAAAACAGAATAAAATAATAAGTTATACAATAAAGAAAAATAGTTAAGAATTCAAATTCCATTTCAAACCCTGTATATTGTATACCTTTGCCATTTTCAGATTCCACGTTCTGCTCCATCGGTTCTGTATCCTCCGCTTCCCCTATTTCTTGTATGTTGCCACCTTTAATAGGTTGGGTTTCAAGATCTCGCTTTGAGTAGACCTGGGAAGAATAAAATAATGCATTATGAGAAAAAAAATTTAATTTGTGAAAAAAAAATATTGATCAAAAACATAAAACATCGATCAGAATAAATTTTATTTGAAATTAAGATGTAAAATCATGTTATTTTTATACTGGTTAAGAGGCATAGGTAAAACGCCCTGGCCAAATCTCTCATTTCTAATGTATGATTCGTGGTGTTTATCTCTGAATGCTAGAGTCAGAAATGACAAAAACAAATCTATTTAAAAATCATCTATACTCAATATATTAAATCCTTTTCCTCTTTTGATGCTGCTGGCTTAGTCAGTTGAAGATCTCAGGTGCAACAAATTGAGTGGGCAATGCTGGGCCAGAAGTATTCAGCACCTCTAAAAGTAGCCTATGTCTTGTCTTAGTGCAGGGATCGGCAACCTTTTGTTGCTCGCGGGCCAAACTGATTAACAAACGGCCGATGAGTCACAATTTCTTCGCACAGATCAGAAGTTGAAATTTTAGATTCTAAACAGCGCGCAAAGACTGCGCCAATTGTGAACACAACTCAGTCGTATTACTAAAATAAATAAATAAATTCACAAATGACATTTAATGTGACACTTATAGCATCACGCTTGATAGTTTTTGACATGAGTCAGTGAGGCGCCGCGGGCCGGATGACTTTACCCCGTGGGCCGTAAGTTGCCGACCCCCGTCTTAGTGGTTGCTATTCAGTGCCTTGTTCCGCTCATTACCTGTTTAGGAAGCAAAACTTCCTCAACTTTAGGAACAGTGGCCGGTTCATCCATATCTTTCGTTGGGTCTTCAACTTCTTCATCTTTTGAAGATTTTTTCTTCACAGCAGCTGGAGTGCTTGGCCTTCCTAGAGTAAATTAGAATGAGCATTCGATTAATTTAGGACAACTCCATAAATATATCAAGGGTAGCTTAGGACAACTCCATAAATATATCAAGGGTAGCTTGTCTGTTTGGTTCAATCACTTTGAATAACAAACAATCTTTAATATATGCAATGCCTAATATGGAAAAAGATGGCAGAAAATTCAGTATGAACTATGCTTGCACTGAAATATCATCTATGCTTAGACCAGTGGTTCTCAAACGACAATCTCAAACTCAAATTAGTAATATCAGTATCTTCTTGTTTATTAATTAAAACCATTTACAGTTTTACATTCTGTACCTTTTTTTGTTTTCTTTTTCTGAGGTTCTGGAGATGGAGATCTTTGTTTAGATCTTTTTTTACTCAGCACTCTTCTCCGATCTCCATCAGAGCTGGTCGGACTGTCATCTTTGCTTCCTTTTGCAACATAACCTAGTAACGTGAGGAAATTATTAACCAAACAGTAGAGGTAATTATGACAATAATATTATTATTCTAGAAGGACTGTAGGTTCTGGGTTAATTTATTCAAAAATCAAACCCCAAACATTTTTGCTTTGGCTTGGCTCTCAAAATGACAGAATCCAATTGGACTATTCCTCAAAATAGTGAAGGGAACAGAGAATGAGAGAGAGAGAGAAATTACCAACTATTCATTTTGCAAAAAACAGTATGACAACGAGATAGTGCCCTAGCACAAGCTCGTCGATTCAAGGTTAGACTAAATCAGATTCTAACTCAAAGTTAACAAAAATCTCCATTTATTATATATTGAGAATATTTAGTTATCTCAATTTTTGAGTTTCTGTCAAAAATTTTTATTTCGACTCTCAGAAATATAAGCCTGAAATTTCAAGTTCAAAAATACTGCTCCGATTAAGAATCCAATACCGATAAAAACGTGCCTAATTCCGGACCCACAGCCCTATATCCAATGAATTTTCATCAAGAAAAACTGAATCATTCACATATGAAATGATATTTTCGGAAATATGATTTAAAGTATATATACTAAATGGGTCAGTCACGCTCAACAAAGAGCATATAAAGTCAATATTTAGGAATTTATAAATGCTAGAAATTAGGTCTAATATAAGCGAAATATATTTTCAATGCAAGTGGTACAATATTTTAACATTTGAACACAGAGATAACGTTCACAGATGAAAAACCGAAACGGGCCCGTGTTACTGTCTATACCAGGGGTGGCCAACTTATGGCGCATGCGCCAAACGTGGCGCATTGCATGATTAGAGGTGGCGCATTGCATCTTTAACCCTTTTCATGCTAAAATTGTTAATTGCACTTGGCTTCTCCACGCCAAGCCGTTTTTTGCGATTTACATGGTGACTTTTGATTGTACCTAAAATTTATTCTCCTTACTCCACGCCGCCCACTTACGGCTTGTTGGAATTAGAAACAACAGGCGATTATCGACGTTAGCTTTTGGACGGACTTTATGACATTCATTCTAGACTTTTAGCAAAAATTAGTAAAATTTACTATTTTTTCTCTACTGAAGTAAAAGTTCAGAACTTTTGGAAAAATAGAAAATCGTCATTTATCAGCTTGGAACATGGATTTTCCATTGCCCAGACTTCCCAAATATCTCCCAATAACCATTGAACAACCAGTTGAATTGCCCAAGCCTAAAAAATTTATTATAAATCAACCCACAACATGCTGAAAATGACCCCTAAATACCAACTTTTTTCATCCAAACTTCAAATGACCGTTGTCAACAAAAGCGAAGCGTAAAATCGCTTGCTGTGACGCAAGGACTAATTTGAAGAAGCCTGAAGTAAAATCACGCGACGCTAGGCCAAACAGCTGATTAGCAAAGGCCAATTAGAATCGAGGGTAGAGTAGAGTAGATATTGATACTAAAGAACTGAGAAAATTTGCCCAGGGTTTTATATGTCGACTCGGAACGACATATAGATGTGAACAAACATTTTCTGCCATGAAACTAATTAAAAGCAAAGCGAGGTCAAGACTTACAGATTTAAATTTGAAGAATGCTCCTCTCAGTAACAAACTTAACTCCAAGAATAAAAAAAACTGGCGAAAGTAAAACAGCAGCAAAAGTCTCATAAAGGCGGTACTTAAATAAAATTGATCAGTTTTATTTATTATACTTCCTTGCTTAATTTCTATTCATGTGAAGTTGTAAATTGTAAAAAACTACATATACGTGTGTATATATGTGTGTGTATTATAAATTTTTATAATATCAACAAGAAGCGGACATTAGGCGTGGGAATACAAGAGATTTACGGCGCATCTGAAACATTATGTTTAAAACGTGGCGCAGGGTATTAGAAAGGTTGGCCTCCCCTGGTCTATACTCTATAGCAGGGGTTCCCAAGCTCATTTCAGGGCGACCCCAAATACAACTTTCAAGTGTCCAGTGCGACCCCAGGTCAATATATATATTTTTCATGAAACTTCAGAGCTTCTTTCACGGAGCTTTTGAGTTTGGTCATGTGGTGGTATTAAGTAAAATAAGCTAAAACCAAACAGTGATGTCACAATAAGCACCTACATTTTCTATAGCATAAGCATAGAGCGATGCCTATGGCCTGTTTTACAGTAAGCCATGGTACAAACTGCTAAATTTAACATGGTTTGTCGAATCTTAGATGTTTTGTACATCCATCCTCTACCATTCCTCAGCTACCCCATGACCTGTTTGCGACCCTACCTACTTATCACTCCGACCCTAATTGGGGTCGCGACCCCTGGTTTGGGAACCCCTGCTCTATAGGGTTATGCCGAACACTGCATTTTCCATCTCTAGACGATATCACTTATGTCTATATATTTAATTAAAAGATAAACACTTTCTCAGACTGCACCAGGTGTCACATAACATCAAACCTCACATTATAGCAGCACAGACAGATCATTTTTTAATAGAATAAAAATATGATAAAATACACAACTTACTCATTTTGGAGATGAAAGAATAGTGCAATATTACATGGAATGTGTTGATGATATTATATAAAATATTTGGCATAAACAACTACATCCTAACAATTTGGCTGAAATATAAAAATATTTAGCATAAATACTGTATTATGAAATGGGCTATCAATCAGCTTTCTGCAAGACAAATCCATAAATTACTCGTCACAGACCAGACTGGATTCCATGGCAGATGCACGCCCGAGGGCGCTAGCGCTCCACAAAAATGCATGCGAGCGAATTCAATTTTGCACGCCGAAAATTTGCAATTGCTCACCAATGTAAATCGGTTTAAATAGTTTTTAAATCAATAATCTAGTAATATAAAGATGCCAAAAAATTATAACTTCACAATTGTCGACTAATACTTGCTTGCAAGATTTGGCCTGATCGAAAAATGCGAAGCAAAAATCACCATATCGTGTTGAATGATAGGAATCCCGTGAGAAAAATCGCCTCCTCACCGACGCTGGCCAGTTATGGCTCTGATTCAGCGTATTTTTATTACAATAATTTTACACGGATGTACTGAACAGTACCGGTATCTAAAGTCGCACAAACACTCTCAAAATTAGTGACAAAATATATAAATGATGTTTGGGGGTCAAAGGTAAAACGTAGATTTTTGCTATGATTCAACTTATTTTTTATCCAATACTGGTAATTTTACGCGTATGTATTGAGAGGTATATTAGGTCGAAATCAGTTTAGCGGGCGCAGTTGTTTTGCACGCCGTGAACTATAAATGCACGCCAGAAATTCTTATTTGCACGCGGGAATTTCTGATTGCACGCCCGATTTCTCGTTCGAAAAGGCCATGAAATCCAGACTGGGTCACAGATATGGGAGTCTGGCAGTTTCAGAAAATGAGTCCGAGTGCTGTGATAAATTTATTGAAATATTAAAGAAACTCTAAGCTTAGAGGATACTAGAGTATTGTGTACAGCGCTGCAACTGCAAGTCCATTCTCTTGGTTCACTCCCTACTTTAACTTCAAGAACACATATCACTGTCTTAAATATTATTAGTTAGCCAAAACTGCAGAACACTAAGTTATTATTTCAATTAGTGAATTGCTTTAACATCATACATTTTTAGTTTAATGTGACTGCATAAATAATGTTACTCCGTCAAAATGCATCTATAATTATGTCAGTAAATACTGAAATAGTATACAATGCCCAATAGTATACCGCCGCGCTATTCTACCCGACTCAACGAGACCGCCGACCACAACAACAGCTTGTTAGCAGTCTAACAAGAACGCGCGTTGTGGCGATGAGTAAAACGCCAAGTAGAATTGAGCTCGTACAATCTGCAACACGACAACGCAAACGTATAGGCGCCTTCGTCAACCCAACACTTGTGTTTTCAATGACCCGGGGCGAACAGGAAAATAAGCAATCCCATCGATTCTACAAAAAAATAATGAACAAAAATGTGACCGCGGTCCTTACAATAGCGAACAAAACGGAAAAAAGAGTGAGACGTCTGGCGCGCATCGAGTAATAAGAGAAACAAAGGCGAACCGGAAAAACAAGTGCGCGGTGCTCGTCCCAAAGAGAATAAAGATCATAAAATCAGTCAGGCGATAATCCACGCATTGTGATCACAGGCTGAGTGAGAAAATGATACAGGGTTTAAATGAACTTTTATTTCTAAGGTTATCGGTATCGATGGCGCGTTTCGTGAATCACGTGATAAATATTCAACTCGCGACCACGTGTCATTGTGAGACAAATTAAATTTAGCTTGAACTCGGCTGCGGTACCATAATAGTAACACACAAAAACACAGGAAAGATGTCAACACACCATATCAAGCACTAAATATGTAGCCTCGCCCTCAGAACTGACATAAAAGTAAAAAGACATCGGACTGTGCGCTGGTGGTTAGTGTTTAAACCTTGTGTAGTACACGCAGGAGAGGTGGAAATAACGTCAATACGGCTGTGAGTGCAGATACACATATTACATGGTCGGTAAAACCAAAATAAACTAGAGCTGCGTGCAGCTTTAACAGGCTTCCCGCGTAAAAAAAACTGAAGACGCGTTTTGCTCACTGGAGCGTGAAAGCGTGGTCAGTCATGCATAAAATTTGCAATTTATGATGGGGGACTTATTATCTGCATGTGATGTAAATTTCAAGTCTCTAAGTAGTGACGTTCTCGAGAAGAAGATGAAAATGTAAAATCCTATATTGCTCACTGGAGCGTATCGCCGAGGTCACTCATGCGTATCCTTGACATATCGTATCCGGAACATGTCCATTAATCATTGTTTTGAATTTCAACCCAATAGCATGTATCAATTTTGAGAAATCGCAAAAAAACTGAAGGCGCGTTTTGCTCACTGGAGCGTGAAAGCGTGGTCAGTCATGCATAAAATTTGCAATTTATGATGGGGAACTTATTATCTGCATGTGATGTAAATTTCAAGTCTCTAAGTAGTGTCGTTCTCGAGAAGAAGATGAAAATGTAAAATCCTATATTGCTCACTGTAGCGTATCGCCGAAGTCACTCATGCGTATCCTTGACATATCGTATCCGGAACCTGTCCATTAATCATTGTTATGAATTTCAACCCAATAGCATGTATCAATTTTGAGAAATCGCAAAAAAACTGAAGACGCGTTTTGCTCACTGGAGCGTGAAAGCGTGGTCAGTCATGCATAAAATTTGCAATTTATGACGGGGGACTTATTATCTGCATGTGATGTAAATTTCAAGTCTCTGAGTGGTGTCGTTCTCGAGAAGAAGATGAAAATGTAAAATCCTATATTGCTCACTGGAGCGTATCGCCGAGGTCACTCATGCGTATCCTTGACATATCGTATCCGGAACATGTTCATTAATCATTGTTATGAATTTCAACCCAATAGCATGTATCAATTTTGAGAAATCGCAAAAAAACCGAAGACGCGTTTTGCTCACTGGAGCGTGAAAGCGTGGTCAGTCATGCATAAAATTTGCATTTTATTGCTAGCTGAGAACTTCTGCACATTTGAGGTGAATTTCAAGTCTGTAGGACCAATTTGAAAAAAAAATAATAAAAATAAATAATAATAAATAAATAATAATAATAATAAAACACAGGAATACAATAGGTTCCCCGCTGACAAGCAGCGGGAAGCCTAAATATCACACCAACTGGAGTAGCCAGACCAAACTAAATAAACAGCAGAAAGACACAGATTTCAAAACGAATTCCACCCTAGACTCCAGACATAACTGAAATCATCCATTTTTTTCAAATTACAAGAACCGAGTTTGGAAAGTATATAAGTTTGGAGCATTAAGCGAAATACATGTTATAATTTTTTTGTAATTTTGGCAAGATTTTTTCACTGGTTGGAAAAAAAAATTGTCTGGTCAGAAACACTTCTGACACTGAAACATGCTCTATGCTTAACATTTCCGATTCTACAATAAATTTTAACTATAACCTTCAAACAGAAATTTCAAAGTCACCAATCTGGCATTATCCCTGTTTATATATTCACTAACCAAATAGTAGAATATGCACATAGGCTATTCTCATTTTAAAGTTATTCATAAGATCTACCTATCTGGAAACGAAGTGTAGACTCAATATTAATTACCTTGAACGGCCACAACTTATTGCACAATTCTATCTAATGTGATGATTATAAGTGTAACTATCTGCCTGCATAATACAAGCTAGGTAAATTGAGTAAGAATAGCATCATGTCTTTCCACAATATAGCAAGTACCTTTGTAAGCTTTCGTTAGATCATAGTCCAACTTCCTCAGACAGTATAAGATATAACGGTGCTCCTGAAGTATGTGCACCAAGATGTCGCATAACCTGAACCCTAACCTGGTACACACACTATGTTCTGGTTGTGCGCCATCTTGGTGCACATACTTCAGTAGGTCCGATATATATCTAATGTCACATATAAGTTTTCTGTGTTTAATAAGATCAGAAGACCCAAGCTTCGGATTGGTCATTTATTGATATGGCAACTCCACACTCGAACAGCAATAAAAACAAAAAACAGCAGACATAATCAAAAAGCAGCCAACCTCTAGCCAGCGGCCGGAGAAGACAGCGAAAGATATATTTTCTCTTGAACGTATATAATCAAAAAGCAGCCAACCTCTAGCCAGCGGCCGGAGAAGACAGCGAAAGATATATTTTCTCTTGAACGTATAATGATGGGTGGTCGGAGTCTCATAATACAAATTCTGATGCTACCACAACACTTAGACCCGACAAAACAGCATTGGATGAGGCGAAAGCATATAAACATGATAAATATAAACACAACATAAACACGAACACTATGGTCCATGACACTTCTAATAACAGCGAATTACGAGTAGGCAGTAAACAAGGGGAAAGAACTTGAGGTTTAGCAAAGAGTATCTTTTAGCCTAAGAAATTTGGCTTCTTTCTTTGACATGATTTAAACTTCATGTAACATTTACCTTGTTATATTTTACAAACTATAAATCATGGATTCATGGTGGAAATGTATTGTATGTAGTAAAATGCCTTTTGTGTAACTCAGTTTTACTGTAGCCCTGCACCATACACAATCAACTACAATGTTCTTTTATACGACCACAGTCGCCTCACAAAAGTACCCTTGTGAATTTGCCTCAACATAGCTGTCGTCATGACTGCTTAGATTGTTGGTGCACAGAGTCGTTTTTTTTTTTTTAGGCTGGTGTAGAAACGTGAGATTACCAGGCATACCAGGTTGGCATGCCTGACGTATTTATTGTTTTTTTTTCCTCAAAATATGACATACAGTTCGATTTTTGTTATTATTTTCTTGTTGGACTTGCTTATGAGTGCCGCTGCTCAATAACCAAATTTGGTTTCTTGCGGCTCCTCTCACCCTGAAATGCTTTTTAATTATTTATTGCAATTTTTACATCAAGTTTGCTTTTTAGTACGGTAAGAAAATAGACTACTGATTACTGATCTGATATTGATATAATAGGTCAATGTTGAATGCGTAATAGGATTGTGGCAAACACTAGAAACATGTCCTAATTGCCCAACATTTTGAACAATTAAAACCAGGCACAACAAGATTGAAGGGATACAGAAAATGCAACCATCTTCAATTGATAATTTGGAAGTCATTGGCAGGTCCATTGAAACGTTCATCATCGCAAAACAGTTGCTGCACCTCATGTAGAAAAGATACTGTAGCTCACTACATATATTTATAACCCAAAAAAGCCATGATTCTTGACTTCATGCAGATTCATCAACTTCCTATCAAAGCTGATAGCGAGTAGGAAAAGTTGAATCACAATGAGCGCTCTTACCAGACACTCAAATTATGGAGAGAGGTTTATCTTAACTCTTTTGTTCCGTATGACGAATATATTTGTACTACCATCCTTGGTCATAATAGTTATTTTCGGACTATTTTACGTTTATGTTCATGTTTTGTGAAGTATTCCGCACTAACTAAAATCATTTCAGGCATCCAACTATGATCCGTGCTTGATCTGTCAACAATTTTTTTTTTGTAAATTTTTTATTTTACTACTAAATGAATTTTATTTGTGTAGGTATTTCAAAGCTTAGAGATACACGAAAGTATTTGTCTTTACTTCAAAATAAGTCATTTGAACGAGCAGGAAACAATTTCGCGCACATAATAAACAAACAAAGATTCGAGACAACTATCGTGGACATGCTCTCACATATCATTGATTATTTCGCGTTTCGCTTCGCTTGCGAAGCTGAGTCTGGTTTTTCTGCAAAGGTGACGTACTGCTCTTTCAGAAGAGCGCTTGGAATTTCGTTTCTCTGTAACACGTGTTCATCGAAGCGATAAGAGTGTGAAACGTTCTCTCAAAATTTTTTGAAATTTCTCTCTTCTTACCGGCGTAGGGTCGAACGGGTTGCGCCTACGTCATTTGGGCGCGTTTTAGTAGGAAGACGCGAAAATAAGCTTTTTAAAGAGATATTGGGGGTGTTCCTTGTACGTTTGGTTAACTGGTCATTACATATTATAAAATGGTACAAAAAGTCGATTGTATACAGCAGAAAAAAAGGGTCACCCATAGTTACCAATGACTGAGTGAAGAGATTTATGAATTTCAAATTAACCTACCACATAACAAAATGGCTTAGATATTTTTTAAGCTGACAATAGGCCAAACAAATGACAGTACACAAGACGGAAATCCAGAAAGGTTAGTAAAACTTCAAACGAGGTATAAACATGCGACATTTTCCCAGAGATTCAAGCGTGCGACCAGTACAGTGTTTCAAGCTCTCCAGAAGTGTGTGTACCAATATGGAGATAACTGATTTTGTTCATCTACTTTACATCAAGTTGTATAGAGGGAATGTAAAAATGTAATTGAACTAAAATATTCTAAGTTCAGCCGGAAATCTTAAGGAAAATCGGATTAAAATTATGGCCTAACCCGAATCCGTATTTGCCCTAGTACATATACTACGGGAGTACCATGTTTCTAGTCTTTCAAGATGACAAGCGTACCAAATACTTCTTAGCTTTATGCACCTCCCACTTATGCAATCAAGCGGCATGGTGGCAAATGTATTTCTAATATCTAAGCATGAACCACCAATCGGAAAAACTTTACAATAAAAAAGATTTTCTTCATTTTAAGTTTAGCACAGTCGTTACAAAACCTTCATGATGTTTCCCTTTCCAGAGACTCTTGAACACTTCTGGCTTCCCTTGCTCTTCTACATCTACCTACTCTTCTCTATTTTTGAGGTGGGCCACGAGACTTGACAAATTCCAAAAAGGGAGCATGGATTAAAAAGTTCGAGAACCACTGCTTTAATCATATCGATGTGCCTATTGTGCATTGATTTACGTCCACTTCCATTACAAACAATTGTCTATCAAACAAAAATTACATTCACCTTTTCTCTTTGCATACACAGGAGCCACCATTCCATTATCGTCTGTGATTTCATAATCAAATTCATTCATCCATTCATTGTAACAATCAAGGTCTAAAACCCATTGTTCATGGACTCTCCACACCCCCTGGTGGGGTGGTGTCGGTGACAAGTGATCTGTGGCTGCCTCATTTACTGTAGACAAATAAAATAATTGGATTCAGTTTTAAGAGGACTCAAGTCACTGAATTGACTTAACTCAGGCTTGAGTTATCATTTCCAAAAACTTGCGACTCAGATCATTCAAACCAATATGACTCGGACTTAAATAACTCCCAGACAGATTTAATTTAAACTTATTAAGATAATTTCAAACAGATCGTTCGAAATAGGAAAAAATATACGATTAACCAAGTCGAATATTATTGCATTGAAAAAATCGAGAAATGCAAAACAGGCCGCGTTAATGTTGAGTAAAATTTTCCCATACTACATTCTAGGATTTCAAAAAATGAAAATCATCCTGAAAAGGGCTTTTAGGTAAAACAAATTATCTGAGTCAAGACCTGGAGTCTGGGACTTTAATCCTAGATTTCTCCGCATATTTCAGCATAAACTTCATATAGAAAAATAAAATATTTTCCAGTTCAAAATAACAAATCAATTCATCTAACAAATCATTCGCCCCATTCGCCAAAAATCTGTGTTGTCTCTCAAAAACAAAAAACAGGCGAACTGCTAACAATGAAAATTTTTGCCTCGTTAGTTTGCGAGCGCTCTAGTGTGTTAAAGAACCGATTCTCGATGAAATGAGAGAACCGCACCTTACGAGATGTCAGATTTGGCGGGCAAAAAATTCCCGCGAATATTCATGATGCTTCGCGAATACCATTTCGACTTTTACGAGAAAGTTGGTGCTTTCCTAACATGTTAAATGATAAAGAAGTTGGCGAATATCTTTAAAATCCTACCTGGGGTCCATGAGTCGTAGCTGTCTGGATAATACCAATGATGGACGAGAACAAATTTCTCTTTCTTCTCTATAACACTGATATAATCGTCAGATGTGAAACCTTTCAATAAAAACAAGAAGATAATGATAAAATACCAAAGCTTGATGCAGCGAAGAATTTAATACCTATTGTAAAAATTAAAAAGAACTGGAACAAAGTAAGCAAACATATCACTGTTCTACAGTAATTCTTATGGCCCAATCCACAGGTGGGCAATTACTTTTTCGAGAGGGCCAGTTACAGCAGTGGTCGTGTCCCCCCCCCCCCCTTTAAAATTCTATGTTCAAACAACGTCGTTCTACGGTCGTAACACTCCGGTGAAAACTACTTTTTCACATTATCACCTCAATGTAATTTGACACCAAACGACTTCAATCATACCTTATCGCTGTTAGTTACCTAATAATGATACGCTATCCCCGCGTATATGTTTGTATTCGAGAATGAGATATGTTATCTCAAAAAAGTAGAAATCGCGCGCTGTCAATGCGAATTGAAAGCGACAATAGCATCACGCTATCTCTCTCTCTTGTGATGAATACTCTCGTGCTTCATCATCTTTGTTACAGATAATAGACTTACCGTTCCAGAGGCCCAAAACTCATATTAAAAACTATGAATAAAAAAACTGCTTATTTACATAAGCTAGTCCAACAGCTAGGCTAACGTTCACATTATAATAAGAAACAATATAACAATCGTGGTCATCATGACGCTATGTTCATAGATATATTTAACGAAATTTATATCATAGGAACTATAGTCGTAATTTCAGCTGACACAAGTGGGCCGGAAGAAACACTTTGGTGGGCCGGTGGGCCGTATCCAGTGGTGGGACTCAAATTTTTTGTCAGCCGGTTCCTCCACAAAAGTTATATTTCTCAGCCGGTTCTGTTACAAACAGAACATTGACAGTAACCATTAATGCTAACCGGTTCGCTGATCTCATAAAATTCTGTGAGATGGTTCTATAGAACCGGTGCGAACCGGCTGAATCCCACCACTGGCCGTATTTGTAAGTTTCCCACCACTGGCCTAATCCAAGCACACTTTTACAGCAATATTCCCAACAATGCTCTGCCAAAGGAAAATCTCAACTACAGAGCTGCTGTGATTTTCAGAATTACAACTCATGTAGCCTAACAGGCATGGAATTCAAACTTAGGACACTTAGGATTTCTAACTTGTGACATGAAAATAGGTAAAACCAAATGCTAACCATAATACTACAGACTAGTGTGGTTGTCAAACTTTTCAAGACGACCCCCCCCCTATTTTTAGAATCCGTCAAGCTTTGCCCCCACTTCAAAAATAACTACCTAACAGTAAGCTACAAATAACAGATAGTAAGGCAAAAGTATGAATCATTTAAAAAACATCTTGATTAAAAATATAGAACCAACCACTGTTATAGACTTTCTTGCATTCCCATATACAGAATGCTCAAAAGTAGGCTGACTGCTAATAATTCTTGGTACTACGTAGTATGTGAACCAAGATAGCGCACACCGGAACATAGTATATGTACCAGGTTAGAGATTAATTTCAGGTACAAATACTGCGGGAGTCACCTGGCTAGTCCCTGTAGTAATATTGTGTTAATTACTTTAGATCTGTTTGTTTACATCAATGATTACCTTGTCTACACCTATAATTACTGCACCTATTTAGTCTGGTACTGTTCACTGGCCACTTATGTTTTGTCTGTGTTAAAGTAAGGAGCTAATAAATGTTTATCTGCATTCATGGGAATCAGTACATGGCGTTGTCGGCTTGTTAAAACGGATTTATCTAACCTGGATTATGTTGCTGGGCTAACAGAAGTGCAAGATAAACTGTGATTATTTCAAAAAGTACAGGAATATTGTCAGAGATTGTTTTTATTTTATTATTTAAAAAAGGCCAAACATGAATTTTTTCTGGTTTTGTAGTACGTGTGCGAAAATCAGCGGACGCTTCAGAGGCAAGAGAGATGAATTTTGATGACCTTCTTGCAACTATCATCATTAGTGTACATGACGATGACAATATTTAAGCAGAAATCTTGGCGAAAAGACCACATTTAAATCTCGCGAAAGTCATCAAGTCAACTGAATTCCTGAACACTGAGGAATATCGTTTCAGCCCCTCAGATGACACAGACGAATATGCGGCGGCCATGACTGAGCAGACTAGAAGCAGAGCAATCCGATTCAAACGGCCCAAATGCGATGTGTTTTGGGCTCGGATCTAGAAGTATCGCTTGTCCCAGCATGAATAAAAGATGCTTCAAGTGTGGTACGATGGCCATTTGCAATATTGTGTCCAAACAGATGCCAAAATGATAGTAGAGTCTCTGTACCGGTGGATAAAAAAAATCGATTCAATGGACACTGAACTTATTGGCAACAATAAAGAAGTTATCGGTGCGGTGCAGTCCATCTCGTGGGCGTGAAAGGTCTTGAATTTGAGCTGCAATTTGTTCCCGATACAGGTGCCTCGGCTACAGTAGTAGCCTGGTGGAAAGCAATTTCTCCGAATAATCTGTTGAAGCCACCAACAACTCTAAATAGTTTCACTGGCGTGGCGCTCCAGTGTGAGGGTTGTTAAGAATTGGAGTTGTCATGGAACGGCAGAACAACCAAACAACTATTCTTCTTCTGCCGACATCTTGGACAGTCAGCATATCTGTCAAATGATGCGTGCCGAGATTCACGTTTGGTGGATCGAAAATTTCCATTTAATACTCCAAAATATGACTCAATGGCAGGTGTGAATACACAGATTATAGGAGGCAAAACAAAAATTTTGATAATGAGCAAATACGCTGATTTATTCGACAGTGGAAAAGGGGGGAAAAGTCAAAGCTGAATGGTAATCAAAAAAAAACGTTCGTCAACTTTGAACATTGGGAATAATGTACAGATCCAAGATTCTAAATACGGTAGATGGCAAAATAATGCCAAAGTACTGGTAAAAGGAATATTTCGAAACTATTCACTTGAATTCGAAACCGGGAGAAAAACCTGGAGAATCCTAAAATTGTTTTAGATTCCTCACTTTATACCTAATACCCCGCCATCGAAATGACTGGTGATACTCAACATCGTCATTTTTTTGCCAATCGTTTTTCAAAATTTTCCTTTTGCGAAGGGGTAGGGAAGTAGTTTAACCTATTTTGTAGATTGTACATTTGGGATTGTAGTAATATTGTGTTAATTACTTTAGATGTGTTTGTTTACATCAATGATTACTTTGTTTACGCCTATAAATACTGCACCTATTTAGTCTGGTACTGTTTACAGGTCATTACTTATCAATCTTTATCGATAAGTATGTTGATAGGTATTTGTCTGTCTGCCTGTTAGATGCACGCGATATCCCATGAAAGCGAGGTTGAATCTGCTCCAAATTTTGCATGTGCATTCATCATATCGTATAATTAGCGAGTTATTAATTAGTTAGTGATGGGGCACAAGGTGTCACTATGGAGGAAGAGCGCTGTTTTGGGGGATCCCCAAACTTTTGATCGATAAGTCTTCGGTCTCGGACCAATATTCTCGTTGATGTTTTGACTGTGTTAAAGTAAGGAGCTAATAAACTGTGTGTTTAGTTAATGTTCATCTGCATTCTTGGGAATCAGTACGGTCCCCGAACTCGTAATAGAACTAAAATAAGGAAAATTGGAATGAAATTATGTCCTAACCCCAACCAGGTACACATACTATACTATGTTCCTGTGTCCGCCATCTTGGTTCACATACTATGGGAGTACCTAATAATTTTACTTAATAAGTGTAATTAATAATGACTCTCACAGCCTACTCTTGAGTCGTTCTGTTATTCAAGATACCTACCATCAGGTGAAGGGCATACAATATGAGTTGCCTCTGTTCTGTCATCTGTTACGCTTCCCTGATGCTCACATATGATTTCATTGAGCTTTGATCGTGTTTTCTCCGACATACCTAAATGAAATTTTGCATTTACGTTTAATTGAATAAATCAGCATTATGATAAAATGGTTGATAACAAGTTGTTATGAATACTTCAAGAGAGAAGATTCCAACACTTTTTTTATTGAAGTCTTTTCACTCTACAAAAGGCTTTGAACAATCAGCCAATGATTATATTAGAAGCTAATATATTTCAGAGAAGGCAGAAATATTTGAACCAGAAAACTTTCACCTTCCGGACCAGCGATAGGCAACCTGCGGCGTGCGGCTCTTTGTTTTCCTAAGAGCACTGGCTACTTTAACTTTTTATTGGAATATTTCGGTGAATACCTCTCTTCAATCTTTGATTAGGAAACCAGTTTAAAAAGCATTTACTTCTTTATATTTTTCCCAAATGGAATTTATCAAAATTTCATCCTTCACTCCTTTATATACTAACCTATCACTAAGACGGGTGGGTGGGCAATTACTTTTTTGAGTGGGCCAGATTCAGATAATAGATTTGGTTACTGGGCCAGAGGCTTAAAACTCATTTCGAGAAACTATGAATAAAAAGAGTTTATTTACAACAGCTAGCGTGACGTTTATATAATAATAATAAGCACACGGTAACAATCGGGTTCATTATGCCGTTATTTTCAACGGATGTAATTTATATTTATAAAACTATAGTGATAATTTCATCAGAGACAGCCGACTTATCGATCTAGCAGCGTGTATCCTTCGCTCTGACTGAATAGCGACACCGTATGTCCCATCACTAATTAATTAATAACTCGCTAATTATACGACATAATTAATCAAGAATCAATAGGCTTCTGATCCGAGATATGATGAATGCACATGCAAAATCTGGAGCAGATTCAACTTCGCTTCCGCGAGATATCGCATAACATACGAAATTGTCTAACAGACAGACAAACAAACATATCTATCAACATACTTACCGATCAAGATCAATAAGTACTAATTCACCTTCTGTTAAATATATCACGGGGCGAGTAAGACAACCATTCTGTACCAATGCTTTTTCAATCAGCATAAACATTTCAACGTTCCTGTCCATACGAGATGGATTTTGGAAATCGAATCGCCGCAGTCCTTGGTCTATCTTATACTTCATTATTGTTCCCAGAATATGGCACAGTCCTCCACCTAATCAAGAAGAATAATAAAGTTTAAAATAGATATGAATAACAATTTTTAGCGTGTTTCACACACCCTTGGCATATCAAGGAGCCAGTGTGCCACGCAGCATCTGAGAATAAGGCAAGGTTTTCGGAACAAAGGAACTACAACAACAACATTTGCAGTGTCACAAAAGCATAAGTTGAAAACAACCAGCCTTGTGCCAAAACTAAATTTAATCGCAATCTCAACAAACTCATTGAGCTATTTTTTAGCTAGAACATCAAAATATGATTTTAGTTTGGTTGTGGCAGCATAATATGTGGGCCAGATTGATTTGGCCCACAGGCCGTGGTTTGCCAAAGTCAAGTCTAAAGAGTCCTCCACAATACTGAAGACTGTTTGCTTAAACGAATGCCCAAGATACTATTGATCAAGTAGAAGAAACTTTGGTTAGGTGCAACTAAGACAGAGATGGGCTACATGAGGCCCACTAAAGCATTTTGTGCACCCCCACTCTATGAAATTCCTTACATTATTTGGTTTGAGAATTGAAAAATCACTCATATTGCTTATTACCAAACTGCAAATTACGTAGTTTTCTATAAAAATAACATGCGAAAATACACAGGTCACTTAGATCAACAGAATAGGCTTTTTTTCACTCTCAAGTAAGACCAGTGGTCGGCAACCTTTTTTCAGTGACGGACCGGTAAAATCTGACCAAAATTTTGGCGGACCATCTTTATACAAATTACAGACGAACTGATGTAATTTAATAAATTATATGCGCTAGAAAAGTTATGTTGACAATACATTCAAAAACAAAGGTATAACGTGTTTCTTACGTTCGTCCTACTTCAATATTTCGTTTTTGTAGTTGTCAATTCTGAAAACCTGATTATTAGGGCATTGACGCTATTAAGGCATTGTACGTTTTTTGTGTCACCTTTCTGCGGACCGGTAGTAATCTTCCCGCGGACCGGCAATGGGCCGCGGCCCAGTGGTTGCCGACCACTGACTTAGACCAACAGAACAGGCTTTTTTTCACCCTCAAGTAATCTCAAACATATTCAGTTTTACCAGGTTTGAGGTCTTGGAAACATTTGATTGGAATTTTTGTTAATGCAGGTGATTTTGCATTTTTCCCAAAAGCATCTTCTTGAAATTGCAATAATTGAAGACATAGGTTTGAAAGGTATTTGTTAGTGAAGGACTCAACCTGTATAAGTAGAAAAAAAAGTTTAGGATGGTTCGTGTGACCGGTCCGTTACCTCCACCATCAAGTCCATGCATTCGAAAACAAATAATTGGCTCACTAATCCCATAGCCTACCAAACATGGATAGGTAACTGTACGAGCGGTCGTGGTTTGTCATATGATTAAGATGTAAATCTTATCCTAATAGATTATGTAGCTTGACTTTTTTATTCTGTGATATTTTTTAGGACAGTCAGTGCATATGAATCCAATAACACAAAGGCAGGTAGATAGGGTAAGATTTTTCATATTCAATAGAGCTTGACTTGACAAAGTACAGCTATGAATACCCGAAATGGCATCGGCGCCGGCGATAACGAACTCACTAGCGTCAGTGATCTCTCTCATATCGGGATCAGTGCACCAAGGAAACGAAAGAAATATCTTTCTCGATTTCGGGTGATCGTCTGCGCATAACTTCTGGATGACGTAGTCATGTTGGAGTTAGGAATGAGATATTCAAAAATTGTTGAGTCATGCCAACTAGAAATACGTGCCAGTAGCAGAGAGTATTCAGTGAATAAAATAAAATTTTACTCATTCCTGGGGTCTCCTGAAGTACGCGCCCTCAAGTACTTCTAGTAGGCGTAGCATAACGATTTCAATGATATAATATTCCTAACCCCCACTTGGGTACGTCACCCAAAAATGACATCACTATGACGTCATAATAGCGTCATAGAGCTTGCTAAAGTATAGCTACGATCGTCTGAAATTGCATCTGTGCCGACTATAATGAACCCACTAACGTCAGCGATCTCTCTCTAATCGGTATCGTTTCGATGAGAAAACAGGGGGGGGGGAGAGGGCCCATGCCCCTCGAGAATTTCATTCTTAATCCACCAGTTTTGTGGCAATCTTGTCTCGTCGCGCTTGCTGCTTGTCATTGTTACGTCACAAAGACTTGACCATTTGCTGTTATGAGCAGTTTGGGAAAGACTGTTTCGTTAGCTTTCGGTCAGTTACTCGGTCTTGATTTGTTCTCGCCGGCTTTATATTCGAAACTCTTGGATTTTGATGACCAAATTACTTCGATGGCTAAATTTAAACAGGCGAAATGCGATTTGTTTCTTTCAGCAAAATAAAGAGTCGCTTTCCTCAAAAACATCAATAAGCGCTACTCAGGCGGTGGATGCACCGGTTACGTCAGTTACGTCTATCACTTCTATTCCCGAAGATAAACTAATATTCAAAGAGGGGAAATCAAACGATCTTGGATATATTCTTAAGAAACATACGCAGCTTACCGATACGGAGAGATACAGACTTCTAACTTCAGATAGTCCGAAAAACGTGACGATTCTGGATACCGTTAGACAAAGTTGTCGTAAATTTCTCAAAAAATGGCTAGACGATGACAGATTTTGCAGTTGGTTAGTTTGAACCCAACTCTCTGATGGGGGTGGATTTTGTATTCACAAAAAGCCAGCTGAGTTGTTGAATCAGTTTGCTTATTCATAAACTGTTGTTGTTTCGCGCTTGAAGAAGGGGTGCTTAAACCCCAATATAATTTCTAAAATTTTCAAATTTGATCCCCGCCCCCCCCAAATTTCAAGGCTGGCTACGCCACTGGGTGCGTTGGCCTATTTATATCAGAAAATAACGAGAAGTGTAGAATACAACAAACAAACAAGTGGTAAACAATACAGCACAAAACTTACTTGTGAATATTTCTTCATGAATTTATTCAACCAGTTTCTAATTGGTTCGAACATCTGGATTGTATCCTGAGAATCATAATATTTTGTATTTGGACATCCATCCTTCTTTTTTGAAGACATTCCGGTGGAAATTGCACCAGTAGGCTACTAGTACAGTAGTACAGTAGTAGTATACGGTCTGTTTAACAAAAGAGATAAAATAATACCATTGAGATTGCAGGAAACATAAAAACCTAATTCAGTAATCAGATATTTCTAATGTCTGAATGTTGGAAGGGACTGCTGTACCGGTACCTAATCTTCTTGTACCTGATTCCTCATTTTTATTTTCATCATTTATTTTGCCGTATGTTAAGATTACGTATGAAATCGAATTGAAATAAGCCTAACTAATAGGTACTGTTGTTATACTCAATTGCTATTCTGTGATTGCCAATTATTTGGAGATAAAACTTTCCGGAATTTCTGTTCCATATACTTGTCTTGTGTATTTCATTCAACTTGTGCCATTACGAATTCAAAATAAATTATCCTATCTTATCTTAGTCTACTGTAAACATAAGATCGCAAGAATACAAAAAGAGGCTCGAACTGAACGGAAAACACCGGTTTCCGCGAGATGACGCTAACGTGCAAAGCAAAGTGGTGGAAGGAGTCAAGTATTTTTCGAATATAACAAAAACAATTTTAAAATAGAACGTATTGGCAAAAAGAAACTTCCCAGATTCCATTTATTGACTTTTTTCATAACATTGTCTGAGCAATACGTTAACAGTGATAATAATTAAAGTTTGGCCATACACATATATATGATATAACTTAGCGATCATTTAATTTCCGAGGAAAATGGGTCCGTCAGAATTAAAATGTATCAGACTAAAATCGGAAACCATTACTTGTAATGGCAGTTGCTATAATATTTACCCTAAAGTGGATAGCATAGGAAATGTTTAGTCACGGCTTCTCACCCCATACAACCCTATGTCGGGAATATGAATCATTGAGGTGTGATACGAATAGGTATTAGATATCGATTATAGACTAGGTGGCGGAGAGAGCCATAACTACCGAGTGGCTAAGTCAATGACTCTACAGCGGCGAGATCAGAACGGGCGAACTCGTGTAGGACAATTAGAGGTGCAATGACAGAAGATATTAGCACAAAGTGGAGAAAACATTTGCATGGCCATTTTGGGAATCTGATGCTATTTGAATCATGAAAAAAACTTTTATCGCGATACACGACGAGGAATTTTAAACATTTGAATTGGAAAATCGGTATCTTATTTCTTCAGCATTCTGAAAATACGAACTATACATACACAAATTGAAGTATAAGAAAAATTACATTTCAGGGTGAAAGGAGACGCCTGAAACCAATGCTCGTTATCGAGCGGCGGCACTCTTGGGGAAGTCTAACATAACGTGAACGTAGAAACGGTTATGTAATTACTTCTACTGTAACCGCACTTCACAACTGAATGCGCTCATTTTGAGAGTTTACGACGTCGTAAAATGTGATAGCCTTCCTGAAAAAGAACTCGGTACTTCACCCTTATTGTACCCAGGTACTTGAAAATGAGAAAACAAAATTCTCGGCTCTATTTTGAGGAACAAAGAACGATATTGCATAGGTAGAAACAGGCTGTAATTGACAGATATAGGCAAATTTTTAGTCGATTTACCCAGATCAAAGAGCCAGTTCCAATACAATAAAATGAAGAAATTTTTTTATATCGTTGTTTGTGTTTCATTTCTTATTCTAACCGGTATGTATTGATACTTTGGTTTATCGATAGTTCTATCTATGTTCTTTTTTAATTGACCGATAATGCGGGCCGGCGTTTTGTTATTAATATTATTATTATATTCTTACTTTACATATATTTCAAAGTTAGAATAATAGCACGTTTTGTCGGTAATTTTCTTAAAAGGCTAGCAATATGAATTTTAGGAGAATGGCGCTATTGAAATAGGAGTTGATTAGATCGTTTTTAACTACAATTATTTTCATCTATGCATATGTAAACAAATAACTGGCTAACTAATCCCCTACTCAACATGGACTTGTAACCGGGCGAGACGCCGTAATTTTTAATATGATTAAGCCGTTCTATCGGCTTTCCTCTCCCCCCGGAATAAACATGTATATCCTATTGTTGCGTAGAATTAAGCTCAGCGCTATCTCAGATATAAAAAAATGCTCGAGGGTGAAGTTAAGAAGCCCTTTGGGAGGTAAAAGGGATCTTTAGTACAAATCCCCGCCAACGCTCAAAATAAGAAAATCAGTAATTATCTAGTAAGGGTTGGGAGTGCAGATTACGATGATATTTCATATCATATCTAACCCTAAATACTAATTTGTCATGTCAAAACGCGGCGGTGGTGTTAAATCTCACATTTTTGCATTAGTGATAGGACTTTGTACAAAAGATCTGTTCGAAATTATAGCAAGTATTAAAGAGAGCATATCGCCGCACTAAAACCAAAATTGCTTCTGTCACATTTTTCAATAACGGGTATTTTAAACTCCTGTCAATCGTAGACCTGACAGTGTCATCTTTCGGACTTGGTTATCTCCCGTGGCGTGTAATTCAAAAGCATATCACTAACTGTATTGATGAGCATCAAAAATGCAAAAAGTAATTGAAGTACCAGTATTGCTGTTTGTGAAAATTTGACAATGATAAGTTTCTAATCAGTTTATGGTCAGAATATATTGTTCACGATTTTATTGCAAGAGCGTCTTTTCCGTGTTATTCAACAAGCGCGTTCTGCCACAAGGATTTATTAGCTCAACATATCATGCCACCTAAATGGCATTTGATGATGGAGTCGGTTTTACTGAACGTCCGAAGTACGCTATATATGTCTTGTAGTAAAGCGACCGTGAGACTATTTCGATTCGTTGAACCACTGGGGCGCAACGAGGTTAAATAATAGCTTATTACGTCAAACATCACGATGCGGTTAATTTTACACGGGTAAAGGTTTAGGTGTTTCTCAGAAATTTCCATCCCGAATAGTATCACAAGTACTTCTAGTGCAATGGTTTTCAAACTTTTCAAGCCGCGCCCCTTTTTTAGAATTTATCATGTCTAGCAGCCCACCTCAAAAATAACTATCTAACAATAAGATACAAATAACAGACAGTAACGTGAAAATAAGTTTTATTTAAAAATATGTGTGAATAATGACGAAATGTAAACGATAAAGAAACATAAAAATTGGAATAAGGAGGACAAAATCAAATCTAACAAATATTCATATTTTTAATCAATTTCACGTCCTCAAAAAAAATTTGTCTACGCCCCACCGTCTGAGAAGCACTATTCTAGTGGGAAGTCGACTGGTAACCGGACGTTAGACCGTGGTATGCCATCTCCCGCGAGATAACTATAAAAATCCTATCTTATCCAATTTTTTTTTTAGATGCAATTTCTGGCGAAGAAATCAGTGACGACAACGACAACGGGTCTTACCACAAGAAAAGGTAAGAGTCAAGATTATTGTTGTTGAGTTATACAATTATCCTATTTTACAGAGTAAAAGGTCACTTTAATCCCATTTTTTTTTTAAATCGATCATGCGATTAGATTATACAATTACCATATTTTACGGAGCAGTAGGCGCACATCAAATCCTTTTTTTCTCTCAAAAACCATCATGCGCCTAAAAACGGTTGCGTTTTAGGGCCCGATGCGCCTAGTGTATGAAAACAAGAAAGCTATGCTCAGATATATGGACACGTTTACCGATTCCAAGAAAAGCACCAACATTTAAAGACATCAGATATAACAGTGACTCCAAGCCCCGCTTTTACGAGACAGTTACGAGTTAGTTCAGTGTCACCGCGCTTTGTAAGGATACCGGAACTGCCCTATCTTTAGAAGTTCCTGTCTTGTGACAGCGTGAATTGATATTGCAAGATGGTCCGACTCACAACTTTAGTAACATCAACGATCCGAGTCACCACTGTAATATAACACCAAGTACAGCACTATTCGCCATTCACCATTCCTCAAATCTTAGCAAAGCAAGGATTTCGTTACGAATAACCGAGAAAAATTTCATCTAACCACTAAAAATTTGAAAGCAATTGATCCAGTAATCAAAGAGAAAAGCGACTTTTTAGATTTTCCATTAGGTAAAATACGATACAATAAATTCAATCCAAAACACCCAAAACACTTGGTTCCATCCCTTTTTCGTTCATTTTCGACTTTTTATTCTTCCCTTGTTAAGTTTAACGTCTCAACCACACCGTTCATCACCGCACGCTTTTGTAAAGCATTGCTAATAGTTGTGTAATCGCTTGTATATTTTTAAGTTTACATTAAAGTACTAATTACAGCGCTTCAGTAGTGTGTGTAGTGTGTACCAATATGGATGCAACTAATTTTGTTCGCCTACTTTACATCAAGTTGTATAAAGGGACTGAAACCTATGGGCAAGGAGTATATTCACTCGACTAACACAGACAGTCCCCGAACTCTTAATAGAACTAAAACGAGGCAAATCGTAATACAATTATGCCCTAACCCTAACCCGGTACACATACTATGGGAGTACCCTAATTACTGTATGATTTATATTACTATAAACATTTCCAGTTTCACCGCCACCTAAACAATTTCGACCACAACGAGACGGTAGACCACGCAATTCGGATTCTAGCGAAGACAAAGAGGAAGCTGAAACGACAGGACAAAATGATGTAAATGAGGATACCTGGAAAATATCCGTCGGTGCTGTTGGTGGCTCAAGTGTTATTATTTCAGCTTCTATAACCCTGATCATTGTCGCAATAAGACGCGGATGCTGTACCTGCAATAACTGTTGCAACTACTGTTGCTAAATACGAATCGGGTATGTTTATTATAGGGTTCATATATATATTAATGAGTTCATATATATATGAACAGGGTGTTAAAAAATAAGGCAAAATTAACAGAATTTAAGATAAAATGCTACTCAAAACATTTAACGACTGCTCGATTAACAGTATTGAATTACGGTGAAATGTGATTTAAAAATTTCACAATTGAAGCTTTTTAACAGTTACTTTTTGAACGTACTTTTTGAACGTTGCCATGACGAAAAATTTCACCTTAAATATGCATAACTTTTTTAACATCTGTATTTGACGGATCACAATTTTTTTATTCGAATAGTTCTTCATTACTTACACTCAAAAATTAGTACAGGTATTGCTTTAAAACCCGTTGTGCCTTATCTATGAATAAAATCCACTCTTTGGGTAATTTATTGATAGTCCGCCTTATGGTTCGAAAAGACGCTACATATTACAGTTGTATATGTCTACCAGACTATACGGTGATATATCTCATAAGCTAGTACCGTTAGGAGAGATATATGACCCTATAGCACTGACATGGGCAAACTACGGCCCGCGGGCCAAATCGGGCCAGTTTGGTAATTCAATCTATCGTTTCAGAACTCGCTCTTGGAAAATAAAAGCAGGCTTCTCACTTTGGAATAATTTCAGTGAAAACAAATGTTACGTAAAAATGATTGTTTTATATTAATCATTTATTTTTGAAGTCATGAAAGTATTACATGTGGTTTAGTATTTAAGCATATCCTTGGGCCGTGTGATTTTACAAAATCTATTATTTTTTTTGCTTTTTCTCTTTTTTTCAATGAAAAATCCCACTGGAATGAAAATTTAAATTTGAATGCTGCAAAAACGATTCCAAAACACATTTTCAGTTACTTTTTTTTACCAATTGCTAGAATATTGGCAGTGTTTCCATAAATTAGTTTGCACAAATGACAATTTTTTGTTGTTGATTCTTGCACTGTTATTAGTAAACTGTTATTAATTTGTACTAGCAGTTCATTGTTTGTAGATAGTAGTATTGGGTGAGCGAACGCGTACTACTTCTTTTATCAATACCTTTCCATCTAAAATCTGTACGTTTCAAACCTTACTTGAGGTTTTGTTTGCTCTCCCGATTCTATAATCAGTTTTATTGGTTTTGTTTTTATCAATTACTTTATCGTCTATTAAGCTGATTATGGAGTCGAAATAAACTTATTATTGTTAGAAATAAATTAATCAAATACACATATTCATGTATATAATAACAGTGTGTTTTTATTTATTTCATGGCGCTACATAAAAATCGCAGTCGACCAGGGATACACTACTTTTTACTCGTCCGACAAGGTTTACATGTAAGCGTTACGGCTGTCACGACAATGGACTTAGTGACACTTGCTTAGGAAACGAAACATATATTTATAACATATTATCCCCGCCATGACGTTAGAAGATCATTTTTAAATAATCATTGCAAAGATCTGAATATCCCGTAAATATTCTAAATTTCCTAACAAATACTAGAATTATAACTTTTGTTATAAATACTAATTTGTCATGTTAAAACGTGGTGGTGGTGTTTCTCTCAAATCTCACATTTTTGCATTAGTACACTTTGTACAAAAGATCTGATCGAAATTATAGCAAGTATTACAAAGAGCATATCGCCGCACTAAACCAAAATTGCTTCTGTCACATTTTTCAATAACGGGTATTTTAATCTCCTGTCAATCGTAGACCAGACAGTGTCATCTTTCGGACTTGGTTATCTCCCGTGGCGTGTAATTCAAAAGCATAACACTAACTGTATCGATGAGCATCAAAAATACAAAAAGTAATTGAAGTACCAGTATTGCTGTTTGTGAAAATTTGTCAATGATAAGTTTCTAATCAGTTTATGGTCAGAATATATTGTTCACGATTTTATTGCAAGAGCGTCTTTTCCGTGTTATTCAACAAGCGCGTTCTGCCACAAGGATTTATTAGCTCAACATATCATGCCACCTAAATGGCATTTAATGATGGAGTCGGTTTTACTGAACGTCCGAAGTACGCTATATATATATATATGTCTTGTAGTAAAGCGACCATGAAACTTTTTCGATTCGTTGAACCACTGGGGCGCAACGAGGTTAAATAATAGCTTATTACGTCAAACATCACGATGCGGTTAATTTTACACGGGTAAGGTTTAGGTGTTTCTCAGAAATTTCCATCCCGAATAGTATCACAAGTACTTCTAGTGCAATGGTTTTCAAACTTTTCAAGCCGCGCCCCTTTTTTAGAATTTATCATGTCTAGCAGCCCACCTCAAAAATAACTATCTAACAATAAGATACAAATAACAGACAGTAACGTGGAAATAAGTTTTATTTAAAATTATGTGTGAATAATGACGAAATGTAAACGATAAAGAAACATAAAAATTGGAATAAGGAGGACAAAATCAAATCTAACAAATATTCATATTTTTAATCAATTTCACGTCCTCAAAAAAAAATTTGTCTACGCCCCACCGTCTGAGAAGCACTATTCTAGTGGGAAGTCGACTGGTAACCGGACGTTAGACCGTGGTATGCCATCTCCCGCGAGATAAATATAAAAATCCTATCTTATCCAATTTTTTTTTAGATGCAATTTCTGGCGAAGAAATCAGTGACGTAGATCATCCTAAATTCAGGTCGATGTCGGTTCAAACAACGACAACGGGTCTTACCACAAGAAAAGGTAAGAGTCAAGATTATTGTTGTTGAGTTATACAATTATCCTATTTTACAGAGTAAAAGGTCACTTTAATCCCATTTTTTTTTAAATTGATCATGCGACTCACAACTTTAGTAACATCAACGATCCGAGTCACCACTGTAATATAACACCAAGTACAGCACTATTCGCCATTCACCATTCCTCAAATCTTAGCAAAGCAAGGATTTCGTTACGAACAACCGAGAAAAATTTCATCTAACCACTAAAAATTTTAAAGCAATTGATCCAGTAATCAAAGAGAAAAGCGACTTTTTAGATTTTCCATTAGGTAAAATACGATACAATAAATTCAATCCAAAACACTTGGTTCCAACCCTTTTTCGTTCATTTTCGACTTTTTATTCTTCCCTTGTTAAGTTTAACGTCTCAACCACACCGTTCATCACCGCACGCTGTTGTAAAGCATTGCTAATAGTTGTGTAATCGCTTGTATATTTTTAAGTTTACATTAAAGTACTAATTACAGCGCTTCAGTAGTGTGTACCAATATGGATGCAACTAATTTTGTTCGCCTACTTTACATCAAGTTGTATAAAGGGACTGAAACCTATGGGCAAGGAGTATATTCACTTGACTAACACAGACAGTCCCCGAACTCTTAATAGAACTAAAACGAGGCAAATCGTAATACAATTATGCCCTAACCCTAACCCGGTACACATACTATGGGAGTACCCTAATTACTGTATAATTTATATTACTATAAACATTTCCAGTTTCACCGCCACCTAAACAATTTCGACCACAACGAGACGGTAGACCACGCAATTCGGATTCTAGCGAAGACAAAGAGGAAGCTGAAACGACAGGACAAAATGATGTAAATGAGGATACCTGGAAAATATCCGTCGGTGCTGTTGGTGGCTCAAGTGTTATTATTTCAGCTTCTATAACCCTGATCATTGTCGCAATAAGACGCGGATGCTGTACCTGCAATAACTGTTGCAACTACTGTTGCTAAATACGAACAGAATTTAAGATAAAATGCTACTCAAAACATTTAACGACTGCTCGATTAACAGTATTGAATTACGGTGAAATGTGATTTAAAAATTTCACAATTGAAGCTTTTTAACAGTTACTTTTTGAACGTACTTTTTGAACGTTGCCATGACGAAAAATTTCACCTTAAATATGCATAACTTTTTCAACATCCTGTATTTGACGGATCACAAATTTTTTATTCGAATAGTTCTTCATTACCTACACTCAAAAACCAGTACATGTATTGCTTTAAAACCCGTTGAGCCTTATCTATGAATAAAATCCACTCTTTAAGTAATTTATTGATAGTCCGCCTTATGGTTCGAAAAGACGCTACATATTACAGTTGTATATGTCTACCAGACTATACGGTGATATATATCTCATAAGCTAGTACCGTTAGGAGAGATATATAACCCTATAGCACTGACATGGGCAACTACAGCCCGCGGGCCAAATCGGGCCAGTTTGGTAATTCAATCTGGCCCGCCTGATTATGCCACAACCAAATTTTGATGTTTCAGCTGAAAATAGCTCAAGTAATTCGAGATTAAATTAGTTTTGGAAAGGGGCTTATTGTTTTCCACTTTTGCTTTTGTAACTTTTGTAAATATTGTTTATGAAATGTAACCTTTTACGTCACACTTACATGGCCCGCCAGTTTAGAGTGAGGCAAATTTTTTGGCCCCCAGTTCAAAAACCTTGTCCACCCCTGCTATAGTGTAATGAGTCCAAACCTATGGGTCGTCTGCAAATTTTCGTGGGGCGCTGAAAGGTATTTATCTTCTTTGGTCGCTCGCTTGTTTTTTAACAAAAACCTGAACGTTACTAATTCTATTTTCTAGTGAAATCTATTTTTTATTTTCATTTGGTATTGAAGTGTTGCTCAATAGTAATTGTATATGTGGGAATGATCACTTGTCAGTAATCATTTTGCTATTTTCGGTCTTTTCGGACGGTCCTTGATACTAAAATACGGAAAATCTTTCTTAAACTAAAAAAGCCACTCCACGGTTTCAGAGATACTCACGAAGTATGTGAACCAAGATGGTGGACACCGAAACGTAGTATGTGTACCAGATTGGGGTAGGCCATAATTTTATTCCAATTATTCTCATTTTAGTTCTATTACGAGTTCAGGGACTAGCCAAGTGACTCCCGCAGTATTTGTACCTGAAACTATGGCCTGACCCTAACCTGGTACACATACTACGTTTCGGTGTCCGCCGTGTTGGTTCACATACTTCGGGAGTATCGTTTCAGAACTCGCTGTTGGAATATAAGAGCAGGCTTCTCACTTTGGAATAATTTCAGTGAAAATAAATGTTACGTAAAAATGATTGTTTTATATTAATCATTTATTTTTGAAGTCATAAAAGTATTACATGTGGTTTAGTATTTAAGCATATGGAAGCACTGGAATGAAAATTTAAATTTGAATGCTGCAAAAACGATTCCAAAACACATTTTCAGTTACTTTTTTTTCCAATTGTTTGAATATTGGCAGTGTTTCCATAAATTAGTTTGCACAAATGACAATTTTTTGTTATAGATTCTTGCACTGTTATTAGTAAACTGTTATTAATTTGTACTAGCAGTTCATCGTTTGTAGATAGTAGTATTGGGTGAGCGAACGCGTACTACTTCTTTTATCAATAACTTTCCATCTAAAATCTGTACGCTTCAAACCTTATTTTCGTTTGCTTTCCCGATTCTATAATCAGTTAATTTTATTTTTCGTTTTTATCTATTATTTTATCGTCTATTGCTGATTATGGAGTCGAAATAAACTTATTATTGTTAGAAATAAATTAATCAAATACACATATTCATGTATATAATAACAGTGTGTTTTTATTTATTTCATGGCGCTACATAAAAATCGCAGTCGACCAGTTATACACTACTTTTTACTCGTCCGACAAGGTTTACATGTAAGCGTTACGGCTGTCACGACGATGGACTTAGCGACACTTGCTTAGGAAACGAAACATATATTTATAACATATTATAAAGACGTGACGTAAGAAGATCATTTTTGAATAATCATTGCAAAGATCTGAATATCCCGTAAATATTCTAAATTTCCTAACAAATACTAGAATTATAACTTTTGTTATAAATACTAATTTGTCATGTTAAAACGTAGTGGTGGTGTTTCTCTCAAATCTCACATTTTTGCATTAGTACACTTTGTACAAAAGATCTGATCGAAATTATGGTTCCATTACATTTGAACCCACGTACATTTGAACCCATGACAATTGCACGTGTATGCTATTGCACCTATGGATTTTTTTTTGTTTCACGGATAGTTAAACCCATACTAACCCTAACCCATGGGTTTTAGCACCCGCATATAGATTGAACCCGTGGATATACGCATGGGTTCAAATGTACGTGGGTTCAAATGTACGGTCACCGAAATTATAGCAAGTATTACAAAGAGCATATCGCCGCACTAAACCAGAATTGCTTCTGTCACATTTTTCAATAACGGGTATTTCAATCTCCTGTCAATCGTAGAACAGACAGTGTCATCTTTCGGACTTGGTTATCTCCCGTGGCGTGTAATTCAAAAGCATATCACTAACTGTATTGATGAGCATCAAAAATGCAAAAAGTAATTGAAGTACCAGTATTGCTGTTTGTGAAAATTTGACAATGATAAGTTTCTAATCAGTTTATGGTCAGAATATATTGTTCACGATTTTATTGCAAGAGCGTCTTTTCCGTGTTTTTATTACAAGGATTTATTAGCTCAACATATCATGCCACCTAAATGGCATTTAATGATGGAGTCGGTTTTACTGAACGTCCGAAGTACGCTATATATATATATATATGTCTTGTAGTAAAACGACCATGAAACTTTTTCGATTCGTTGAACCACTGCGGCGCAACAAGCTTAAATAATAGCTTATTACGTCAAACGTCACGCTGCGGTTAACTGGTTAACTTTACACGGATAAAGGTTTAGGTGTTTCTCTGAAATTCCCAGCCTGAATAGTATCACAACAAGGGCTGGACATTTAGAATCGAATATTCGAATCAAATAGTAAATTATTCGAATCGGTTCAGAGCAAAATTTCGAATCGCCGCCATCTTGTTTTTCCTTCCGCCCATGGTCGACGTGAATTTATCAATTTTTATATTGAAGCCATATTTTTAACGCAATACTGACATATGACTCTTTTCTGCAGTGAGTTATTGATGAAAACGTGTTTTTTTATTGTGTGTGAACGCTCAGTTATCTGCCTGAATGATGTATACTATGTTTTCAGTAGTTTATGTGTCTGGAGGACCTAATACAATAAGAAATTTACATACGATTTTATATTCCCAAGTATTCGAGTCGATTCGATTCAAAAAAAATATTCGATTCGATTCTGAAATCATCGGATATTCTAATATGCACAGCCCTAATCACAAGCACATCCAGTGCAGTGGATCTCGAACTTTTTAAGGCTCGCGCCCCCTTTCTGGAATTCATCAAGTCTCGCGCCACAACTCAAAAATACCTATCTCACAATAAGGTACAAATAACAGATAAATATGAAAATCCAAATTTTATTTTTAGAAGCAATTTCCGGCGAAGAAATTATTGACGTAGATCATCCTAAATTCAGGTCGAAGTCGGTTCAAACAACGACAACAGCTCTTGCCACAAGAAAAGGTAAGTGTCAAGATTATTGTTGTTGAGTTATACAATCACCCTATTTTACAGACTAAAAGGTGCACTTTGATTCCCTTTTTGGACACGTAGTGGACATAACGATCGTTTCAAAATTTTGTTGTTATTGTTATTTGTCTCCATCATTTTAAAAAAAAATCGCTTTTCTCTTCGAATACTGGACCAATTGCTTTGAAATTTTCAGTGGTTGAAGATAAAATTTTCCCCCAGAAGGCTATTACTTTTACTCATTTCAAATATTTTTGTTAGCTCTGTGAGATCTGTTTTTGTTTGTAATGACGTCATTAAAAGTTCTGCGGACATCGGACGCCATTTTGTGTCCTACTGTACTGCTTCGCTTGGTGTGAATATATTTGTAGACTGTGATCTGACGGTACGGTAAATCGTACTGTACTGCGACAAACGTGTCCATATATTTGGGCGTAGCTCTCTTGTTTTCTAGAAGATTTAATCATGCGATTAGATAATTCAATTACCGTATTTTACGGGACGTAGTATGTGCACCACGGTGGCAGACACCGGAACGTAGTTTGTGTACCAGGTTAGGTTTAGGGCATAATTTTATTCCATTTGCCTTATTTTAGTTTTATTATGAGTTCGGGGACTAGCCAAGGGACTCCCGTAGTAATTGCACCTGAAGTTATGGCTTAACTCTAACCTGGTACCATTACTACGTTCCGGTGTCCTCCATCTTGGTGCACATACTACGGGAGTACCTTGTACGGAGCAAAAACCGCTGCGTTTTATGGCCCGACGCGCTTCATGTATGAATAAAAACCCAACCTTCGACTTTTTATTCCCCCCTCGTTAAGTTTAACGTCTAAAACACACCGTTCATCACCGCAAGCCGAAGTTATTTAAATATTTTGTTTAGTAAAGCATTGCTAATAGTTGTGTAATCGTTTGTATATTTTCAGGTTTGCATTAAAGTATTAGTTACCGGATAGGATAGGATTTATATATTTATCCCGAGGGAGAGAATATGGCTCAACCATATGGCGAACCACGGCTTCTCGTCCAGCACCATTCCATGTCGGGTATGGGATTAGTTAGTTATTTGTTTTCGGAAGTATGGACTTGATGGTGGAGGAAGCCGTAACCGACCAGCGGTTACGTGAACACCCTACGTCGGCGAGGAGTCCAGCAATCCTCTCGCACATAACCATACCCGAATGGGATTCTAACCTGAGGATTCACGCAGAATAATCAGAGGTGCGGTGGTGAACGTATTCCGCCCGCCTGTAGGCAATATAGTATATAATTTATATTACCATAAACATTTTC